GGATAACACAAAGGCAAACTAACTCGTCAAAACACATACTGGGGAACGGCAAAAATCTAGTTATTTAATTAGCCTAATGGCTATGTAAACAGAAATTATGGAAACTAAGTAGGCTACACATGTTGAATATATACATGTTACAATAATTCAAAAACAAAGATGAAAATTCACAACGTTGGGTTTACGCCTCATCTTTTACAAAATAGGCAGACTGGCTTATTGACAGAAACCAATCATACGACTGTCATGATTCGTATAGTATATAGACGCATTGTGCAGCGTTGACTACATTTTAATATATATCCTGTTGATTCGAAGGAACTATGACCTAGGTTAATATTTCGATCAAATTGTGATTATCAAGATAATGGCCAATCATCATTTTCTCAATAGAATGTGAATCATCACACAATAATGAAATATGAATTGTTGGCAATAGCATACTAAATGTTAAGGTATTATCGATAATCCTAGATTAACACTTCTTTACTTGTTAAATCTCCCTTATAGCCAATGTTAAGTTTTTTATTAGTGGAAATGCTTCGTGGTAAGAATAGGAATTATATTATTTTTGCTGATTCTCCTTCAAAATTAGTCATAGTCAGTAAAAGATCTGGAAATGGAGATTAGAGATATGGTGTATTTGTGGTTATCAAAACAATCTCGATGTGAAATAAATGACTGAAATGAAAGATTTTTTAAATTCTGCACTCATTGGCCAAAATGGACTTCTCTAAAATTGATATAAAAACTCCCTTGAAAGACTGACTATTGAGATAAAGTGAAGTACATTGTAAATATGATACTAAGCTTAATGTGCTCATAATATCTAGTTGAAAAGAGCAAAATGCTTACGGTACCTTATTGCATATTAATTGCATTTCAAATGTTTCTAAACTTATAACAAAATATCAATTGTCAAAACATTACAAAAACAAAACAACAGAACAAACTACTCACCTTGAGCAATCTTCACACAATGAAGTAAAGAAAGTGTCGTCTGCTGAACAAATTTCGTCTGCTTAAAATTCCATCACGAGGCTACGCGGTAAAATGAATGACTCTGTAGTCCAATAAAAACTCGTTTCTCCAACATCGTACGATTGGGGTTATAAGAATGCGCATGTCGATTTTCCCAGCAGTCCTGCTGATTTAATCATGTTACAGAGAAATTTTATAATGGATTTTACATTGGATGAGCTCCTTGAACATTTGTGATTAACAACTATCGATATGATGGATTTCAGCCAACGGTTATTCTATTTTTACCCTTGACCGGTAGGCTACGTGTTCTCTGGGAACCGGTCGAAAAAGTCTGGTCGGCTTAAAGATTCTAAAAAGCTTGTTTTAGAGAGTACTATAGTTGCTGTGAGGTCAAGGGACTCTCCCTCTGGAAAATTCTCTTAGCTAGGAAAGCGGAGAATGAATATTACGGGATTTTGGATCTGAAAGTAGAATACATTTTTCGTTTTTCTATCCCTAAAAACGCCACTGCTTATCATTGAGTGCACAGTGCTAAACTCACCACCCACCTTCGTATCACGAAAATAGATTTTGACAGGGTCTTATAAACCCGTATTAAACTAAGCCCGCTTCACTTCGGTTTGTAGGCGTGAATATGAGATTGGTTCTATTTAAATAGGTAGGCCTAGATCGGTAATGAAGTTAGGCACAAAATCGCTTTGCTATCGCCCGTTTGATGAGATAACAACACATTTCCAAATAAATTTTCCAAAGTAAGGTTTGATTCTTATGGACACGATGCACCACCCACTAACAATCATGTGGCCTCTACTCGCTAACCTGAGGTCCAGGATTCAATTCCGGAATAGGTCGAAACAAAAAATTGGGATATTTCCAATCCTGTCAGTGATGCAGGTAGTAGGGGCTGACATGGAAAAACGTTAACTCGTTTGGATGGGACAATTATAGTCCAGCAGACACTAATAAAAATACCACAACAATCTTTCACTTTACAGTGCAAGCACCCAATTTTGGCATGGGTTATGCTCAGCCATTCCTCTGACAAAAACACATTAGCTACCTAAAATGTGGTGGCCATTTTCCAAGATGGAGGTCAATGGCAGTATTTTTTTATGAGCTTGTCACTGCAATGCAGCTGAAAATATATCGAATGCATTTTTTTCTTTCCCGTACTTTCATTCTTGAAATATTTATTGGTAGTCTGTGCGACTCAATAGTGTATCCAGGAGTATTTATATTGTGAATATAATTTATTCAATGATATGAAAATATGAGTTGAGCAAATGAAAAGATTACATCAATTGATACATAAATGTAACATAAAGTGAAACTCGTATTTCTTGGAACATAAAATATAGTTTGAGAAAATTAATTATGCTAGACACATCACCATTTGTAGTGACAAGCCCAAACCAAGACGTATAACAGTTACTGATCATAGATATGATCGGGGTTTTACCACAGGTTGTAGCTTGAGCAACCTGCTGGGAGAGAAACAAAAGTTTTAGTTGACAGCAACTCCTTTTCGACTTTTCAAGATGAAGATAATCAATAGATAACATTTCAAAAGGATGAGTGGTTATAATTGGTTGAAGAGGTGCTCGATACTGAATGTATGGCTTCTTATCTTTGATACATTTACATCTGGTCTGGATATAATCTTCCACAGTTTTAATCATTTAAGGCCAATAAAATCTCTTTCTGATCAAATTCAATACTCTTTCTGGACACCGATGACCCATTTGATTGTGTAATACAAAAAGAACTATACCTATATACTTTTCTGGTAAAACTAACTGATTAACAACACACTGATTTGGCAAATATGCAACTCTCCTCAAAATACCATTATCATTTTATCTTTAACCTTTTAAACTCTCTTAGTAACAATCTAACCTTTAAACTTAACTGGTCTCTCTACTTTACTAGGTAATTCCCATTTGACGACAAAATGTCTCACTATGGAAATGGAAGGGTCTTCTTTCTGATCGTTCAACACACCTGGTTTGTTGAAATCTGTTTGTATGGTGTAGACATTGCTCTCTGTTTTCATTTCAGCTAGGTATTACGAATGGAATTTGTCCCGATAACATAACAGACTCAACTGTAGTTACAATGGCTTCTTGACTGCAATGTTGAATGTAATGTTCAATATCCAAGGGAATTCTACTGAGACCATCAGCATCTTGGTTATATCGACCTGGTTTGCAATGAATTGTGAAATAAAAAATCGGATAATTCAGCTACCCATGTTACTCTAGTGGCATCTAATTTGGCTGTTGGGGTCCAACTGATACCTTGGTGTGAAGGAGGTTGACCCTTGATATTGGTTTTCTCTTTGTTTTCTTCTTATTTCCCGTGACTTGTGGATCTTTAGGTAATTGAAGAAGTTCATATAGTAATTTTGCTCGTCTAGAAAAGTCTTGAATATATTTCTATAATAGCCCATGAATCATAGTATTTTTCTAACATCACCCACTGTTGATGGAGTTTTGGATTTTTAACTGTAAAACAGCTTCCTTGTCCTTAGGATCTATGGTGTAACCATCTGCCATGACCAAATGGCCTAAATACCCGACTTTAGCTCTGAACATCTCACATTTGGCTGGTTTTAATTTAACACCCTTCTCCTAGAACCTCTGCAAGACAAATCTTAAATGTTTGATGTGATCTTCAAAAGAACAACTATATACTAAGACATCATCCAAGTACGGTCGACACATCTCATCTCTTCTTTTAAGCAACTGTTCATAAAATTTTGGAAACAACCAGGTGCACCTGACAAACCAAATAGAATCCTGCACCATTCATACTGACCCCAGGGAGTTACAAATGAGGTATATTTCCTACATTCTTCAACAACAAAAAACTGATGATAAGTCTGACCTTGATCTAGCAAACTGAAATTTACTACTACCTATACTATTCAATGCATCATCAACTCTTGGTATTGGATGTTGATTGGTGATGGTCTTCAAATTTATCTTTCTATAATCACTACATAGACGGATCTTTTCCGTACACATACAATGGGCTGGAATATTTGGAATCTTTATTTACTAATGAGACCTGGGAAACAGTGTCCCAGAGTACAGTCGAGTAACCTAATTTCGTGGAAACCTATTATTCGTGGATTTCCGGAAACGATTAATAATTTACATGAGCGACCTTGCGCGACCTCTGCATTAGTTTGTTTTGATAAACATGGGTTTTCTCTACAATATCAGCTAGTAGAATGAATCCAGTAGTTTCAAGCAATGTAAAATGTATTAATGTATACTTTGCGCCATTTCATGGTAGTTACGTATTAGACTAGCCTGAACTATTCTTATGTGTACGAACTGTACTTGTTGAATTACCTCCCCCTGCACGTGCATGTAAATTCATTCGTATTATTATTGTCATACTGTAAAACCGCCATCTTTACAATACAATATCTAACATCATTGATTGAAGAGTTTTCCCTTTAAGTGTGCCTGATTACTGACTGGCGTGGTGGCAGCAGCTGGGATTTCAGTTACCAAGTACAGAACTGATTCAAAAGTTCAACAAAAACTTTGTTAAAAGAACCTGTTAGTGATTTTGCCAACGCGAAGACTGGTTGTTCGAGCGTTACACACTTCTGCCGATAACAACTCGGAAAGGGAAGCAGTTAAACAACTACTGTTCTCAACTCTTCAGATCCTGCAGATAACTATGGCTAGTACTAGAGCCCCCAAACAATGGTCTTTGACGAAAAACGAGACCATAACATCGTTTGAAGCTTGGCGGCAGAATTTGCAGTATATTCTATCCCTTGATCCAAATTTTGCCGATTTTTATTAGACGGTGTGACATGGCTGAAGAAGTCTTCCACAACCCCCTTACGAGGTTTAGCTAATGACGGGGAACGCGTAGATCAGGAACGCAGGAGAACTGCCCAGCAGAAAGTCACACATTTAGACCTGATGCTGGGTCAAATTGCCAAGTACTGTCCTATCATTTCACGCAATTCTATCGTGAAGAACTCCACCTCCATGTCGTCTATTTGGCAAGTTATACGATTGCATTATGGATTCCAATCAACAGGCTCCCACTTCTTAGATTTTAATACCATTGTACTTCAACCAGACGAACGCCCCGAAGACCTTTATCAACGCCTCATGTCCTTCATAGAAGACAACCTCCTTTCTCAAAACGGACACATTAGCCATCATGGTATCGTACCTAGTGAGGATGAAGAATTGACACCTTCTTTAGAGAACATGGTCGTACTCACATGGATTAGATTAATCCACCCTGATTTACCTCAACTCGTTAAGCAGCATTATGGGACGGAACTCCGCTCTACAACTCTTGCATCGCTAAAACCAGAGATATCCCTCGCTCTAGACTCTTTATTAGATGAGGTAAATTCTGCTGTCGAGTCTAAAGTATTTCGTACTGTGACAAGAGACCTACTCCGCCAAAACACTCACAAACCTTCCAGGACAATGACCAATGCTCCAATAACCAACAGCAAACTGTGTCCTTTGTGCAGTCAAGCCAACCGACCTAACAACAAACATTTCTTGAGTAAATGCCCCTACCTTCCAGTTAGTGACAAACGTTTTATGAACAAAGCCCGACAAGCTTCCTGCTTCCATGATGAGGGTATAGATGCTAATGATCCAACCCCAGACGTAGATAGTCTAAAAATTTAATCATGTCGTGTAAGCACCAACAGATCTCCCCACTTCAAGGCATTTTACTCACAATTTCCCCTGCAACTTACTTTAGATACAGGGGCAGAGATGAATATGATGAAAGCTTCCGTCGTACATTACGTAAGTGCCCCAATACAGAAGAGTATTCAACGAGCTTTACAGGCAGACGGTATCACCCCATTGAAGGTTGTGGGCGAAGTCCATTTACAGCTGAATCGTGGCGACCACAATTTGACCCTCGATGCTTTGGTTGTTGAAGATCTTGATGTAGACGTACTAGCAGGAACACCATTTATGACCCAGACTGACATATCCGTTAGACCTGCCATGTGTCATCATCAAGGACAACGATGTCATCCAATACGATTCTTCATCAAATACCACACATTCTTCAGCTGTTAGGCGCACCCAAGCCTATGTGTTACGTGCACCTTCGTTCTCTACCACTGTTTGGCCAGGAGATTATTTAGAACCAACACTACCAGGTGACCTTCACTCTGAAGAGATCTTAGTTACGATACTGGTGCGCCGAAAATGTCAACCAAAATTTGGCCACAACCCAGCCTTACCGGACAAGTTGGAGGAAAAATTCGCATTGCTAATGATACCGATCAAGCACAAACTCTCAAACGCCATGAGCACTTCTGTCAAGTAAGACGTGTCCAAACTATCACAGATACAGATAATCTTGCTTACCCACCGGCCAAACCAGTTTTGTCTGCAGTTTTGAAAGACACTACCTTTTTCTCTGATATAGTCAAATTAGATCCAGATCATATTCTACCACAGTCTGTTCGTAAAGATTTCCAATCGGTAATGCAAGAGTTCGATTCTGTTTTTGATCCTACAATAACAGGCTATAATGGATCCGTTGGTCCCTTTCAAGCCATCGTCAATATGGGATCTGTGGAACCCCCACAACGAAAAGGTAGAATCCCCCAGTACTCAAAAGATAAACTACAAGAGTTGCAAGATATTTTCGACCAACTGGAATCAGTAGGAGTATTCCGTAAACCCGAGGATTTGAACCTTACAGTCGAGTACCTAAACCCTTCATTCCTGGTCAAGAAGAGCACTGGTGGATTTAGACTAGTCACCGCCTTCGCAGACGTAGCAAGATACAGCAAGCCCCAACCATCACTCATGCCAGATGTTGATTCCATCCTACGCACCATCGCCTGCTGGCAGTATGTCATCGTTACGGATTTGACACAGGCATTTTACCAAATACCTCTTGCCCCTGGTTCTATGAAGTATTGCAGAGTATGCACCCCTTTCAGAGGTATTCGTGTTTATACCCGTACTGCTATGGGAATGCCAGGATCAGAGACTGCGCTCGAGGAACTCATGTGCAAAGTCCTCGGCGATCTATTGTACTCTGGCAAAGTTACAAAACTGGCTGATGATTTATATAGCGGAGGTAACTCGCCAACAGAACTATTAGAAAACTTTCGTCTAACTATACAAGCACTCAGCAAGTGTGATCTCAAATTAGCAGCCTCTAAGACAATTATTTGCCCCAAGTCAACCACCATCCTAGACTGGATTTGGTCACAAGGATCAATTTCTGCAAGCCCTCATCGCATATCTACCTTATCGACGTCGCCTCCACCCGAAAACGTTCGAGGAATGCGCTCCTTCATTGGCGCCTACAAAGTACTTGGCAGAGTTTTACCTAACTGTTCCTCACTCATTAGACCCTTGGACGACGCCATCGCAGGTCCAAAATCAGCTGGTCAGAAGACTTACATCATCATTTCTCAGCAGCCCAACAGTCACTTACAGACCATAAGAGCATCTTGTTACCCCGTCCAACGGATCAACTATGGATCGTAACTGACGGTTCTGTCAGTAAGCGAGGACTTGGAGCCACTCTCTACCTAACACACAACAACAAAACCTCCTTGGCTGTTTTTTTAGTGCTAAGTTGAAGAAACATCAAATTACTTGGTTACCATGCGAGATTGAAGCCTTGTGTATTATTGAAGGATATGAAGATAGACTAAGTTTATAACAAGACAATTCCGTTATCTGTCGTCTGCTATCTTTCTGAGTTAGCACGCGCTGAAAAGTCACGTGATAGGCGATTATAGTCAGTTGTCATCTTGAACTCTATCCAAGCAGTGGGATTAGCCTTTAATTTCACTTATTTCATTACTTCGACAATTGGAGAATCTCTGAGTTTTGAAAGTATTTTTGGAGGTTGTAGATTTTGTAAGCAGTAACTTTGGTGTTTAATCGCTTCTACTAACGTTCTGGCTCGAGTTGGCCCGTTCTACCAACTTTGATATAGAACTTCTCATTTTTTCAAGATGGCGGCTCCTGCACGATAGAATTTAAGGACTTGCAGTATTGGTTTTTTTTATTGTTCAGTATGAGTTCCAGACCAAAACGAAACACAGATCCTCTACGATATTGGACATCAGAGAAAATACGCTTTGAACTTTCTAAGCTAGGAATTTTGGTTCTGAATTCATTTTCAAGGGCTGAAATGAAGCAGTTGTTAGAAGCAAACTTGGATTTAGAGGAGATGTCTACTGGCTCCAGTTCTGTAGCAGTGTCTATACCTTTATCAGTTCCAACGACAACTTTGACTGATTTATCCAATTTTTCTGCTCAAGCATCAGCGACTACTCACTTGGCAATTTCATCTGTTCCGGCAACAGATTTGACAATCTTACCAACAGTACAATCGGCAGTGATTTCAACTTCCATAATACAGACAGAGCCTATACCAGTTACAGCTTTGACCTTTGCCACTACATCCATTCAACCAACTATAGCCTGCCAGCGTCCCAGAGATACTACTACTACTAGATACGTGTACTCCAGTGTCCGACCGTCTGTAGTTTATCAAACTGTGCCTAATGATGTTAGACATTTGAATTCAGGGATTCAAACGTCAACTTCAGTTCATAACTTATCTTCGTTTTCTGATAATTTGTATAGTAGTCCATTGTTATCACTGAATGTTGACTCAAATTCTTTAGTGTCTTATCACAGCAGTGTTGGCCTTAGGCATATTCCTGCACAAGAACAACATAGTTCTCTACTTAACTCTATGGCAGTTACGAATCATTCATTGTCCTCAGCGCCACTGCAATCTAATGTTGTGTTTTCACAACCTAACATAGTCAGTAGATCTTCTTTGATCTCTTGCTTTGATACAGGCTTACGCCTTCCAGCAAGTAATTTGAATAACTCTTTTAGAAATCCTGAAATATTGCATTCTCATGTACCGTTGCAACAACATTTGCCTATAATAACTACTGCCTTTTTACAGGCTTCAGATGTGCCCTCTGCTACATTGCCTTTCACTTATGCTCAAACCAATTTTTTAAATGCTGCTACATTGCTCAGACTAATTTTTCTACTAGTATATTTCAGCCAGTAAACTATCAGTATAACCCGAATCAGAGTCAAGTCAATTTAATGCATGGGTCAAGCAGCTATCCAGGTCAAATTCCTGTTAGTCATGTTGATACAGGTCAAGGTTATCAAGGTTTAGCTCATGTTTTACAGTCTGTACAGTCTTCTGGTATGCCTCTAGAAATCAACCCACAATTACAGGGTATGAATTTTTCAGATTCAGTAGATCATAGCAAGTTGCCTCGAGCATTTGCGCAAGATTTGGCTTATGTTGATATGGTCAGCCCCGAGTTGCGCAGGAAAGTCTTAAAAGGAGAACATGTATGTCTTAATAAGTTACTTCTCCCCCATTCTGATTTCTCAGAATTCCTTAGGGGGGATAACAAACTTACCAGGAGTTTGTCTCTAGGTGAATTTATTATAGCATTTAATAGATTTAAGCAAATACTTTGCCACAAAACTGCATTTCCCTGGCGCCTGGAGGAAATGGATTTATATTTGAATCATGTCATTGAAACAGCTGGTCTTTGGCCAGATCGTTTCTACGAATATCATAATCTTTTTTCAGCCAAATGTGCCAATGCTTTGTCTCGTAATAATGTTTTAATAAATTGGTCAAAGAGAGACTCTGAATTGTTGCGCAAGGTAGTTGCTGGCTCTCGAGTCAATTGTTGAAATTACTGTCAATCCACTGCACATTCCTCTGCTACGTGTCCTTCTGTGAATCTCTCAGTTTTGACTAAAGTTCGTAACAACAGTAATTCTTCGAAGTTTGTGGATAAATACAATAGACCAATTAAATATCATGATGGTAAGCCTGTTTGCAATAATTTTAATTCTAAGGGCTGCTCCTGCTATGTGCCCTAGAGCCCATTGCTGCAATAATTGTTTTAGCTCTTCCCATAATGCTTCTAATTGTTCACAAACTGCTAGCATTCAGTCTCAGGGTGCCACTCGCAAGAGAAAGATTGGCGGTAGCAATGACGGTTCTAATATAAAAGAGTGACTAGACCTGTCATTAGTTAACAGAGTTTTAGATCCTGTTACTGGTTATTATTGTGATTTTACTGCTTCTACTCCTATTGATGTTGATCGTTTGGAGTTCGAGCTCATTAAACATCCGGATCGTGAATTTGTTTCATATCTTTGTGATGGACTTCGTTTTGGATTTGACACTCTTGTTACAGACTCAGAAGCTCAGATTCATTTTGAATGTAAAAATTTAAAATCTGCTCGTGACTTTCCTGCCATTGTTGATGAACTAATTCTAGTCGAAGTTGACAGGGGTTATGTTAAAGGACCTTACACTGTGTTGCCTTTTTCCCAGATTAGAGTAAGTCCTTTGGGTCTTGCTACTGGCAAATATTCTGGCAAAAAACGCTTGATATTGGACTTGTCCTCACCTCATACAGAGAATTCTGTTGACAGTATTAACAATCTTATTGATAAAGATCTTTGTTCTCTGCTTGATGATTTCCTAACAATCGATAAGCCCAATGTTGTGGGTGAAAGAACTATGGCATTGCTAACAACTATTTTTTCCAGATTGAAGGTTCCAATTTCATTAAAGAAAACAGAAGGCCCAACCACTGAATTACAATACTTGGGTGTAATTCTAAATACCCATCGTATGCAGTGCAGATTACCATCTGATAAGCTTGACCGCATTATTCAGTTCATTGAACTATTTTTAGATAGAAAATCTTGTACCAAGAGAGAACTACTACAGCTATTAGGACATTTCAATTTTGCAACAAGAGTTATTATTTCAGGTCGTGCTTTTACTTCACATTTGATTTCATTAAGCACTACAGTGACAGAACTCCATCATTATGTCAGATTAAATGCAGGATGTAGAGAAGATCTACGTATGTGGTATTCTTTTTGAAGGGACTGGAATGGAGTTTCGTTATTCTATGAGAAAATTTTAACTTTGTCTGCTGATTTAGAATTGTTTACAGATGCATCTGGTATTGGCTTTGGTTGTTATTTTCGTGGCTTTTGGTTTGCAGAGAAGTGGCCCTCAAATCTTCCTACTGTTGCTAATAAAACTATTTCAATTGCTTTCAGAGAATTGTATCCAGTTGTGGCTGCATGCGTGCTTTGGGGAAAGCACTGGTCCAGTATGAGAGTTTTATTTAGGTCTGATAATCAAGCAGTTGTGAATATCATTAAAAAGGGTCGATCACGTGAAGTTCGCCTTTCAGCATTAATGCGCACTCTTACTTTATGCTGCGCGCAGAATAATTTTGCTGTTTACTGTGAATATATTCCTGGTTTAAATAATACTATAGCAGACCATTTATCTCGTTTTCAGTTAGAGAAATTTCACCAAGCTGCACCCAATGCATGTCTTACACCAGAAACTTGTCCTACTATAGATCAAATCATTTGGAATTTCTAAATGATAAAGTTAACAGTTTATGTGCTATTGCTGAAAGCACTCATAGAGTTTATGCTACAGGATTCAGACTGTACAAACGATTTCTGACTTTGTATAATGTTCAATATATTTCATTAATGCCTCCCGTCTCTCAAGACCTTTTAATTTATTTTATAGCTTATTGCACTAGTATAGATATCAAGTGTGAAACCATTAAGGTTTATTTAAATGGGATACGTTTCTTCTTTTTAGAAGCAGGAACTGGTAGTCATTTCGAGACACCGGACAGAAATCCTCGTATTTTTACTTTTCTTCAGGCTGTAAAAAAAATGCAGAACAATGTTGTCAAACCTCGTTTACCCATAACTTATGACATCCTTGTACATATTGTTGCAGCTCTCAGAGCAGGTTACTTTGATTCCTATACTGATTTGTTGTTAGAAGCTATGTTCACTGTTGCCTTTTATGGGTTTTTAAGGTGTGGTGAGCTGACTTCAATCAGTAATTATAATCCTAATAAAGATTTGTCTATTCATGTTACATGTTACCTGATTTAAATCAATTAAAACTGAAAGTGTCAAAGTCAAGTCTGACCCTTTTCACAAAGGTATTTTTTATTAGTTTGTTTCCAAGTAATTCTTTCTTATGTCCTGTAAAGGCCTTGTCTGCTTACATTTTGTTACGCAATACATTATTTGGGAATTTAGACCCTTTATTTTTATCTTCCGATGGATATTCGGTTACTAGATTCTTTTTTATTAAGCATTTACATACCATTTTAAACAATTTACGTTATGACCCGAATTTATACAATGGTCATTCTTTCAGGATTGGAGCTGCTACATCTTCAGCTAAGTCTTGCATGCCAGATCATATGATTAAGTTTTTAGGACGGTGGTCCTCCAATTGTTACACAAGATATATCAGACCTGATTTAGATATGGTTAAACAAGCGGTTAAACATATTGCAGGCTGATTACTTTATTTTTATAACTGGTAGGCTGAAGGTTTTATTTTAATCTTACTTTGGGGACTACACAAATCCTATTCTTATCATATTTGTTTGTTTGGCAATTTCTTATTCATTATTTACATTCTGAATAACTTACCCCAAAGTAGTCTGGGGTTTTTCATTATTTTATGTTTTGCTTATAGATTGTTACAGTCATTAATGTTATTTCATTTGTTCTAAAGCTGATTCATCCAAGCTTCTTCCAGAACTTGGACAATTAGTATCAGTCGCTAACACTAACTCTTCGAGCTCAGTCACTCACGACGGCTCTACTAACTTTCTTCTCTTTGAGAACTTTGCAAACACGAGCTCTTCGAGCATTCAATCCAAGGAACTGCCAGTTGTGTGCAAGTCTGGTCTCTCTGTACCGATTTAGCCAAGTCAACACCAGTTTCCTCATTTACTGTTTATGTTCATTTTATGTATTTTGTATGTGTAGTCCCCGATCGCCAAATAAATATATTGAATTTATTTGTCTTGTTGTAAACTGCAGCTATTAAGCACTTCAGTCCTTATATAATCCAGTCTCACCACATGACGAATGTTTTAACTGACAGTAAGCCTTGTGTCCAAGCTGTTCTAAAATTATGCCGTGGTGAATTTTCCAATAGCCCCAGCGTCACATCCCTTTTGTCCATCGCAAGCCGCTACCATGTCCATCTTCTTCACCTAGCCGGAACATCCAATATTCCTTCAGATTTTGCCAGTCGTAATGCCACAGAATTGTCAAATTTGCAATTTTATATCCCGCACAGAAGATTCCGTTGTACGTGCTACCACCGTACAGGATATTATCTCTGGCACCTGTCCTGTTCCGTTTGCAAGCCGTTCAGCATGGATCCAAACTCAATCCGAATGCCCAGATCTGCGTCGTACACACGCCCACCTTAAACAGGGAACACGACCATCTAAGAAGTTGACTAATATTCCCGATGTCAAACAATATCTTCGTAGTGTCACCATATCCAGAGATGGTCTCCTCGTTGTGAAAAACTTTGAACCATTTTGCCCTACATCTGAGTTAATGGTAGTTCCTAGACCCGTTTTAAGTGGACTTTTAACAGCAATGCATATCAAGTGTAATCACCCTTCAAAGCATCAATTAAAACTCGTTGTGAAACGCCGTTTCTACGCCCTGGATCTCGAAAAATCTATTAGTGTGTGTTCGTCACTTAAGAAACTTCCACAGCCAGTAGCTGAACAGTCCACACAACCTTCACCACAATCTATTGGAATCTCATTTGCTGCTGATGTATTGAAACGTTGCAAGCAACTCATTTTCCTTCTACGTGAAACAGCCTCTACCTATACTGTATGTTGCCTCATAGACGATGAACGTTCTACAACGTTGCGTAATGCTCTGGCTCGACTTTGTCTTGAAATGCGCCCAATTACTGGTCCTCCTGTAGTTGTTCGTGTGGATCCAGCGCCTGGTTTCGTAGCTCTTCGTGAAGATTCTGCTTTGCTTCAACTCGGAATTACTTTAGACATGGGTCGAATAAATAATCCTAATAAGAATCCGGTCCCAGAGAAAGCTATTGCTGAATTGATAGATACAAAATGGCGGATTTCACTTATTACCAAACGTCACCATTTTTTATTAGCCGAATTTCCTTATAATCCCAAGCGGTAATCGGAATTCCAAGTGTCGTCTGCTAGAATGTAGTCTAACGAATGAAGTCACGTGATCAACTAGCGGATTCCGTGTCAGCAGAAAATTTCTATGGAACACAAAGTGGACCATATTCTTATGTTGTTTCAGTGACTTTTAGCAATAAATCACGCTACGTATCTTATTTTGTCAGTCATAATTTTTTTTTTAAATCATGGTTCTTTGAAGGAATTGTCACTAGTTATAATGAATTGATATTAAAGATAAATATTAAGAGAGGTTAATTATACCACCCGGTATCCATATAACGTGTTTTTCTCGACTTATTTATAGATCAAACATTGCATCCAAAATAGGTGACGCATTCTGCCGCCGTTGCCGAGTTGGTTGCTCATGAAATATGGGTCAAAGTGAGGGATTCATAAAGCAAATCGAAATAAACCGGTTTTAATTATTTGGTAATATATCTGAGGAAATACCTAAGACCTTTAAAAAAAGTTCGTTTTTTTAACTTCGACGTAATTCGGTGTTGAATCCTTATATCCACGAAAATAGGTTACACCACTGTACTACAAATTCTAATGAATTTAATTTACACTGAATTAAACACTGTTCACCAACTACCTTACAAAGTTTTTCTCTTGAAATGGAATACATCTGTTCCTTTAATGAACAAAAATCACGATTATAACCATTGGTTGCTGTAGGACATTTCTTCTCAGGAATCACATTCTGCCTCCTGGATGCGACACTCGTTCGTTTTTCCGACAAATTCGCTCTACAGTTGAAACGAAAATGTGAAGCTGAACCACATCGCCAACAGTGCCTACAATCTTTTTCACCATCCTTGAGACATTGGAAACAAGTTCTTTTATGCTTCTTAGGGCTTCCAACCCAAAGTAGGAAAAATGGATAAATATTTGATCAAAAAAAGACAAATTGCTTGATGGTTCCGACACTACTACGACTGACACACTGGGAAAGTAGCTTTTCGACTCTTACTCGCGTTGACTCACCACAACGACGATCTATGACTCAGCTTCGCCAGCGCAATCTTGTTCTTCTTGCCTTCAACAGGAAGCGTACCCAGAAAATTAACTTGGACGTATTTGTTCAAAGTTTTGCCATAAAATACCCGACTACGTTTAAACTAAAACGGCCATAAAAATGTAACGTATTATAACTTGTGTGTTTTAACAAAAATAATCTCGAATCTAAAATACTCCATGAAAGTCAGTTTCCCGACGTTTAATCGTCTGTCAAGGTGCTTTGCTAAATTGCCCCCCTCGATTGCAAAATTTCTTTCGCAAGGCATTAATCGTACAGCTTACACCAGAATGTAGTTGCTGGTAGTGAACAGACTTTACTATCAATTCAGTGAAGAGAGAATTTTTAGCAATAAGGACTGGAAATCTTGATCTGTCGTTGAGCATGGCATGTTCAAGTCTGCCAGGGGCAACAATAAGACCGTCACTGTTGAACTGTAGGTTAAGTTGCTTTATCAACTGTGGCGTAGGTTTGGTACATTTCTTCAGAAAGGTTACTTCCTCCACAAAATACTCCAGTTGGTGTTTATGTAAAAGTCTAACTTCAACATCATGGAGCTATTGAACTGTCAGACGACCTTCTGCTAGTAATTCTCTGGTATGTTGTCGACTTTTCAACAATTTGGCGAATCTTAATACAATTGCCACTGTTCGAAGAAGACTGGTATAGGAACTGAAGAGTTCAACATCAACCAGTTGTGACAATTAACCATTTTCGCGACTGTCATTAGCTACAGCAGACAAAGTTATTTGTTCTTCGTTTGAAAAATCAGCTGAAGGATTCCATTGTGGCCATAAATCTGGATCTTTCAGCCATGTTGGTCCTAACTTCCAAAGTGATGACTTCTGTACATGGCTTGAAGTACATCCTCTGGACAAAATATCAGAACATTTTCTGAAGTATCAAGTTGTAAGTGTCGAACGATAGGTAAGGTTGATGCGAATTCAATCTCGTGAAGAATACCATTAAATTCGACTAGATCATCTTCTGGTAACTCGTCGTCCCATTTGGTATTAGACGTCCACAGAGTTGAAATAAATTTCTTCGCCAAAACAACTTGTGATATAAAACCAATTGGATCATACAATGAAGAAGCGCGACTTAAAGCTAGTCGCTTGGTTAATATACGTTCTTCGAGTATAACCAGTGTCTTCTTAGGAAACTGCATCGTATTTTCTTTAATTTCCCACACCATACCAAGTAATCCAGATGTTAGAAGTGAAGAACCAGAACCGTCTGCGTCGATGAGACCTTGCAGCTTCGGCGAATTTGTAAATCATTGACGAAGATTCATGTCGGCATCTCTAATTAACTGACGTGACATTCGATAGTAGTTAATTGAAGATTCTTCATCATCTTGACCAGATAAGACGTTATCGCAGTACAGCTTACTCTGGAGGTCTTAAGCAATCTCAGTTGATGGACCACCATTGCAGGTAATGTACTTCGAAAGATGATAACTGATGACTGCATTCAGGATAAATGGTGAGCTGGTTCCACCGAAGAAGACAGAAGTATAACGGTATACTTTTAAAGCTTTTTCTGGATCACCATCTTCATACCATATAAACCGCACGTAGTCTCTATCTTCTTCTAATAGTTTGATGCGAAGAAAGGCTTTCTCAATATCAGCGACAAATGCATATTTCTTGACTCGAAATCGTTGCAAAAGTTCGTAGAGTGACTTTAGAAGACATGGACCTGTTTGCAAGCAGTCGTTCAGGGATACAGTTCCTGCATTAGCAGCAAATACAACTCTCAGTGGTGTAGTTTCGCTCCCAGGTCTCAAGACGAAGAAATGACTCAAATAGCGTGCATTGGTTTCTGTCCATGCTGATTCTGTAGGTACTGGCTCTAAGTAACCCTTTGTCAACTGCTCTGCTATAATCCGATCATAAGGTCCCCATAGATGAAGTTTCAGCAATCGTTGTTTAACCTGTTGAAGACGATTCAATGCAATACGTAAATTAGACTTTAAAGGTGGATGATCATCTAACCACGGTAGAGGAGCAAAGTATGTTAGATCTCTGTATTCTATCTGGCTGATGAATCGGTCGACGAATTCTTTGTCTAGAGTTACAGGATTTGAATCGTTGATTCCAATAGACTCAATCTGTAGAGCATTGTGAACCCGTCGGTAAAAATCCCTGTCAAAATCACTAGGTAACCAGCTTACATCTTCAAACGAATCCATTGATGTACCAACTGAACATTGTGTTACGCTTTTATCAAATTCAGCATTGGTAGAGGCATCAAGTAGTGGACCAGATAAAATATAACCTAAGTTGCATGCTTGTGCTGTTGGGTAGCCAATGTAGACTTGTGGTTTCAAGAATTGCCATACCGAATCTGCACCAATAAGTATGTCGACTGGAAAACTGGTATGCTGGAAGGTGTCTGCTAAAGTTAGACCTTGGAGATGTGGTAACTTCAAACAATCAGACCAATTTCTGCAATCTATTGGTTGTACAATGGTGTCCTTGAAATGAGTCTCAATGGTAACTGGACCATCTTCTGTGATGATGCTGACTAACCCAACATCATATTCTTGCCTGCATACACAGCATTTCCACTCACTGGTACAGGAATCAACTGTATGTGAATCCCTTAGGCAGTTAAAGGAAAGGTTTGATTTCTTCGCAGCAGTAAAGCGTTCATCTGCTGGCAAAGTACACTGGAAAGTACTATGTCCTCCTTTGCAAAATTGGCAAAGTTTTGTTGGTCGCTGAAATGGTTTGGTTCTTTTCCCTTGAGGTGGTTTTTTTGAAGATTGGTGTGTTGCTGACATGGATGTAGCAGTTCCAAATAGATTTTCAGTTGGACTGTCATGGTTAGATATTTTAGACTGATGAGAGGCAGACTTCGGTCTGGATTGTTGACTAGGCTGGGCAATGTAGGCAACCTGTTCCAACTTCTTCACCTCCTTATGAATGCAATCTAACAACTGGTCAAGGCTAGGGTTATCATCTGGGTACTGCTTCAAGTTATTCAGAAGGTAGTTTCTCCAACTGTACTGGAACATAAAATTCACCAGAAGCTACAGCATGTAATCCAAGTGTTGACAATGATCTAACATCAGCGTTGATACCATCATAGAATAGTCTGAGAGATGCAGCATTATATTGTGGTTTAGTAGCAAACACAAGTGCAGTACAATGTGCCTTTTTGATAGCAGTCTTATTTCCAAAAGTGTCCAGCAATGTTTGCACTAACAGACCATAATTATCATCACTGGCTACAATTCCTTCAACTCTACATATAACCAATTCAGAAAGTTGGCCCTTCAGATAGTTGAATTTAGTTACATTAGAAATGTCCTCACATTCATGAATCTCGCTTTGAAAAACATCCCAGAAACTAGTCCATTTTCGTTTGTCACCAGAAAATATTGGCAAGTTCATTTTAGGCAGTTTTACAGAAGATTGTTTTGACAGCTTACCAAAAATCGTTGGAGTTGATGTTTTTGAACTAACTTTGGACAGGAAATCAGCAATCTTATTCATGATTAATCCATGATTGTCGTACAAGATGTCACATTCTTCAAAATCCTGATCAGCCAAGTCACTGCGATCCATTTGCATGTGTAAATCTTGAATTTCCTCATCCAAACGATGTAATTGTTCCTTGGATTTCACCAGTTTGTTCTGAATTACTTTTAATAGTTGAACACCATCCATATCTTGGCTCTCAATGATAGAACAGACGCGTTTATCTTCCCTCGTAAACAAACTTCTCAAATTTGCCCTTTTTCTCACTGTTGATTTTAGCGAATCGGCGAGAGCTTTCTGTTCCGTAGGCATCTTTATAGAATACTTCAGCAACAAACAAAATAAAAGTTCTCAAACCTCAGAAAAAGTTCTTCAAATTACCCAAACTGTCCTTACTATGATCACCAAACGAAACTACAAATTACTGTCTATCATTTTGGCCATCACAGTCCACTGCAAATTTACGCACACCCATCAACCATCAAAGTATAACGATGAAATTGTTGAATACCGCAACTCAATTCCATTCAATCACCAACACTGTAAAACGTTCATCACGGCACCAATTTTTGTGGGAATATGTGCTCCACAAAGGTATCTGTAAACTTCACGTTGTGTTTTTTAAACTTTTAATATAACAGCATACATCATACAGTATTTACAACTGAGACAGGTTGAGGGAATGTGTCCGATGGTAAGATGGCGGTGAGAACATGTGGACAATATTTCTGACTTGCGCACTCAAACAGATATCGTGCAATTCGACTGTTGCTAAATATAGATAGGACTTGGGCAACAAATTCTTCTATAGTCCGAACTATTCCACAGTCCATAGCTCTTAACAGAAACTCTGAAGGATCTTCCTTACTATTTTGAACAATGCTCCCTAATTCAGTATATAACTCTGTAGCAGTTCGTTCCTTATAATAAGCCCTCAAAATTCCTCTAAATGTAGAAAATTGACAAATCAGGTAACTCTTCTAAACAACTTCTCAACCCTGTATTTACAGGAATTGCCCTGATTACACCATCAATTACCTCAATATTGCTAAAAAAGTTTAAGTTTGCCCAGGTCAATCTGTCTTGTTAAATTTGTAAAAGAAATGCTAGATTTAGAGTCAATAGTGCCACTAATTTTAAATTCTTTTCTATAAATTTCTATCTGAGGTTTAGTCAATGGGTTTAGAAATATTTACTGGTATTGTTTCTTCCTTCACAGGCTGAACGGGGCATAATATCTGTCTTACTGAACTTACTATAGATTCCAACTCTTCTGTTTTCTGTTGCTCTATCAACCACTTATCCACCATGCCAATAACTTCATAGAGGTTATCATCATCGGCAGGTAGTTTTAACTTATGAACTTCAATTATCTTCAGAAGTTAATCAGGAGTCTTATCTATAGCTTCTCTCCTCCAAATTGTGGTTTTAGTTGACAGCAACTCCTTTATTAAAAACGGAAAGTTCCAGACTGAGCTTTTTTACGCGACTTCCGCTTTAAAAAGGGATGTCCAACTCACAAATAGGGTGCGCCTAATTTGCAAATGGGGTGCCTAAATTGTCTAAAATCAACCAGGACGTTACGTAAGGAACCCACACCTAGGCCTGGATGTAGAAATAGGCTTTTTAAAATCTAAAACTTCTTAGAGCGGTTACCCAAATTCAGACGGTAACTATACACTCCAAGGCACAATCTAAAGTCCTTGCAAAGTGAGCACTTATATGAAACATAAAAGTAGAAACGTATAAATGATAAACCCCATTTCAAACTATAAAACACTTTAAATATCACGAATCTTAAAATAGACCTAAATGGATAAATTTGGCATAGCTCTTCCAGCGCTCCATTTGTTGCATATACCTTCCTCAGAATGGCCTTTTGGAAAAGCTGTTGAAGCAGCCCCTATTCGGAATGAGTGCAGTTTATAAAGAGCAGGGATCAAATCTAAATATGAAATCAATTTACGAAGGTACGAGTTGACGAAGTTATAAGTTACAGGGGCACCACCGTGAAACTGAAAAAATGGTTCAGATGCATGGGGACGATCGTGTCCAAACCACATCCCAATTCGTCATACTTCCACGGGGCCGTGGTAACAGAAGTGAGAAAATTTACGTATTCATAGCTAAATATTGTCCAATCAAAATTGGTCCTACTGTATTGGTAGCAAAATTCATCCGATCAAAACAAATCACTCGTTATGACGTTTTGTTTGCGAATGTTAACAAAACGAAAGCATTGTTCCATTACATATTTTGATTAATATGTACGGTACAGAATTGAGTAAGATTTTCGTTAAAGAATTGAAGCCGAGAATAGTTACTTGGAAAGAATGTGTTCTTATCTCTTTAAACGGGCGGCGGCAAAGCGGTGTTGTTCTACCGATCTGATTGGTCAGATTCAAATGCCACTAATCTAATTTCCACGCCCCCAAAACGAAGTGTAGTGGGCTTAGTTTTATACGGGTTAATAAGACCATATCCAAACCCGTATTTGTGATACTATCCATGGGGACAAGCTTTCAGATAAGCCAACATCGTACAAGGTGCACAAGTAATGGAACTATTCACACAATCAAAACAGGATCATCTGTTGTCTTATATTTAAAATGAAGAAGTGAAATTTGAACTGAAGACAATTAATTACTGATAACATTAAAATGAATAGAGGTTGTTTGTATTACATTTATAGCTGTATTGGCAGATTTTAGCACTAGTTCAACAATCCGACAAATCCTACAAATGCCAATGCAAAAATGGCATTCAGAACCAAACAATGAAATTTTAACGAAATAACTACTGGAATTGCGTTAACCAATTTTAATAAAAATAACATGAGTGATAGGTAACCTAGAGTCTGGACAGCCATATAGACGCTTTGCTCCCTTCAGAAGATTTTTCAGCATGAAAGAATTTAGAGTATCAGGAAAACTGTAAGATTTCTGAACATAAGAGATAGCTGAAGCATGGGTAACCAATGACCTAGGTAAGAATCCAGTTTCAAAAAGGAATGCCATATAATTACATATCAAAGAGTTGGGGGTCGGAAAACATGGTTTAAAACCTTTGCTTATACAAAAATGAAAAATGTGTCCTCACATAAAGTATTTTTATTGAACAATATTTGGATTGGTATGAAGAGAAACACTGAGGGAGATATAAAATAGGTCTTGTGTGAGGGGAAAATATTCAATGAAACGAATAATTGGGATTATGTTTCATTACGATAAGTGGTAGAAAATCGTCTGAAACGGAGATGGTCGTGACAGGCGTTAGCCACCTTCTCATATACATACTATTAGAGTCGACTATTGATAGAAACATATGTCTGTGGATAGACACTATTGTAGCTCTCGCCATTTTGTCGATATTCGCCAGAGAACGGGGCATAATGTCAAGGTTAAATAAGAAAGGTGGACTTCGTGCGATCATGCCAGTGACAGTGACGAGGATTATAGTCTGAAAACGCAAAAATCATGGGTAGTGAATAAAATCTACTCATCAGTTCTCAAAGAACTTTTCATAAACGTCGCTGAACATGTTTCTCAACGGTCGATCAATTTAATATTACTAACTAAACGTGGTCGAAAGACGAGAACGCACGATATCCAAAAATACACTAGACATTCAAAGTGATAGTACAGAATAGATAACTCGTTTCCGATGGGACGGAACTAGAACTGTCCAAAACACTGAACTGAACGACATTCTAATCCTATGCTCTTATTAAAAGATTTCATTTATCTTAGGTACCATAAGTAGTTTTATTGACTAACATGTGTTTAAAAGTTTTATCCATATCGGATTGTACAAAAGGCGCAGTTATACAGGAGGCACCAAAACGATTTCTGCCCCTCCAGCCAAGTTTAAGCCATCAGGACACTAGTGTCAAATCTGACATATTTCAGATGTTACTTTTATAGAAAAATCTATTTATAGATGAATAGAAATTGCTATCAAAGGATACCACTGATATTCCAACACCGAGATTAAAATTATATTCGCAATTGCAAAGTCAATAATCTTGGTCGAATCTTATTCAGGACCCTTTACTTACCAAAGACACTAGATAGGGTAATATCGTAATCTATTTTTAGGCCATTATTTAGGCCATGTAGTATTATTGAACAGTATTAACAATGACATAAGAAATTGTGGATTATATGCCAAAATCTACAAGAAATTGCGTAAAATTAGTGGTACACACACCATCGGCGCATCTGAGAGCTACTTCAAAAGCAGGAATAGTAACAAGATATCAAAATCAACTGGCAACAACCACATTTTTCGATCCGAAACTGTAAATTGTAGGTGTGGCTTCGTCGACGGATACCTGATATCCTGACGTACGCTCCGATGTCACAATTAGATAAACAAGATAAAATAGGACGATATATAACATATCAAACAGAATCAAAAGAGTGCTTTTAAGTATGAGGGTCGTTGGGGGCGTGCAATTGGAGCCATGGGTGCTCCCTATATAGATTTGAAACATTGTTGATCAATTGTTCAAAAAGTTTTCTTATTAAGCATGGGGTTTTATTTCGGCTACGATATGTCAACTTTGAACCTTTGAGTGGTTATTTTAAAATAACGTAGCATGTGCTGTTGAAATATGATGTAGATGGTATCAATTTCTAACATATTTAAATATTTAAAGTGTATTGGGGACCCTGATAGCGTCTTTTACCGTCAATCACTAACGCAAACGCCCTTCGATATTACTACCAGCTTTAGCGATAGTTCGTTGACGGTTAAGCATTTCTTAAATTACGCTTGCTCGCTAACCTGAAGGCCCAGGGTTCAATTCCGGCATAAGTCGAGATAATATCTTCGGATTGTTCAGTGGGACTGACATGGAAAAAGCGTCTAGTCGTTTAGATGAGACAATAAATTGAGGCTCCATGTGCAACAGGCTATGCACGTTTAAGATCCCTCGACAGTTGGAAATGGAGCAGACTAAAGCCCTGTCCTGGCAAAATTTCCCTCATTGCACCCTGCATGGTGTTGCACATCCACTTGGTGCAGAAAATAGGACGTAAAACTTTCATTTTTTTTAATTACATCTGACTGAAAACTTAAACAAATCGATGTTATCAATGTCTCTAGTACACATAAAAAGTTTAGAAAGCCTCTTTACAAACCCTCTTTATAAATAATGATATAATTATGATAATTAAGAAAATGTCAACGGATGTTAAAGCCAGTCACATTTGTACGCTCGTCCTTTTTATAATGAATAGGCCTTTGTGAATGCCTGTTTAAAGGATTGCACCTGAATTTGAGTCAAAAAGTAAGTAGATTCTACTGTCATTTCAATAAGGCTGTGTGTACCAATCCGGGAAATACTATATACGTATTTTAATTAGTTAGTTCGGGCTGGCATTGAAAATTCATTAGGTTAAGTCACTGTCATTAAGTCAATGAATCAATCAATCGGGCTTCCGTGTGTTACAGACTATGCATGTTAAATACAAATAATTTGAAAACGTAAGAGAATAAGCTCAAATCTCTCTTTGGCAAAGGTTCCCCTCTTGTCATACTGTGTGGAATAGTTCGGACAATTTAAATGCATAGTGTCTGAATAATCTAGAAATAGTAGTTGTCTTAAACACATTCCTCAAAGGGGCGCAACCCTACTTTTAACCGCATGTTCTCGCCGCCATTTGCACAGATCGGACGCACTTATTACTTGGCTGTATTTATTATGTAAATTGATTTACAATAATTATTCAGTTATATTAGACATTTTAAAAAACATAACGTGAACTCCAAGTATACCTTATCCGTGGAGCTACATTTAAGTAAACACACTGCATGTGAAGAAAATTCGGACTAATATGGACCGCTGCATACGAAATTGTCGAGTACAAAATGAAAACCACCAAAGGTCAATCGAGCTAACAAACACAATCACAGAGTACATCAATTGTGTTTCGTTTATCATTTATAGCTTTTATAACAAAAATATATTCCGGATCTTAATTTGACCATCTTATGTTTCAGACATATATCACCAACGTCACTGGTTACACAGATTTAAATATCAAAATGGCGATCAATGTCCCTGGTTTGATATCTGTTATTGTTTTTTATTTAATCATATTGGTTATTGGAATCATTGCGGGAAGAAAAACGGCGAAGTCTGGAACGACTCAGGAAATGCTGGTGGCTGATAGAAGTATGAACCTCGTAGTTGCTTTTTTTACGTTAGCGGGTAGGTAAAGCTAAGTATTAACCAATTTCGATGACACATGAGACAAGTAATATTATTTCTATAAGTCCATAGATGTTGTTTCTGCCATGCCTTTCGCATTTAATTCTTCAGTTTGGAGCGAGTTCAAAAATTGCTATAGGAAACCAAACCAAAATCCTGTTTACTGAAGGAAGGGGATTTCTTGGATATTTGGATTCTGTGACTTCTGCGGAAACAGATTGGCCAATCTACCCTGAGAACAACTTTGTTTTTGGGAGTGCAGTGACAATAATTCTCCTTTAAAAAAAACTTTGTTGTAGCAAGTCATATTGGTGGTGGCTATATCAATGGCACAGCGGAGATTATGGCATCAAGTGGAGCGGTATGGGCTCAAGCTCCGGTAGCTTACTGTATTTCGTTTATAATTAGTAAGTATATGTATATTCCACTCATAGATATCCATAGTTATGTAAGTAGCAATGTCCAAAAGAAAATAATTTTCCTTGAATTTAAAAAATAACATTAGAATTTGGATTTTCACAGATCTTCTGTGACCCTAGACCTGTAATTTTCATAATATGCAAGTATATTTTGCAGGTCTTTCAATGTCCATCATTTCTTCATTACAGATGGTATCTTTTTCGGGCCTAAGATGAGACGTGCTGAATATATCACAATGTTCGATCCTTTCCAGATTAAACTGGGAAAAAGAGTTGGTGCATTAATGTGTGTACCACAATTTCTTGGTGATTTGTTCTGGACTGCTTCTATTCTTGCTGCACTTGGTGAGTTTCCACTAAAGAGCACTCGACATAACAAAATCACTAGTGTCCTGTTTCACGATTAAGGAATTCCTTCAAAATGCAGTCATCCAAATTTTCCATTTTATTAGTTTATCCTAACATTAACTGTTGCCACATAGAAAACTTGCAAGTATCGATTTCTTTTTAATAATAATGTATACTGAAGAGATAAAGAAACGTCGCAAAGCACAGAAGATAGTGAATTGTTTATTCAAATTTCAACAAATCAATAGATAATTGTCTGACATCAACCACATTTGTCAAAAAGTATTGTTTGAGTGTCTTTCAAGTTATTGCTATGACATATTAAGGTTCTGATCACGTGATCTTTACAGATGGGAGCTGAAAGTCAGTATCTGGTGTGTCCATCTTGTGCATTGATAACAGCCCGGCAACTTCTGTACATGCAGTGGCAAAAACGATTTACAGATGCCATTTAAATCTACGCCCAGGCTCTTAGGAAAGCTGCACTGAGTTCTGCTGCATTTCTTGGAAGTGATTGGATCTGGATTAGTCGTCTTTCCACAAGTGTTCTATTGGGTTTAAGTCTAAACTGAATGAGGGCCATTTGATTACTCTGATGTTATGCTGTTGGGGGAAGGTGGCAGTGTGTGGATGGGCGTTTTCATGCTGAAAGGTGTGGTTTCGGCGTCTTGTAAAATGCGGTAAATCGTGGGGTCGGAGAACCTGGTCGATGTAACAGGTGGCTGTGACTCCATGGGCCGATATTCTGGAAGACAACAGGTCCCAAGTTTCTGATTGATGCTGATTGCACCCAATACCATAATGCTTGGTCCTCCCCACGGGTCTCTTTCAACCATACACTGTTCTGTAAAACGTCCCCGTCTTGTGCGCCACACTCGTACTGTGCCATCTGCGGTGGAAATGCAGTACCGACTCTCATCTGAGGAAACATGGATTCTCCACTACTGATGCCGCCAATGTTGTCGTTGGGTGGCCCACGAAAAACGTTGCTGACTGTGATGGGGAGTGAGCACCGGACCCCTGTATGGACGACGACAAGACATGTTCTGTAGGGCGAGCTGATTTCGAACGGATCAGCATTGATGGTTACTGATGGTGGCCAATAGTCTGACAAGGTGTCTGTGCCGCTATGGTGAATCTGTCATGCAGATGTTACCGCAGGACATAGTGATATTGTCTTGGTATTGTGGCTCGAGGACGACCACTACGTGGACGGTCATCAGCGCTGTCGGTGGTGTAACGAACAGAAGTCTCTCAATGGTTCGTACATTACAGTTAAATGCATTGGCAGTAACCCGAGCACGATGTCCAGCATTTGATCGTCCGATGGCTTGTTCATGTTGTTGGGAGGTCATGTCATGAGCTCTCTGTCTTCACAGCAACTGAATTCTCAGTAGGAGTTTCTTTTTATACAGAACTCTGGTACGTATTGCACGTGTATTTCGATTTTCCTCTGCATCACTTACAACATGCTCCCACGGATAGTTCCCAAGGTTCACAACTCTCAAATCGAACACAGCCGATATTATCAGTTGAATATCATACACTGGCCTTTGTAAATCGTAATAACAATTTTGATAGTGCACGGCTTTGTCCAAATAATCTAAAAATGCGACGTTTCTGTATCTGTTCAGTATTTTTATCAGTAACACAAAACTAACGGCGGTTGTGGCCTATAATCTTTGTCGGCTTTTGCAAGTCTTTTGAACTTTCCTCATGATTATCGTAGCCAAGGAAAAATGTTTAATTGGCAACTCCTTTAACAAGTTAATTTAAAACTTTTTTTGTCGTATAGTGACTTTAAGTATAGTCCAGGTCAGCTCTTGTCATGTTAACCCTTTCAATACCGGAGGTTACTTTTCAACTTCTACTCAGTTTATCCACTTAATTACTTTGAATTATTTGACAGACGATCATAGTCTTAGTTTTTTTTATTACAGTATTTGATTCTTTCTCTCTTTGCTGCAATAAATTTCAATTTCAGGGTCAACGATCTCTATCATATTGGATGCTGATGAGATCGTATCAATTGTTATTTCTGCTATTGTTGCCATTTTTTACACTTTTCTGGGTGGATTGTGGTCTGTGGCCTATACGGATGTTGTGCAGTTGTTATGCATTGCTATCGGTTTGGTAAGACGATTTAAATTGATACTCGACGTGATCTCACTTTCACTATTTTCTTATTAAACCGACATGTTGACACTCATCTGATCTTTCTTATCTACGTTTTCTTAAAAAAAATGTCCATACAAAATAGGATGGCCGAACCGAATATCGCTCTTCTTCACAATATGAAAACGAACTGTAAGTTACGAAATGGGCTCAGAAATGTAGGAATAAGTTGTAATTTGTGTTACTGATATGACAATAATCTGGCAGGTGATAGCTGCTCCATTTTCTCTGATACATGACGCTGTTGATATTGAGAGAGTGGTTGATACGTGGCAAGGTAATCTTCAGCCTAATCAGATTGGTTATTACATTGATGTCTATTGTCTGCTACTCTTTGGTGGAATTCCTTGGCAAGTAAGTCCTTTTTATACGCCCACATGGAAATCTGGACATTTCTTGTGAACACAATAGAGAATACATTTTTCAACTAATACCACAGTTTGTTATCGAAATGTCAATTCTTTTTTTTTTTTTTTTTTTTTTTTTTTTCGATTTTTACACACCTTCCTGAGCTTAGACTACAATAGTTGCAGCAACCATTCAACATTCACGAACCTTAGATATAGGCGACGATGTGCTTAAATATATTTTGGATCTTTTTTGCAAAACCGGAAGTGCCACAGTTCAATATGTGCAAGAATAGATAATCGGCTCTAGAAGTCGTATTTTTCGGTCGATTTTCTTTGAGTTTGCATTTTTGGAATCTACTGTTTAAATCTGAAAGAATAGCAGTTTCAAAATTTCAAAATTCGAAAATTTGTCGCAGACATTTTTTGGCCGATTTTCGAAATTTTTGGACCATTTTTCAGTTTTTTTCGGATTAATCTGAAATTTTGATAAAAGATGCATGTCACTAATGTAAACCATTAGTATTCAAAATTTTTGCGTCACTTCCGGTTAAAGTGGAAAATCGATTTTCACTTCCGGTTGAATAACTTCCGGTGTGATTGAAATATTTCAACGAAATTATGTATATCGTTATTAATCTTAATTCTATGGCCGATTTTAAAATAAAATTTAGTCCGAAAAAAATACTTCGGCCGCCATCTTGATTTGATACATTTTCATAAAACTCAAAATGGAGCTTCGGGGGAGAATGGGATTGGTCAAATTTTTATGTTGGTGTATACTTTAGTCGATGGCGACAAAAATGTTGGAAATGGATTTTTGAATTTGACTTTTGCTTTGTGGCAACTTCCGGTCGAATTTTTTCAATTTTTGAAGGCTTGTATCTCGTGACCTTGACCTTTGATGACCTTGACCTTTATGGGGTCAAAGGTCATTGACAATTACTCATTATTGACATTTTTGGCCAGGGGCATAACTCGCAAAGTATACATTTGTTCAAAATGGAACTTTTTACACAATTACCTCATATTTTGAGCCACTTTGGCTTTTTTTGTTGTTTCCGCTTCATAGTTCAAAAAAAGGAACAGGTTTTGGAAATTCAAAATTTTCAATTTTTGACCTTGACCTTTGTTGACCTTGACCTTTGTAGGATCAAACGTCATTGGCATTGGCTATCTATTTATACTTTTATATTTGCTGTCCTAAGTCAACTTCTGGTTTTATAGTCGTTAGTAATTTGAAATTTTAATGGCGTATATCTCTTGATCTTGACCATTTTAGACCTTCTCCTTTACAAGATCAAAGGTCATTGACCTTGGCTATCTGCTGATACTTTCATTTGTGAGGTCTGACGTCCCCTTCCGGTATTAAAATCTTCTAAAAAATGAAAATTTCTCAACTTTAGACAGTTCTTGCGCTTGATCTAATTATCGTGGAAGGTTGATTTTTTCAGGGTCTTTTGCATTTTGCTACATTTGCAAAGTCCCACTCTGTGCCACGTGTGGCTCTAGTTTTAATTAAATTTGGTGTGATCATTTATATTGATAAGATCTTGGTCAAGTTCGAATTTGATGACTTAGGGAACAGGCGTCAATATTTGTTTGTGAAAAAATAGAGACCACAGTTTTCAACTGATTTTGATGAAATTTAGTGTGATCATTTATATTGATGCGATCGTGGTCAAGTTCGAATTTGACGATCTTTCGATGAACGGTTTTTTGAGTTATTGCCCTTAACTTAGGAAACACACGTCAAAATTTGTTTGTGAACACATTAGAGACTACAGTTTTCAATTGATTTTAATTAAACGTGGTTTGATCATGTATATTGATGCGATAATTTGAGTTATTGATATTGATTTTTAAAAATTTGGTGGAATTTCTCAACATGAATAACTGGCAGTAAATATAATATATACATATATATATCATTTAATTCAAACTATTAAAATTTCTTTAATATGAGAAAATTCATACTGTAGTCACTAAAGACTTTTATCATTTCTAATAGCTGCCAGTGGGTGAATGTTATCTTGCCTGACCTTATTTAAGAGATGTGATTAAATCTCGAATTTAATATTTCAATTTGTTCATTCGACATTGCACACAATTAACCATAAGGTCGTTCGGGACCTTACATAACCTTAATTAAAATTTCTTATTTGAGGGTAGTAAGTCAGATAGCTCAAGATATAGTTTTGTTGTATTTTAGGCATACTACCAAAGAACTCTTGCTTGTAAATCGCCTGAAAGTGCAAGACTAGCATCATTCTTAGCAAGTATAGCCTGTTTCCTGTTTGCTATTCCAGCTGCAATTATGGGAATCGCCGGAGCTTCTGCTAGTAAGCAACAATATCGAAATATTAAATTTGAATTTGAATTATGTGGAAACTATCGGGCCGTCAGCGGTAGCACAACCCTTTTTTATACGCCCACATGAAATGGGGGGCATATATTGCCGTCACCTCATTCCGTCCGTCCGTCTACAATTGCTCGTAAACACTCTACAAGGCACAATTCTTGACTGATTTCGATGAAACTTGGTATGGTTGTTTGTAATCACCCAAGGATACTCTAAATCAGACGAATCGAAAAATATTTACTATGAGTTATTGCCCTTGTTCTTGAAACGCTCGTAAACACTCTAGAAGGTGCAATTCATGACGGATTTTGATGAAACTCGGTATGAGTGTTCGTTATCACCCAAGAATAAACCCTATCGAAAATCAGAAAAATTGAAAAAATATTTAGTATGAGTTATTGCCCTTGCTATTGAAAACGCGTTCAATTTTAGCACGTAATCACTTTGATGAAACTTGGTGTGAATTTTCGTAATCACCCAAGGATGAACCCTATTGAAAATCAGAAGAATTGAAAAATATTTAGTATGAGTTATTGCCCTTGTTCTTGAAACCGCTTTCAAATTTAGCTCTTAAACACTAAAAGGCATGATTCTTTCTGGATTTTAACAAAACTTGGTTTATTATTCATTCCTGAAGATTGGATATTTGCCTTCTAGAGTTTTCACGAGCTAAAGATTGAACACGTTTTCAAGAACTAAGGCAATAACTTATACTCAATATTATTCAGTGTTGTGCTAAAGAGTTCAAAAGAAGTATATGACTGAAGGTTGAATATTTCATACTGGTGATTATTACTGTACTGCTAAATATTTATGTTCAAAAGCTGCCAGTGGGCGTATATTATCTTGCCTGGCAAGCTATCTTTTCATACATAGCAGAGGCTTTACCCAAATGTAAGCAGTTATTACAGGTGTATTACTGTTTGTATCAAGGGCACAATTTTTCTGGCATTATCACATTAATCTTCCTTAAAATTTAACTTTTCTTGATGCTAAGGGCAAAATGGATTTGAATAAAAAGTAAGTTTTGTGGCCCTGGGGCCCGAGTGCATACGGAAAAGTTACCGTTAGGATGGAACAATAAGTTGAAATGTGTATGCTACAATGGTATCATGATATCAAATTAATACTTTTTCCTACAGATATAGAGTCTAGCAAGGCAATCGCGAAAGATTCCGTCAACTAGTCATTTCTTAAATGAAACATTTTATCTTTTGAAAGTTCTGCACTGCATTCAGAGCTGCATCATGGTACCCAAAAATAACATCAAAAGTTCTGCAATTACATTTATGATAATTGTATTGCAGATTGGAATGAGACAAACTATCAAGGGCTGATTCCAATACCTCAAGATAAGATGAGTTACATTTTACCACTGACATTGCAACATCTATGTCCTCTTCCGGTGGCCATTATTGGGATGGGTGCTATATCTGCTGCAGTGATGTCATCAGCTGATTCTAGTATTTTATCAACAGCGTCTGTCTTCGCCAGCAATATTTATAGGGAACTTTTCAGGAAACATGTATGTACTTAATTAAGAATCATGTATTAAATGGGGTGATGACTTTTGTAGGTCTAAACAACCGACGGCACCTAAATATTAAAGTTGCATTGGTTGGTGCCTCAACGTAGTTGATGATACTATATGCACTGACTGATTGTGCATGTGCTCTAGACCTTGATCTTGCTAAGGGAGAGTGATACCTGATGGTCTATTAATTTTACTGTCATTCACCAGTTGCATTGTTTTTTTTTAAGGCATCTGATCGTGAAATCCTGTGGGTGTTAAGAATATCTATAATTGTAACAGGAACTTTAGCAACAACAATCGCTATTACTGCTAAAAGTGTTTATGGATTATATGTGTTGTGTTCAGATTTAATGTATGTCATTCTCTTTCCGCAATTGGTAGCCATTATGTATTTTGATGTTACCAATGCTTATGGTAGCATAACCGGTTACGTTATAGGATTCCTAATAAGGATTCTCGGAGGTGAACCACTTATAAAGATTCCTGCATTGGTAAAATTTCCTTTCTACGATTCCGAATTTGGTCAAGGATTTCCGTTCCGAACATTCGCAATGTTGTTGAGCTTCATTGCTATCATAGGAATATCTAAACTGTTCGAGTATTTGTTTCTTTCTGGAAAGATACCGATAAAATACGACATCTTTCTTTGTTCTAGTCCAAATTTTCGCAATAGACTCAAGATGTTTAAAAGTACTCAAGAAATGAAGAGAGATATGAGAGAATATGTTGAAATGAAAAAAATATCAAGTTTTAAAGGCGAACATGTGATTTTGTAAACGCATGTTCAGAGAAAAAAGATAACTAGCACTAAGCTATATATACATATATATATACGAAATCCATCGTTTTAGCTTGATTTTTTATATGTTTTAATGTTTATATATATATTTACACATCAACAAATTCATTGCTTGTGACGGCCACCGGTATGGTCATCGCTAATTGCTTACCGAGGAGACAATTTGCAGCATTTTGCAAGTTCTCTGTCCCTCTCTTTTCGATGGAATTTCCCATCATTTCGATATCTGCAAACAATTATTGTAGACGAACTGTTTAACGATACCATCATAAACAACAAAAGGTAAAAGATGGTAATGACCGTAGGTAAAACCGATTGGTTAACCGAAACAGTGAAAACTTAGTAGGTTATGATGTTATCGGTAAACTGCTCGTTTACATTAAAAGTGATTGTCGGTAAAACTGCTTCAATTGAACTTTTAATGAACATTTACACATTTAAAAATTACCAATATACATTTGAACTTTTACAATTTGACAAATGTATTTTCTTCAAGATACTATACTACAAATGTACTTTCACAAATCGACATTATGCATTTTTCTTTTTGCAAAGGAAATTAATATTGACTTTTGGCTTTTATAATGGTGCAAATCTCTGATGCTATCAGTGTCCCCGATACTCACAATAGCTTTAAATAACCTTTGAGAATAGATGAAATTTCGGCTTTCTCCTTCGACTTTTGGTAGATGTATTTGGGATATATATTTGAATATAGTTTTAAACCATCAAATTTTTCTGATCCGATGCTTGTCGATAATCATCTGTGGCTAGTATAATATACAGGGCTATGTAAGTGTCATCAAAATTCGGACAAAACTCATTTGACGTAATAGAACTTTAATAAAAAAAAATATGTATATCCTACACAGAATTAATAAAAAAAAATGTATGTCATTGGACAGCAATTCTTGGATTTATATTTATTTTGATCAAGAAGACTTCTTAAAATCTGATTTTCAGATGTCGTATATATAAATATATCAGAGAACATTGACCTTAACACTGTGAATTTTACATCATCTATGTCGACAGATAAGATAGACTGCGTAATTAGACATTAGTTATAGCAGAGTTTTGGTAGATGGCATCTGAATAGGATGGAGGTACATCTTGAGAAACGTTTTTAGAGCTGGGACCCCTCTTTAGATTGACGTACTGGTTCAAAATATCGCCATAGCTACCCCGAGGAGGTGCTGAATTTTGATCAATTAATATTCCATTGGCGTAAATCAATCCTCCCGATGTTCTTGGCGGTCCTACCCCAGATTTCATGTTGATGTAATTGTTGTCGGATAAAACAGAAAATTCGGAGTCTCTCCATGAAGGTCCACTGGATGCATACAGGTTATTTTCCCTTGAAAGTCTAAATGTTGCCTCTTTGGTTACTGTTTTTTGTCCTTTGGGAGTTTGCCCAAGGTTCATTAAGCTGTTCAGATGAGTCATAAATATTCCATCGCGTCCAGTTCCTCTTCTCATTTGTACTGGGGGTACATTTTCATCTTCAAATGTTGGGCTATCATCCATGTACATCTCTCGCTTTGTTTTTCTCCTGTAAACGAAATGATGAGATGATTTTATGCGTATCATATTTTGTCGTTCGTCTCTTTTTGTAGAATGACACTATGAAACTCTTGACCTTGACTAACTTGTGAAAATTTTGAGGAATATTTAATTTTTACGATGTTTTATTTACGTTATAAATATGTGGAAATCTTTACCTTGATCCAACACACATTACTGTACAGAAAATCATAACAATAATATATATTCCACCAGCAATAGATCCAGCAATAATAAAAGCTCTTATTATCAATACCATAACTGTATTATCTGAAAGAATTTGACATTTTTCCTATAACGACATTTTCTTCCCGTCGGTCATCATCACAATGCCAAGCTATTACAAAACTGGGTCTTATACCTTGACCCATCTTTCTTGTATCACAGAGGTTTATAAGTGCAGCGATTTGATTGGATTGTATGTTAGCAATTACAGTCAATTAGGCTGTTAACAATAAGCCAAAATGTTTACAGTCTGTCTGTAGGCTATATATTCGCTAAAGCGTACAATCCAATCAATCAATCAATAAGGTCATAATACATGTATTTGACATTGTGAAGACTGGTTTAAGTTTAACCAATAGCCTGTAATACATACCGGATTGTGCATTAATAGCAAAGTAAAATTGTCTTACCGAAACTGCAACTATCACCACCAAACCCCATGGAGCAGCCATTGGGGCAATCTCCAGTGATCGGGTCGCATTGTTCTTCGTTATAACAATTTCCACATTTGGTAGAACAGTTCTGTCCATACATGTTATCTGTACAAGCTAAAAAAAACAGCCTCTGAGATTGGGGGTAAAAATAGAGGGAATATACTTTCAATTTTTTTTTTATCAATTTAATACTGAAAGCATAGCCTGTGTTCCCCTGGAAAATCTTGTGGCCCCTTCTCGGCCCCTCAGCAATTTTTCCTGGAAACGCCACTGTATGCTTCGATTCTAATTTAGGGATGAGTTTGAATGCAAATATGGTTCGAAATATGAACTAAACCTACAGCTCTAATGGGTTATTCATTTCAGTTTCAAAAGTTTCAAAATATTCTGACCGGCTAAATTCAAGCAGAGATATTTAGCCTCAATATGTCCCAGAAACTCCACGGCCTAGTCCAGAAGACATTATTATATATGCCACATCCGGCAATCCTCGACAGTTTCCGTGAAGCTGAATTTGTTGCAGAGCGATAGCACAATTTCACGGTGGACCATTTGACCCTAGGACGTTCGCACTATTATGCATAAATCATCAATTTCAGTCCAAGAATTAAAGTATCGGTTGTTTTTTTTATATAACCTTTTTGTTTTTTAGGTCCTTGGACTACGAGTAGGCCTACGAATTTCCATTTTAACATATCAACCTTAACATTCGTGAACATTGCTTTAATCCTGTGCCAGTGCCTTCTGTTGAACTAGTAACTTGTTACCTTTCAACCACCCTAATCACTACTAAAAATATGCAAATGTGGCGACTCCCCACACTAACAATGACCTTTTTAATATACTTACGCATATTGCACAGTGGTAATTTCCATCCCGCTTCACACCCTGCCATACATTCCCCAGTTATCTCATCACAGGTACCACTGTAAGCACACTGACCACAAGTGAATGCACACAATGGACCATAAAAATCCTCGTCACATCCTGAATGATAAAATAACTTAGTTTCACATTCACCATTTCACTGTTCATGTTTCCATGATAAAAAAAAATTCTCTGAAAAAGACTTGCCTCTTCATACATTTTTACTTTTTGACCCAATGGCGTGTAGGCCTATATAATAAGAATAATGGAGGAACCCATCTTTAAAATTTTGACAGCTTTACCGAGGATTCCAGCTTTATCGAAGGGAGATAACTATGAGGTAGGTGTGGCGCCACTGAAGAAACATGGCAGTATCTTGTAAAATAAAACTTTAATTTCTTAATTTTGTACCTTGAATTTATGCAGAGATTGTATATTTTGTTTATATTTTGCAAGTATATTGTATTTAGATAATATTACATTTACTAGTTTTCCTGCTTTCTATGACATGCAAGTACAGTTAACTTCCTGCTATTTTAGAATATATTTCATATCGGAAGTGATGATAATCTACAATAATAACGCAGTATAAATACACAGTCTAATATTACAGTTAAATTAATGTCGATCGCTTTGAAAGTTCATGACAAAACAAAACATTAAAATGGCGAAGAACAAATTCCTAATTTTTAATCCTCACCAATCGATCTATAGTTATTGTTTGCAATAAATAAATATAACTTCTTGAGTAGGCCTAGGTGTTGACATTGTTGGACTTTAGTGTAGATATGTTGTTCTCAGCGTGAAGTTCATATTTTGCAATTTCAATGCACGGTAAGTTCACAATTTGACCATAAATCTTGTCTTCAGTGTAGACAGACAAGCTACTTACACATCGTTATTACTCCATTTACTAGCATTAAACTGTTAAGCGTTAACAATTGTAGGCCTACTGTCTAAGTATTTGACTATGGAAGTGACTCTTTATTTTTACGGCAGTTTATAGTATAAAACAACAGATGTGTAGTCTGTTGTAACTATAGAAATTTATTTATTTCACATTACGGCACAGGATGACTTGTTTAGTTCAAGGGATAGCCATATCTTGTATTTTGTTGAATAGATTCATAAATTCATTTCAAGTTACAGCTGCCGTAACTCTATTTGGTGCCATTATTACTAGATCTATACTATAGTCATGGTATTAATATATATTCATTATAACTGGCAGTGACTACTTGCAGAAAGTGGTCATACTCATAGACCAGTATAACTGAAAGGTTATTTTTCTTGTCAGCTTTGCTTGGCAAATATAAGGATAGGCTTATATGGCCATACACAGTAAAATTTATTAAAAAAACAATGGTAATCATGCACATTGAGGAGGCCATAAAGCTCATCCTTTTAACTAAGCCTAAAATTTACCCACATTGCTCTATCACTAGAGGTTATGCCTACATGCCTGTGCCTGTGCTTTCGCTTAACTGCAATGTTACAACCTAAAATTCCTAAGAAGACCTTAAAGGCAGCTGAACCTTGTTCGATGTGTTTCAAGATAAGGTCATCGGTCATTCCTATCTAACCCTAAACAAGTCACTAAATCGCATATTTTTGAGAACTATGTACCTGGAAACATGATTTCCAGACATTATGAGTGATTCTTAAGTCAAACAAAAGCTAAAAATATAGATTTTGGGATGAACTGTTGCTCTTTGCTCACTTACAGAAATTAATATTTTTTAGTATGTATATTTTCTTTAGCATAGGAAGTAGCTGTTTGTTAAAGACTAGATTGTTAAGATGAATGGTGTTGCAAAGAATGAGTTTAAAACAGAATTTCAAACATTCTGTTCAATTTTACATGAGAACCTGCTTCATAATGGAAAACACCACCAGATTATAACATTAGACACAGAAAGAAAATTGTTAACTTATCTTCTGGATCAAGAAAATGCTGAGTGTTCAGAGGAACTATCGTCTTGGATTCAACAGTTCGTATTCTGTGTGGTCAGTGATGAATCACAAACCAAATTTGAGCTTCAAGTTTGGGTAAGCTTAGATTATCATGAGAAAAAGACAAAATGTCCCTATTTTTGAATGATTATATATATAGTAGTTACTGGGGCAATCTTCAGAACTCCTAATTAAACGGATAAATTGTGACAAAATTTTAACTCTAAGAATTAATAATTTTTTGATTCATTCGAAATATGATTCAGGTAGTACTGTAGTACATTGAAAGACAAATTTCTTATTTACATTTTAACACAAAGATGTCTAGCTGCCAAAAACAACCCAAAAACATTTAGGTCTTTCTTATGGTCTTTTCATGACTACCTACTAACGATTATGCTAATAGACATGATAGGATATTTTCAGACATGGCAGATTTCCTTATCAGTCTCTGTTGGAAATCGCAAAAAGGGCAGGCTTGTGCTGCTTTCCTGGCAAAATTTCCCTCATTGCATTATTTTGCGGTCTTCATTAGCCAACATAGTGCAGAAAAGTAGGATGTAAAGCTCCATTCATTTCATCTCTGTTAACAGTGGTGAAAATTTCTTAATATTTTAGGATGATGAACTTTATCAGAAGAAAGTTGTTTCTCTTGAAAACTATTTTGCAACATTATCTAACCTATACCTTCAATATGGTAGTGTATCTTTGGAGAGCTTTCAGAAAAAGGTAATTAATTAAATTGATAAAATTTTATTCAGCTCAAGTCCGAATTAAATTTCATTCCAAAAACAAAGATGAAGTGTTTCCTTTATTAAAAGGATTGTATTTCTTTTATCAAACTTCTCTGGCTTTGTTTGTGAACAGTCAGCATGTTGCCTTTTTTTGCTCAGGAATCTTATAAAAACACATGCTGTTCCAATCACAAATTTTATTAATGATATCAAAATAACATTTCAAGGAAATCAAAATATATAAAAGTAGAGGAATCTTGGAATTTTTTTTCTAATTTGCTTTTAACCACTTATCATCTACCATTAACTCATAAGTTCAAATTTTACAGTACATTTTATATTATTTATAGGTGAAAGAGATATATGTTTTTATACCAGAGTCTGTAGTGAAATATTTTTTTGATCATTTCTCTAACAATGGAATTAGTAAAATTAAGAAACTTATATTTGCTCGGAAAAGAGAGGTAACATTTTTTTTTGTGAAATGTCACTTATGCAATCAAAAGTTAATTTTGTGCTATTAATAGGGAATAATGGAAACAAAAGTTTCTATGCACCTCCAGGAACATAGGCATACATATGAAAATTGTATTTTATTTTTAGTCTATAATATGCCATATCTATTGTTTAGATTACCCTTGTGTGTGTAGAGCTGGGTAAAATATTATGAATATGTAAATCATTGAAATACGTAATCAATTAAATGTCAACTTTAGATTTTCTCCGGTATACCCTTTAACAAGTCATAATTCCTTGCACATAGTTTCCCTTCAGCGCATTACTTTCGCATATTGAACTATAATAACAGGTCAAAGCAATATTAATACTTCTATGATACAAAAATAACCCATGGAATTAAAAATTGATTGATTTTATTAAGTATTTGGAAGATTTCTCACTTAAAATATTTTGATTATTAAATCAATTATTGATTGGTATTTTGCTGTCAATAATCAATCACAATTTGGTAATTGATACCCAGCTCTATTGATGTGTATATATCGTTTTATAATAAACTGTAAGGATCATGAGTAATTTACATTCTAAGGGTTTATTAGTGTCCATATCAAGACAGATATACATTCACATTCTTTGCAAGGTATTGCAAACTTCTGAATTACATGCCACTTTAAAACAAATATGTAATAAGGCTTGAAATTTTTAAGTGTTTGATATATTTAAGAATAGAAGTCTGGAAAATGTTGTTAGAATAGTAAGGTAGTTTTGCATATCCAATGGCTACATCCTGCTGTTTCAGATCTTAGAAAGATAACTCTGATATGTAATTAGAAGCTGAGAACTATGATATGGCCTACTGTAATTATGTATGAATTTCATACAACATATTATAATATTGAGAGTTCTTGTTTCAGGATAAAGAAAATAAAATTGATAGCTGTAGAGTTATATGTTATGACTATATTAAAAAGAAAATAATGAAAAGAAAAGTAATCACTGACAAGATAGACAAATCAAGTGGAAATGTCATCTCATCTAAATCACATGAAGAGGTAGGGTTTTACAAATTGAATCTACATGCTAAAGAGGTAGTAAATATATTGCATAGTCATTCAATGTTTTAGATATTCAAGATATTTTGATTAAAAATAGGATAACTCTGCAATATTATCTCTCCATCCACTATGTCTAGCTTGTCACTAAATTATTTCATTGAAAAAAAATATTGCTTGAAAGATTATATTTTGTATTAGCCATCAAAGTCATCAAAAAAAATTCTCTCTCGAATTTGAGGTCCACTATGAAATGTATTGTGACAGGTTTAGCTATCTAAGCAGTTTAGGCTCACTTTTTGACTGGGTTAGTTATGTCGACATAGTTGACATTGTTCTTTGGTATATTTATTACTGGTCATATTAATGGCTACAATGGTTCAAGTAATACTTTTTATACGCCCGCAGATATATTTTTGGCGTATTTTGTAATCAACCTGTCGTCCATTTACATTTGGCTCGTGCTCACTCTACAGGCTATAATTCTTTGCATATTCTTTTGATTTTCATTTTATAGGTCAATGTCATTATGAAGATGATCCCTATCGATTTTCATGATGATCTGATAATTTTTCCCTGAGATATCGTCTCACTCTATTAGCTATATTGTGTATCTCGTGCTCACTCTACAGGCTACAATTTTTTACCTATTCTTTTGATTTTTATTTTGTGTGTCAATGTCATTATGAAGATGATCCCTATCGATTTTCATGATGATCTGATAATTTTTCCCTGAGATATCGTCTCACTCTATTAGCTATATTGTGTATCTCGTGCTCACTCTACAGGCTACAATTTTTTACCGATTCTTTTGATTTTTATTTTGTGTGTCAATTTCATTATGAAGATGATCCCTATTGATTTTCAGGATGATCTAATAATTTTTCACCAAAATGTCGTTTTCAACTTTGTGTATTCACTCTATTAACCATATAGTGTAACTTTTGCCCGCTCTTCAAGCAAGATCTTTATATGCCCACATGTAGTATGGAAGCATATTGTCATCCGTTCGTCTGTTCACAATTGGCTCATGCTCACTGTACTACAAACAATGATTTGTACTTGCAATCAAAGCTGCTGGTGGGCGTATATCACCTTCTTTGGCAAGGCTTTCTTTGCATAATAATATAATTTTGGTATATTTTTTAGATTGTTGAGGAAGATTTTGTCTACTGCCTCCAGAAAAGTGAAAAACTGTTTGATATAAGCAATGGTCAAAGTCAGGAATTAAGTTCTTCCAACTATACAGCTTCTGAACCATTAGAAGTTAAATTCTTAGATAAATCAGTGATAGCTTATTTTCCTCCAGATGAGATGCAAAACCATGACCATTTGGTGACTCTCAGTAACCTTATTTATAATGACCAGGGAATATCACCGGAAAAATCTGAAACTATTCAGATGGAATTTGTAGTTCCTAAAGAATCTCCTCAGAAATCCTCATTGGACAATGACGAAGTAAATAAAACTTTACAAGAAGATGATCATTGCAGTTATATTCCAAAGAAAAAATCCAAGAAGCCTGCTACACGTCGAAAGAAAAAAAAATCACTAAAGGAGAATACTTTGTCCACAAAATCATCTGCTTCCACTCCAAAACTGACAATCATTACTGATCCAGTTACCAAAGGTGCTACTTTGAAAATTGATCCAAATCCAGAGAATGACACTGCAAATTCAGAACAGCAAAGTTTTTCATCATTGTTTGCAGCAGCAACAGAGGATGAAAGTGTCTTTGAGTCTTCAGCTTCTGATATTCCACAATCAGTAGCTGATGTAATAAAAGACCTTGATACTGATATTGGAGAACAAGCTAATGATGAAATTGTTGAGAATAAAGATACAGTCACTGATCATATTTTGTCAGATAAAGAAATTGAGTCACCTGAAAAGTTTGAAGTGGAACATGTGAAGGTTGAAAGCATTCCTCAAAACATTTCAACTGTAGATACCTCAACACATCAGGTACCATTTTTATTTTTGATTGTTTAGTTATAAGTTTTTGGAAAGTTTTGGATAATATATTTGCATAATAAAACTGGTAGCCCAATTGATTAAAGTGTTGCAATCATGACATCATATAATTTGGTAATATTAAAGAAATGATGGTTGTGGGTTTTAATCTCTGTTGTTGTGTGAAAGTCATCTTTCCTAAGCATTCCTGTGGACCCAGCAATAATTGGTAAGGGTAAACCTTAATAATTTATCAGTTGTTATTTATAACATGGTTATTGATGAATGTTGCTGTGAAATTCACATTGTAAGTAACATTGTCATGTTTTCAAATACAATCTTTTCTCAACCAAATGACATATTTCACTCTGACAAATTATATAAATGGATGAAATTAAATTTCATCAACTAATATCAGCTAATATTATATCTCTTCAATTATCTTTAAGCGACATCTCTTCAATTAAAACTCAAAATTTGAGATGTAATGAAGTCTCATATATTTCTATAGATTATCTGTTTATCTTTAGAATTTGATTACAGCAATATTATGTTTTAGAACAATAGAATCAGGCCCATATAATGTAAGCATATATACTTGTTGGGTAACTAGTGTTTATGAAATTAAAGAGGTACAAAACTATTTATTCAACATTATTTTGTATAATTAACAGGTTGCTAAAGAAGGAATTGATGATGATGATGAGAAGATAAAAGAGGACACACCAGCTCAAAAGACACCAAGTCCCAAATCATCAACCAAGAAAACACCTGAGCAGTCAATTAGCCCTTCATTAGTTAGATGTTCTTTACGAAAATCATCAAGAATAATTCAAACCAAAGATGCTAAAAAATTGGAATCAACAGAATATGTTACCAATAATGCTGATGGTTTACAAGATGATAATACATTATCTGAAAATGACATCTTTGAAGATGACATAGCTGAAAATGAAAGCGATACTGAAGGAATTAACATAAAAAAAGATGAATTCAAAGTCCGAAGATCACTTCGTAAGGCAATTTCAAAAGTGAATAAGGTGTCCATTCAAGATACAACATCATTAGCTGCTGGTCCCACAGACACAACAGAAAGTGAGATTGAACCAATCCTTTCAGATGTCAACAGTGATACAGCACTGAATGAAAAAGATCTCAAGTGTAAACTATGTCCCAAAAGATTCAAATCTAAATCGGGATTATATTATCATGAGCAGGGACACAAGATTACCCAAACACATCAATGTGAGAGGTGTGGTAATACATTCCCGAACAAGTATTGTTTGAGGCAGCATACACGCAGGATGCATTTAGATTTAGTAATAAAAAGAGAATATGCTTGTGAATATTGTGGTAAAAAGTTCAAGTCTTGGAGTGGGTGTGATTATCATAGAACTAAAGAACATATGGACAGGACTATAACATGTGAACTATGTGCGAAAACTTATGTAAACATATATTCATATAGGAACCATGTAGCAGATATTCATTCCGGTAAAAGAAGAAAGAGAAAACCACGTGGGCCTCAGAAATGTCAGGATTGTGGTAGAGTTTTTAAAAGTCACTCAGGTCTGAATTATCATAGATATACTCGTCATAGTGGTGAAGACAAACTGATTTGTGGTGTTTGTGGTGTTAGTTTAAGTTGTAAGAGAACCTTGCAAATTCACATGGATATTCACGAAGGGAAAAGAGAGTATGTGAACTGCACAATATGTGGTAAAAAATATGCTTCAAAAAGTTCTTTATATAGTCATATGCTGACACATGATCAGTCAATGTCTGTAAAATGCAAACATTGTGACAAATCATTTCCATCTCAATCTTATGTACGTAGGCATATAAAACGTGTACATATAGAGTTTTCTGAAAATCCCAAAATTTTCCAGTGTGATTTGTGTCAAAAGAACTTTAAATGTCTGAAAAGTTTCAAATATCATGTTCTATCTCATACTGGAGAGAAGCCATATGGATGTACAGATTGTGAAAAGCGATTTAGATCAAAGGGAACTTTAGATCTTCACAAGAAAACACATACTGGTATTAAAGACCATGTTTGTACTTTTTGTGGAGATTCATTTGTGCAGAGGTCTAATATGATGCGTCATGTGAAAAAACATCACAGTTAAGGACATTGGTCTCGTTGATTGATTAATGAATGGGTTGTTGGTTTTTTACTATCCAGACGTCTAACCAGAATTTGTTGTTCAAAACTGTCATGAATATTCCCTGCTCACAGTTTCTGGACTGCAAATAAGGTTCTTGGTCAGTTTTGCATTTACACCTATATCTTCGATTGTTTTTTTTTTTATAAAAATTCTGATAAAATTTCAAATTGTATAGTTTGTTCGAGTTTTACTATTCCTTTGCACCCCTTTACCATTTTATTTCACAAAAATATCTATCGGTAAGGGATCCGAGATATTTTAATTTTTCTCCAAAGTAAACTAGACTCTTTTTATTTGCACCATCATTCAATTCGCGTCAGGCGTCTATGCTTCCTCAAATTGTAGAAACTATAATGCTTAAATCAGACGATAAATCAGTATGATACAAATAGACTACAAATAAACATTCAAAAGCTAAAAAAAAGTCCGGTTGAATCACTATCGGATTATGACAATGTTTTAGGATTTTCCTTATGGTTTTTCAAACACGGTTGATAATAGCCCTGAAAAGAATTGTCTTCTTGGAGGACATAAACCTCAGACAGCCATATATAAATACACATTTGTAGAGACAGAAAAAAAATACCCAGATGCTTGCCATTTTCAATTAAAAATTTGATTCGAAAAGTCTTTATTACCAACCCGTCTTCATGGGACATTCATTTTCTATTTCTAGGAAAGAAAAGGTCCAAAATTACATCAAGCAAATCAATCAAATCAGATGCACCATTCACCTAGATACTCAATGGGATATCAAGAAAACCAAATCCGAAAACGCAATTGGCCGATGTACGGGTTAACCAATTCAAACGAAATTGATGATCCTACAACCAAACGCGACACAGATATTAAAGGTACACCAAAGGGAACATTGGCGAAAATTCCAAACAGTTTTGAATGTCATATTTGTGGAAGAGAGTTAAAAACTAAACAAACCTTTAACATACATATGAAAAGACATCGTTCTTCCACGAAGCATATCTGTAAGATGTGCGGTGTGTCATATAAAGACGTTGCAAACCTTAGGCAACATGTCAACATTCACAAGGGTGTCTTCCCTTATAAGTGTAGGAGCTGCGACAAAGCCTTCCCTTCTGCCAAGAAGAGATTAATACACACAGTCAGTGTGCATCAGCCAGCCAGATTTAATTGTGATCTGTGTAAGAGAGATTTTAAGGTTTCGAGGAACTTCAAAAATCACATGCGTCTTCATGAAAATCTGAAACCCTTTTCGTGCACCCAGTGTACCGCACGGTTCAATTCTTTACGAAGTCTTTTATTACATGGAACAGTACATACGAATCGCGTATCGACATGCTCGGAAGAAACCTTGACTAATTCAAATAGTGCTGAACAAAAATACATTGAAAAAGATGCGTTTTCCAACGGTGTGCTAACATCTCAGAACGAATTAACAGATTTTACGTCCTCTTATGGCGAAGTTTTGCCGAATAATGCCACTCAAGACGTTCAGTTTTTATCTGTAGAGGAAGCTAATAAAGCTATTCTTTCTGGAATATCCGTGAAAGAGATGAATCTTCAGTATGAACCCGACAGTGGTGATAAAGAAACTTTTGACTCGAGTGTTCTAGTCAATGGCGGATTTCAATGTGAAATATGTAGTAAAAGTTATACAAGTCATCAAAATCTGAAAAACCACTTGCGTTTACACAGTGGGCTAAAACTTTTCACTTGTTCAGACTGTGGTCAAAATTTTAATTGGGAATCTGGATTACTGCGGCATAGGCGAAACAATTGTGGTATTCGTTTTCAGAGAAAGTTGGTGAAAGCTGGCGCTCTACTATCGTGCAATATTTGTAACAAACAATTTAAATCTTACAAAGGTTGTCAATTACATATAAAACGCTGCTTCACAAAATCAGAAAGTGGCGAGCACTTTACAAAGAAAAGAAAGCCTGTCTTGAAATGCAGCAGATTTAAGTGTCTAGTTTGTAGTAAGACTTACAAGAGTGATACGAAATTGGCCTTACATTCAAAATTATGCCAAAAAGGTTGTAAGCGTTTTACAAAAGACTCGAAAAGCGTTAAAAGACCTGATACAAGCCACGAAAATATGGACAATACAGACTTAGGTGCAGACCAAACACTCGTGGTCAGCAACGACATGAGCACCAAATCATTTATAACTTGTAAGCCAGGGGATGATGGTCATACACATCAATCCGCAGTAGATCCAATAAGAAGACTAAAGCTTGAGAACGATGTCAGTAACGGAATTGCTTCATCAAATGTTGACAGCCATAATTTGAACATTGAATATTTTTGTAAATTTTGTGATAATTCATTTGTGTCGGAGACCAAACTTAGAAAACATGTCAGTAGTCACAACACAAAGGCAACTTTCAAATGTGGTAAATGTGATCAACGCTTTCCAACTAAAAACATCTGCCTTTCTCATATGAAAAGGAGACATCAATTATGTAGATATTCTTGTACAGTTTGTAAACGGTCATTTAGATGTAAGAGAAAATTGAAGAATCATCTGAAGACGCACAGTGATTGTACGACTGTCACTAATACTAGTGACAGAGAAATGCTTCAGACAGAAAACACTTGTACAACAACCAAAAGTTTCATAACAGAACAGGGTGTATGTAGGATATCACAAACGGGTTCCAATACAACTGCTATGGAATTATTTGAGGCCATGCAAGGAAATGAAGAATGGACTGCAGATGAATTTGAATTAGAATATAATTAAAGTTAGGATCCGGTCATAAGAAATACACATAATAAATTAATGAATATTATTCACTTGTCTTTTTCGAAATCCATGTTAACAAATTTACCCTCTGAGCAAAGTACAGCTGATAGCTTGGTATAGCGAAAAATGACCTGAGATAACTTCTGATAATCATTTCAGCTTGTAGTGCCGTACTTCTACAGAGGACAAGGCGAAACCTCGCTTTGAAAGTTTCTGTGAGGTACAAAAAACTAATCAACTTACCACTCTGAGCGCGAATTCTTCCACAAAAGACAAAAGGTATCAAACATGAAAGTAACAATTTCATATTTCAAATACATTTATCTTGAACTATTTTATCGAAATGTCATTCTTACTCATTAGTGTTCAAATCGTTATATCATATATCCGCAATCACATACTTTACGCCTCTTTAATTAGAAGAGTTTGAACAGGATTTGATGATAATGTTTAATATGAGAAGTAATAAGAAAGGTCACAGTGGACAACCTTGTCTTCTACCAATATTACAATTGTTGAATTGTGTTGAAATTTAGTGTATTATGAATATTGTGAAATTGTTAAGACAAATTTTAAGATAATTGTCAACTTGATTTGATAAAAAATTTGGGTTATATTTATAATTGTGATGGTCGTTGTTGTAGTCAACAGACAAACGTCCGGAAATGTAAAGTGATCAAACGGAAGTCAGGATGTTTGAATATAACTAAATAATAGCATGATTCAATTTGTAAGTGGCGTTTCAATATGTGACGTACATACATATTGTCATTTGCTTTAAATTTGCTTTCACATTTGCTGCAATCAATCGAAAATATTCTATTTTGAACACCAAATTTAGTCGAAATAGTCTTGGAGTCAGATATCGCTGTTACCATTTGTTTGAATGATCATTATGTTCCTTCAGAATTATCGAGACCTAGCTTTTGAAGTCACGGTCATCGTTGATGTTTGACGTTGTTTCATTCATAATTATTTGGCTGGAAAAAAAGCTAATGCAATATTCCAATTCGCTTAATTGCGTAAACAAGTTCTTCATTGGCAAATCATTTTATTAACAAGTTCAAAGTTTGGACTGATTTAGAAAATCTCTCATGATTTGATTAACTTTCTGAGGTTGATCCATTTGCACCCAGTGCGATGCTTCTTCTATATAGGTAATAGTAACGTCGTTAACATATTCTTTACTTGCTTCAGCCAAGCCACGTTCCAAAGCTCCGTCTTTACATCCCCATATAATTTTAGTTTTTGATTCTACCTTTGGTCGTCTTCGGGATCCATAACGAAAAGCAGCTCTATAGTAGTTAATAGCTGATGTCAGTGTTTCTAAAGTAGAGTAGAATAGAATAGAAGCCATTTTATAGGTATTCAATATTAAACGTGATGTTGCTCAATGGGCGTGTTAAATATTACTAATGTAGAATACGGAAATGTTATGCTAAATGAGTGCATAACTCTTCAAACTATAAATCTGGACTGAAAATTAGCATTGTCATCCTTCAAACATTAAAGGGATAGTTGCGCCATTTTGGGGGTTGATTTGAGTCTTGAATATATGTAAATATTCTTCAAAAGTACTAGAAATATACGAAAATCGCATAATTTCTTAAAAATACTTCAAACAAGGTCTTTAAGGCTACTCACTATTTCTATATATTTCTTTTCTATACCACAGAGTCTTAAAATGACGAGTCATAGGCGGATAATATTCTGGACACACATGGATTTGAAGGCTCAAATTTGAACACTGTTATTGATTGGCTGATCGGGAACTAAATTTTTTCAAATATCCAATTATTGACGATGATGTGGGCTTAATCATCGGTTCGATTTGACGATTTGGCCAGACAGAAAATCTCGACAAACCTGGTTTGCTAAATGCATATTTGTATGCCTCGATATCTTCTGGTTTTATTATACCAGACTGCACACCCATAGCTTTACTTGTGAAAGCTAATTGAAAAAAATCAAAATCACTAGAGCGGCAATATAGTTCTGGTAACCATGGTAGTTGAAAGAAATACATATACCTGTAAATAAACATTAAAACATATTAGATCGCACTTTTTATCGTTCACTGCTTGCTTATTACTGAAACTTATTACTAGACGTAGTCATGCCTCCATAGTTCAAACGGGCTGTGCAATATTTATGTGCGGTCGACATGTGATTTAAGGTAGGTCTATTATCCAACACCAAAACACTGGTGCTCTCAGAAAACTTCTATGTTCCTTAAGCAACGTTACATGATAATGATCATGTAGCAGTTGCTCTCACAATCCCATATTTATTATGGGAAACTCAAATTAAATATTTTTAAATCCTTCTGATTTTTGATAGGGTTCGTCTTTGGTTGATAACAAACATTCACACCATCCGTCAAGAATTGTGCCTTCTAGAGTGTTTATGGGCTAAATAATTAACGCGTTTTCAAGAACAAGGACAATAGCTCATACAAAATAATTTCGATTTCTCTGAGTTTCAATAGAGTTTATCCTTGGGTGATTATAGATACCCACACAATGTTTCGTCAAACCCGTCAAGAATTGTGCCTTTTAAAGTTTTTACGGGCAATTGTGGACGGGCCAAGGGACTGGCAAAATTTCCCTAGTAGCACACTGCATGACGCTACCCGTCCTTTTTAGCCCGATTAGGTTCAGAAATTTAAGACGTAAAACTCCATTCATTCAATTTCAAATATTTGAACTACTTGTAGGATATGAACACTGTGCATAAGACATAATCTGAAATCATTAAGTATGTTACAGCGATTGAACATCAGTTTGTTGAGCAGAATTTCTCAAAACTTTCTAGATGTAGCTACTGTTGTTTAACGTGAGTAAACAATCAGGCTGCTGTCGAGGGTACATACCAAGACTTCCAGAATTGTGATCTATTTTTCTGTATGTATTTCGGAAAAGCTGCCCCATGTGGACAGTTCATTATTATAAGTTTTTCCACCAGATTTGGATGGTCACCAGCAAAAACCCAAGAAATTGCTCCACCCCAATCATGTCCAACAAGAACACATGATTTATATCCTGAAAAACAAGAAATTTGTATAGTGGTTGATGTTTAACCGAAGTAAATTCTAAAAGAAAAACAGAAAACTCAATGATCATATTGACCATACACACATTGGTACCCCTGTTTAGATTTTTGAAGACGTAACCAGATATATTAAATTGTCAAATCTGGTTCTCCCAGTGACCCAATATAAGGATGTGATTGATTATACTCGTCTGACAAAGATATCATCCGTATTTCAGCTGTCATTCTAAAGATTAGTAAGTCTACAAATCCATCTGATTCTTTTTTTGTTTTCCCGAACACTTGAGTATTGGGTTGTTGTTATATTTTTCACTTTGATTTTGCATCTCTCAGAACTAAGACAACAAAAAAACCACCAGTAACTAGTACAAATCAACTTTATGGGGCTACCTTCATTCTGTCATTTTATACCATAGTTTTATTGTGTGCCACCCAGTGTGAATCGAACCCCAGCAAATTTCACAGAGACTGCACTAACCTAAGGCTGAAATAAGTTGTTTCAGATCTTCCACCATATGTTTCACCTGATAGTTGCTGACCCCGGGTGGTTTATCAGAATCATTGTAGCCCCTCTGATCTACAGCAACAACCCTAAAATCATAAAGTAATAATAAAAAGGCAGTGTTTTATCCAATTTAGAAAGTTGTCATTGATATGCTACATAACTGCAAGAGGAATATCAAACTATCTACTTTAAAATAAGATAGCTTGCCAGGCAAGGTAATATACGCCCACTGTCAGCTTTGATTTTAAATAAAAATATTTGGCAGTACAGTAACAATTACCAGTATGAAATATTCAACCTTCAGACATACACTTCTTTTGAACTTTTTGAGGCGATACTGAATAATATTACCAAGTTTCATCATAATCTGTCAAGAATTGGGCCTTCTAGAGTGTTTACAGGCTAAAACTTGTTTATTTAAGAACTGGGGCAATAATATTTGTTGATTTTTTTGATTTTCGATAGGGTTTATCCTTGGGTGATTACAAACACTCCCACCAAGTTTCGTCAAAATCCGTCCAGAACGCGTTTTCAACAACATACTCATTATTTTTTTATCTTTTTGATTTTAAATAGGGTTCATCCTTGGGTGAAAACAAACACTCACACCAAGTTTCATCCAAATCAAAATTGCGCCTTCCAGAGTGTTTACGAGCTTTTCAAGAACAAAGGCAATAACCTATTAACCCATTTCACGTGGGCGTTTAAAAATGATGGTCGCATGTTGTAATCTATGTCGGTGTTTTCTCCTTAATCTTTATTTTCCCATATAAGGATAAACCTGGGCGATCGAAGCCAAAAGAGTTCGCAAAAACCAACTGATATATAGAATGATTTCGAGAACAAAATTGACATTCTTTCATTCTTAAAGAAACCAAAAATATTAAAACATTTGTTAGATTTTGGTTCCACATGACCTACCTATAATCTCGGGCGAATTCTCTCAGTTGATATCTCCATGAATACCAGAATTCAGGGAAACCATGAACAAATAACATTAATGGTTTACCTTCCTCACCATTAGCCACATAGTGAAGTTTAACATTCTACAAAAAAAAAGTTTCTAAAACGTCAAATCTAAATTACCTAACAACTGCATATACCATCTGCTTTCATTCTAAAGATGCGATTAACAAAGCAATGTCCACATTCCCATACGTTATCTGTTGAAGGGACACAATCCTTACTTTCTCAGCTTGATATTATTAGGCCTATTTAAGTACCGGTATGCATTTTACTCCACCGCATATGAAGATTTACAAAGTGTATACAGAAAGGCAGTTCAAAATCAGTTTTGCACGTAGATAGTAAAATTCAATTAGAACAGTTAGAACAATAGTGCTAATGAAATTTAATACTTAATACTATTGCAGAATTACATTTTAGAAGCTCATCTGTAAACTGGACACTGTTTAAATTGTGCCAATACAAGTAAAACATAGAACATAAATCCTTAAAGTGTATGGAAAGTCAATTATGGGCCACTTGACACCTACCGTGAATGTTTCTATATATCCTATTGTATCCAATTCGAATCCTATAATCGATAATTTAGATACATGTATAAGTAAAACAAAGACGATTTGTGTTTAATTCCCGTTTGTTTACAAAGACAGTCCGCCATTACGTCGTATTAATCACATGACGTAATTTTTGGAACCATCGTTAACCCAGAGAGTATAGATAGACGAGAGTGATCACTTTGCTCGCGCCATTTTGTTTTCATGTACTGTGGTGCCATCTAGTTGGAGGGTGTTCATATAGATTGCAGTGCTCCAACATAGAGTGCTTCACTCGCTTTACAACACGATTATCTAACTTTATCTAAAGTTTTCATCTCTATTCGAATACACAAAAGACTTACAGATAAATTGTCCTGACTTTCAATAAATGAAATGTTATTCCTTATGGCATTGATCAAGTTTAATGGAAACGGCAAATTCTGCCATTTATAGGCCAATAAATATCAGTCCTTACTTCTATGCATCAGAGTTAAGCCTATAATATAACATCCAATCCACCCACAATATCATCACAAAAAGACACTTTTATAGCTGTTTTATGCTATGTGCTATCATGCCACTCCAACAGATAATATATCTCAATAAAAAAAAAGACTTGATATAAGATTTATCATTGTTGTTGACAGATTTGACAAATTGTGTGAAAGCTGTAGTCTAGTAGTGTAGTCTATTGGCATTCATGAATTCTTGTGTCTCAAAATGACAGCTACAGAGCCTGCAGTTAGCATTTAGATATGCAGATGATTTTGTTTCCAAATCCTTCCTTCTGCAATTTATTACCCATCTCTTACACCTAATACATAAGAAAATAAAAATGAAACATACATTAAGGATCAAACATTTTGCTTAATTCAAAGGACAAAACGAGGTCAAGCACCCATCATCATGGAGGATCATCAAGCAAGACAAGAAAGAAATCGGTCTAGTTGACGCAAGCTGCACGTCTCCTCAGTATGTAGTATACTGTAAATTAACGATCAATTTTCCTGCCTGGGTCTTTAGGGAATCGGAAAAAGTGCAGGTATGGGTGGCGTTTCTTGACATTCGAACAATTTGGAGCAGAACAATAACTGCCGCTGATCTGAGACGGCTGAGGTGAAACCATTTTTTACTACCTACCCACATGAACACCCTTCCACTAGATGGCGCCACAGTCCTTGCTAAAAAAATGGCGGCAATAAATATTTGAATATATTCCTATTGAAGGCATTGAAGAAGATATCCCTATAACTCTTGCAGTTGAAAATGTTCTGTGTTATGTTTCTGGTTTTGTGGTAAATAAGCTGCATATTAATGATAACTGTTCGAAATGTTTTAACAAGCTCACAATTTCTGATAATAATGTAGTGTCAGATTCAAATCTGTTTGTCATTTTAAGGTATATAAACACAAAACCAACACTGCATTTGGTTCCCTAACAGTACCATCTGTTTCTTTGATATATTTATTCAAACGCATTGAACTTGTTTTTGAAAGAAACATTCACAAGAATATTTCAAAAATGGGGTGTTAGCCATCTTATTAAAGATTGTACAAAACGTAGTTCCATACACTGTATTACAACTTTGTGACAAGCACTCCGACAGTAAAATAAAGTTGAGGAGTTATAAAGCAATTTGTCAGCTATACATTAGATGTAGGCTTCATTATTTTTGTAAATTTCAAAGTAGGGAACTGGAACAAAAATAAATGTAAGGAAAGTAGGAAAGCTTCAGTTGTTATGCACAAATAGTAATGTTCTATAAAAAAAACATGTGTTCAAGACACTACACTGTATTACTAGACTACAGTTTTCACACAATTTGTCATCTTTACCTTTGAGGTATATCTGTGGTATTTGTAATTCTCCCAGAAGTCTTTTTACATATATTCAAGACCTAAATCAACCCTCGAAACTACTGAATGTTTCCCTATAATAGACAATGATAAATCTTATATCAAGTCTTTTTTTTTTATTGAGATATATTATCTGTTGGAGTGGCATGATAGCACATAGCATAAAACAGCTATAAAAGTGTCTTTTTGTGATTATATTGTGGATGGATTGGATGTTATATTATAGGCTTAACTCTGATGCATAGAAGTAAGGACTGATATTTATTGGCCTATTTCAGGCAGAATTTGCCGTTTCCATTAAACTTGATCCATACCATAAGGAATAACATTTCATTAATTGAGTCAGGACAATTTATCTGTAAGTCTTTGGTGTATTCGAATATAGATGAAAACTTGCAAATCTAAGTTAGATAATCGTGTTGTAAAGCGAGTGAAGCACTCTATGTTGGAGCACTGCAATCTATATGAACACCCTCCAACTAGATGGCGCCACAGTACATGAAAACAAAATGGCGCGAGCGAAGTGATCACTCTCGTCTATCTATACTCTCTGATTTACGTCACGCATACATTAGCGTACATTCGGATATTTCCGGAACGTCCTCGTGGTTTTCCGTACAAATCATCGATTTTCCATCAAAATATCACTTTTTCACCCTCACGAATTTTTTTTCCGCGAAAAGGATAGCGGTATTCAATTCAATCATTAATTATTTATCAAATACAAAAGTACACCATAAGGCAAAGTGTATTCTCTTATAAACATATTGATAAAGCATAAAAGATTACATTTACGGACTAAGCGGACAACATCCGCTCGGATTTCTTGAGCTGCCATTTTTATAATCTTATTACCTTTAAGTAAGAAGTCTTCGTGGGAGATGATTAATATCAAGATTAAAAAGTTGGCCTTGGCCTAGGCCCATAACCAGCCCGCACGCCCCTCCCCTTAGTTACGGGCCTGATTGCAAGCCGTAAATTAAAGTTTGACGAAAAAATAACACCTACATGTTTCAGACCTACTTCTTGAACCTATAGAACTGTTATCAGACTATTAAAGATTAAAAAGTTGGCCTTAGCCTAGGCCCATAACCAGCCCGCACGCCCCTCCCCTTAGTTACGGGTCTGATTGCAAGCCGTAAATTAAAGTTTGACAAAAAAATAACACCTACATGTTTCAAACCTATTTCTTGAACCTATAGAACTGTTATCACACTAACGAACATTTAGACCAGGTATAACTTTGTAAATAAGACTCCCTCTTACCCCTAACTTCCCCCTTGTTGTGTACCCCTCTTTCGACGGTAAAGTTTAATGATAGTTGGTATTAATTCTAATAAGCTACCCATATTCGTGTATAGGTTATTAATTATAGTAACGCCTATAGTCATTAGTTTCTGCACAATTTCGTCAATTTACATGGGTGAGTTTGGTTAGATTTATAAAGTGACAATTCTGTTAAAAAGTTGACCACTTACCTTTAATTGAACATAATGATGAGTTCCCAAATTTGGGTCAGTAAGGCATTTAGGTGCAATATTTCTTTCTTTAACAGATAACACATTACTGGGATTCTTTATGACGCGCCATAGCAATCGAATCAATACAATGCCACCGAAAAAACATCCGATATTCAGAGAGATTACATATCTTACTATATCCATGAACGCCATAATTCAGCAACAAGCTGTTGTTGAGTCCAAAGCTCAATAACTAGTAAGGTAGACATATAGTGAACTGTATTCCTGAATAGCTTTATCACTCTACAAACAAATACATTATAGAATGGGAGCATGACGTTTCATATTGTTATATCAAGGTGGCAGTAGGTTTTTATACACCCATATGAAAATTGTTTTGTTATCAGTGGCGGAGCAGTTCAAGACACCTCCCCTCACCCCCATGTACAATTTAAATCTGATTTCAATGAAAGTAGTTTATATTATTTAAAATGGAAGATTTCTTAAACTTCGTTAGAATTTGTTCGTGAGGACCAGTCCCATTGTCTTTACTGCGTTAACAATATAATTTTCGTTCAATAAGAGGCAATAACTAAAAAATAGTTGGTTAAATGGTTAAATGAACACTATTGATGAAAAATTCAAAACAAGTCATATAAGGGAGGATACCATTTGGAAAAAACACATGGAAAAATATCACCAACTTAGTCTTCAACAGTAAGTAAATGTACATGTATATAAATTAACAATGAATCAATAATTAAAAATACTATAAAAATATAGACTGTATAGTACTAAAATATGGTATTGGCACTTTTATTTGTCATAGAATAACAAAAAATATTTTACAAATGATTGAAAAAGACTCTATACTTTACTAGGAATTCATAAAATCATTCAGTGATTCCTTCATCCTGATAAAGATAGCTTGCAATGCAAGGTAACATACGCCCACTGGCAGCTGTCATAAATGATAAAACAGTCTTTAGTGACTAAAGTACGAATTTTCTCATATTGAAGAAATTATTTATGCTGAATAATTCCACGAAATTTTTTAAAATCAATATCAATAACCAAAATACAACAAACAATTAAATCACACAGCTCTAATCAAGGGCAAAAAACAACTTTTGACGCGTGTTAACAAAGCCAAGGGCAATAACTCAAAAAATGTTCGTCAAAAATATCTCTTGCTAGAGCTTGTCTGAGATCTTATCAATTCCAATGATCACACCAAGTTTCATCAAAATCGGTTGAAAACTGTAGCTTCTATTGTGCTCACGAACAAATTTTGACGCGTTTTTACAAAGTCAAGGGCAATAACTCAAAAACTGTTCATCAAAAATGCATCAAGTTAGAACTTGTCCGAGATCTTATCAATTCCAATGATCACACCCAGTTTCATCAGAATCGGTTGAAAACTGTAGCTTCAATCCTGCTCACAAACTATTTTTAACAAATTTCGACGCGTTTTAACAAAGTCAAGGGTAATATCTCAAAAACCGTTCAACGAAAATACGTCAAATTCAAACTTGATCGAGATCTTATCAATCTAAAGCATCACACCAAATTTCATCAAAATCAAATGAAAACTGTGGTCTCTCTAGTGCTCACAAGAAATGTGAGGGGCGACGACAAAATACGACCACATATTCATGTGGGCGTGTAAAAAGTTACAGTGTTTCTGATTATAAACCCTAGATAATTTATTCATAGTGATACCTTTGGTAAACTATATTGATATGTCAGTTGAAAGATTTACATCATAATTTCATCAATTAATTAATTTTTTGATCAAAACTATTGTCTAACTCATCACTTATTTTGTTCATCCTTCAAAAAAGCTTTGATAATTTGATTGACTTTGTCAGGTTCATCAATTTGTACCCAATGTGATGACTCTTCTAAATAATCAATACTTAGATTGGTGACAAATTTCTTACAAATTTCAGCTAACCCTTTTTCTAATGCTGCATCTTTACATCCCCATATGATTTTAGTTGGAATGTTGATTTGTGTAGCATCTTGTCTAGAAAATGTCCGAGTAGCAGCTCTATAATAGTTTATGGCTGCTGTAGATGCACCTGAAAAATATTTTCACGTTAAATGATATTGTAATGCCACCAACTGCCAGTTAAGTATGTTAATAGCGACCTAGAATATTGAATTTTAAAGTATTTTGAAGTTGTATAAATAGTTAGGAATTTATATCAAACCTGGTCGACTGAAGGCATATTTATAAGCTTCTATATCATCTTTACTAATAGTTCCACACATAACACCTGATCCTTTACCACTGAATATTATCTCAATATTCTTATAATCATTTAACCAAAAGTTAAATTCTGGTATCCATGGCAACTGAAATAAATAAATATACCTGAAATGTAAGAAGAAAATATCATTGACTGAGGTATTTAAGGTTATGTTTAGCAATATCTATCATGATCATACAAACAAATATGGAAATATCAATGCTTTATCATGAATCAGATAAATACCAAATATACACCTGGGTTAATTGAAGTCAATTATGATTGAAATTTAATTCCAGAAATTGTTTTACATAAATCCCCTGAGCCCTGTTTCGGAGAAATATATAAATTGTTAGCACTAAGAATCTATACAGAAAAGGAATTCTGAACTTTATATAACGGACTAATTCTAATCTATTATTTAGGACAGAAAAAATACTTGCCAAGATTTGAGAAGCTGTGAAGGATTTGCAAGAGCATAGGGTAGAAAAGACCCCATATCAGGACAATTCATTACCACTAATTTATCTATGAGGTCAGGATATTTACTAGCAAAAGCCCAACAAACTGCTCCTCCCCAATCATGTCCAACTAGAATACATGATTTATATCCTGTAATGAAATGGGAAATTTCATTGGCTTTCATGAAAGACAAAAATCTGAATATTATCTGGATGGTTTGTTTTCAAACCATAATATAGTTCTTTTAGAAATGATTAAATGAGGACTGTCTGCACTTCATTTTGGAGCCGTGAAAATGAGATTGGTAGCATTTAGATCTGACCAGTCAGATTGGTAGAACAGAAATGAGGTAATGTAAACAAAACTAAACATCGCTTGGCCGCTGCCCGTTTGAAGAGATAAGAACACATTCTTTCCAAGTAAATATTCCAAAGTAAGGTTTCTTTTTCCATTGAAAGTGCCTAACTTTGGCTGAAAATTATCCTCTGTAAAACAAATTTTGAAGACATAATGCGTGATTGTGTGTATATTTATATCAATGCAAAGACATTCTACGACCAACAGGACCATTTTGAGGCTTAAAGACCTTAAAGCTAATATGTTGAAAATAACCCTATAATAAAACAGTAGAGTAATTATGTAAAAGATAGCTTGCCAGGCAAGGTAATATACGCCCACTGGCAGCTTTGATTTTAAAAATAAAAATTTGGCAGTACAGTACCAATTACCAGTATGAGATATTCAACCTTCAGACATACACTTCTTTTGAACTTTTTGAGGCAATACTGAATAATATTACCAAGTTTTATCAAAATCTGCCTTCTTCTTGATTGTTTACAGGCTAAAACTTGATCGTGTTTTTAAGAACAAGGGCAATGATATTTTTCGTTTTTTCTGAACAAGGGCAATAACTCATACAAAATATTTTTCAATTATTCTGATTTTCAATAGGGTTTATCTGTAATTACAGAGACTCACACCAAGTTTCGTCAAAATCTGTCAAGAATTTTGCCTTCTGGAGTGTTTTCAAGCTAAAATTGAATGCGCTTTCAAGAACAAGGGCAATAACTCATACTAATTATTATTTGATCTTTCTAATTTTTACTAGGGTTCATCCTTGGTGATGACAAACACTCACACCAAGTTTCATCAAAATCCATCAAGAGTTTATGTTTTAAGAACAAGTGCAATAACTCATACTAAATATTTTTGGATTTTTCCTTGGTTGATAACAAACAATCATACCAAGTTTCGTTGAATCAGAATTGTGCCTTGTAGAATGTTTTCAAGCGATTGTGGATGGACGGACGGACGGACATGGGTGACAACAATATACGCCCTCTATTTCATTTGGGCGTAACAGTTGGTAGCTTAGATTGCGTATATGGAGCACAAGATGAATGTTGAATAACAATAATTCAATACCTAAAGCTGGAATAATCTGTTTTAAATCTGTAACCATGTCAGAAACTTTATAATTCATGATCCCAGCCGGTTTATCTGATTCATTGTAACCTCTCTGATCTATAGCTACAACCCTAAAATACAAATAATGTACATTATCATTTAAATGAAATGAAATGAATGGAGTTTTACGTCCTACTTTTCTGCACCATACATTATCTTTTAAGTGCTAGGGCTATAAATACATTTTGGCTTAAGAATAAAACAAAACATGATTACTGGCGTATTATAGCTACTTGTGTCATATATAGATGTGCCTTTTAGCTTATATTCTGGAGAAGTTTCCATCCAATTTTATCAACTTTGATTCACAGAAAAACCAAATTCAAATAACTGGTTACCTGTAATCTCTGGAAAATTCCGTAAGTTGATATCTCCATGAATACCAGAATTCAGGGAAACCATGAACAAATAACATTAATGGTTTACCTTCCTCACCATTAGCTACATAGTGTAGTCGAACATTCTGCAAAAATAATAAAATATGATGTCTCAATGATCATAATACTGCTGAAAATTTCATCTCAGATCTTCTGAGTAAATCTAAAATATCATGCTGACTGACAAAGAGTAATTTTTAAGTGAATTAGAATATCAGCCTCAAATTAGCAATGTTAGTCTAAGAATATCATTGCATTCATGTTTATGTCTTTAGATTATCTCTTTTAATACAACCATAAAATATAATCAAAGCCTATATTTTGTCCAAAGACGACCGATTCATTTATTTGTGGGTGAAATTTTTTTACCAAACAGAACGTTGAATTTCATAATGCCTAAACTTAGTCACCTATTTTGACATACATATCTGAGGAATAAAAATTGATACACAACAAGAAAAAAGAAAACTGTTCATCAAGTGAAAAATAATTGAAAAAAAAGAAAGATAATTATCCATCTGAACTTGAAATATCCATACAAGTAATTTTACAGTTGTTAAATGAATATAGAGTGATTAAGCTTATGTTTTAAAAAAGAACTCGCTTGACTTTGACAGCCTAGAATTCATAAATAAATTTTGAATAAACCATTTTGAATTATTTTTACTAAAACTATTGTATAAACCTGTTCATCTGCCAGGGCTTGATTTCAGTGTACTAACCAGAGAGCTGATTTTTTATTTAAAATATTGAAACATAAACCGATCACATTTGTAATATGTTTACTTTGTACTGGATACCCGAAATTCATCATCAAAATAGGTATCTGTAAAATTATGACACAACATGATACAATTGAAAATGTTATTTTTGATATTTATAAAATGAAAGAAAAAATTCAATTCAAAGCTCAATGTAGTCAGAGAGTAACTACTGCCCTGGTGTTGTAGGTTATTTTATATTTTCTTCTATATGTTTCAATAATTCTATGAGCTTTGAGTTTGGCTGTTGGCTATCTAATTATAAGTTGTAAGGCTACTCAGTAGACTTATCTCAAAATATATCCCTTTATTAGTATGTTATAGGCCTAGTACAGTAGTATTAGACAGGTTTTAAATTGATTAAAGCACCTGCCTCCAAGTGAATGAAGTGGTGGGTTCCTAAACTTGGGTCAAGTAAACATTTTGGTGGGTCCATCCTTTCCTTGACATAAAACGCCCTTTTTGGATTTCGGACAACAAACCAAAATGTCCTTATCATAACAAGGGTACCAAACACACAGCCAACTGCAAAAGTTGCAGTAGAGAACATAATACTAAACAGTCCCATTCTGATATTAATCCGTCGACTGCTTCAGGTTAAAGTTCGGTAAATTACAAATTGTATACAAAATAATACAAAACGAAATATATTCGCGAAGTTCTATTTGGTTGAAACACATTTTAATAAATAACATATTTCATAGGGCTTAACGATTTGATGTCCTCATACATGCACTTTGATTTAACTGAAGTAAAATAAGCGGTATTCGGTTTGAAGTGTGGCATATTCTTGTTTTTAGTTGAATGAAAGTTACGCAGACAAAATGAATTAAAAAATTTTATTATAAGAAATGCAGAGCATTTCATTTTCCTTCAATGAAATATTAATAGTATGATCGGTTCGGGACGGATTCAATGTTCATTTCAATTTTTTCAGTATAATAGAAATAATATTATCCAACCAGGTCATGCAGACATTGTAGCGGGAAGAAATAAATATTATAGTCCCGAATGACAGGGCGAAATGTTTTGAAATGTAAACGTAAATTGAGAGACTGGATAATCATGGTCGATTAAAATGGCGTCAACATCAAATGATAGTTCTTGGTACACATCTCTTTTAGGATTATCGGAATATTTCAGAACTTCTAATCCTCCAAATATCCGCCTGTGCATTCACTGTCTACAGACAATTCTTGGTTTTCCACCTTCATCCGAGATTGAAGCGCGCACGCACCTCCAATTAGGGAATATCCTGTTAGCACACACAAAAAACATTGACACATCTCAAAATCATTTGGAAAAGGCGGTATGTTTAATTATTCTTTGTTCATTGTTATTTGACAGGCTCTGTTGTTGTTTTAATTAAGTTATATAATGTGCTAGTTGCATGAGCTACCGTCTAGACTTTTCCTAAAACATATCCCACACCACTTAAATGGTAAAAAAGAAACTGATACGGACTATTATGATTTTTATAAATTAATTGAAAACCCTACAACAGATTCTGTTCTAATATGTACCTTTATTTATTTCTATTTCAGTGGTCTCTTACATCAAGTGTATCCTTTGAATATCAATCATTACATTAATAGTGAAATTGAAATACAAACTGAGAAAAAGTAGCTGAAGTAGTGATGTGCTTATTTTGTATTATTTGACCTAATTATACCAAACAAACCTTGACAACCTGATAAAAGTTAAATATAATGTATAAACTAAGTATTGCTATGGTTAATTGTTGCCTAAGAAAAAAATTGTGCTTTTTCTGTGTAAAACAAACTCAATATTTTGACAATTTTTCTTTGCTTCTTGACTTTTATCTTGATGATTCCTTATGGACTTATTTGTTATCTCCCTTTAACCATGGAAGAATTGTGTATTTTTGCTTTTGCAATGCTTAAGCTTTCATATCACAAACACAAGACAATACTTTTTTGATAGAACACACCTCTTTAATAAAGCTATGCATGTAACACTTAACACAATTTGCTTTCATATCTAATGTTTGGTAAATCCTCTGAAACTGTCCTTTAGATGAATTCATTTCAAAGGACAGAAATATCCAAATGAAAGTTATCAAAACAAACTAGTGGCATACATCTAAAATAATTTGCATGAAATCTTTGGGTATAGCCTTCAATCTTTTGGTTTGTTTTCCTATGGATATTTGAGAAAAGTGAAGTAACTAACAAATAGTTAAAAAATGAAATCTTACTGTTTTTATTTTGATTAGCTTTAAAGATATTTAATATTTGTGAATTGTAACTTGAAAAGTAGGATTTTTGTTCTCAATAGCAGAAATAGAATTACAATTTTTGTGTAAGTCAGCATTCTAATATGGTTTTTTTTGAAAACTATATTCCTTAACTCATTTGAAAGACACATCTAGATGATGTACGGTTTGAATCAGCGAGTGTTTTAACTCAACTGTATGAGAAACAGGTAAGAATCAAGTATAAGCTTAATGATATTTATATAAAGACACACCGGAACGGTAATGTGATTTTGACAAATTAGTAAAATCATTGTTTATTAATAAATCAAAGTAAGGAACAGAATCTATTCATTAAAGATTATTTGCCCATATTCAAATAAATTCTATATAGCAGTGTTTTTTTACATGCTTTATTTAATAAATATTGTAGCTGCTTTAATTTCTAATTGATTGATTGTGCTGCTCGTAAATTGTGTTCATGAGTTTTCATCATAAAGTTAATTTTTTTTTTCAATTAAATTAACTTGTTTTAATGCTTTTTTTTTTTTAGAACCAAACCAGTAAGGCAAAACCATTATTATTAAGAGCTATTGAACTGTCACAACAGGCACCCTATTGGCACTGTCGACTTTTATTTCAATTAGCAGTGAGTAACACATTTTAATTTTTCAGTTAGCACACATTTGCCGTTGATTCCATAACTGTAAAGTGCCATTCCTTTTCTAAACCATTAATGCAGGTTTGAGGGGCTGCTTTGGAAAAAATTTCTAAATGCAAAAATAAACTTATTTCCCTTTCTGAAAGAGGCAGTACACATTAACATTAGCAAATGGCATTCTAAGGATTGTTGGTTTATACTGCAGAATGGCCTTGATGGTTTCTTTTAGCCCATCAGGAGCAGAAAATTTTTGAATAAAACTCATTTTTTGTCCCCTCTTCCCTCCTCTGCAGAAGTGGTTACTCATAAATTAGCGAGTTAAAACAACATTGTTCAACTATTACCTCTTAATTCTTCAGCAAATTCATACAAAAGAACATGATTTTTCATCTGCATCTAATTTATTGGCCATTGGCACAGATTTTGCTGTTGTTTCTCGGTCAGAATATACACGACTACTGTTTGTCCTTAGTAGAGCCATGGTAAGTACATTTGTTTTACTTCTTTATGTAAAAGTTGATCAACATTATTGTTGAAACGGTTAATCAGTTAACCGATTTCGGATAGTATTTCATGGATAACCGGGTCTGATTTGAGATAATCGGTTAACTGTCAATTTTATAAGAAGTGAAAAGTGAGATTCATTGAGACAATAGATTTATACCAGTTGTGGAACTGATTCGCGGACACATAAATGAGATACATTCATTACACTTACTCCACAACTGGTATAAAAACCTTTGATCTGTTAGAGACTGTAGCAAGGAGTGACCGCTCGTAATCTTACATTGAAGCAGACGCTTCTGGGTATTCATTTACACTTACTCTAGTTTATTTGACGTTGAGTTACCGCCGCAAATGTGGTTTTTGACCCCTTTTATAATCTTTAGTAATTAACCAGGATTAACCGGGTAACAAATAGTTATTGCCGACGATTACCCAGTTCGTAAAATTCACTAACCATTTCAACACTAATAAACATGATCATTCTATTAAATAATTGGTACAATTCATATCTAGATGTTTTTCTTTTTGATCAGATATCCTGTAAAATAATAGACTTATGATTATTATTTTTAGGTGATAAAGATTTATTTAAACTGATGCTGAAGTAACAAATATGTTCTCTTTTCTGGCTAATAGAAAGATAGATGATATATAGCATTTTATAAGATGAACTGTAGGTGAAATAACAGATTGATAATTTTATTTTAGGTGTTGTTAATAGATAAACAGATGGGTGAAGTTCACAAGGTTTTAATGGAAGCCAATCAGTTGTTGGAAACTTATCATGGTCCCCATTTACAGAAAGAGTCATTGCGTGTGTTTTTTCTTGTGTTACAAGTTTATCACTGTTTGACTGCCGGTCAGGTTAGTACTTGATAATTGGCAATTATATTTTATACTGAGAAAACCTGAGAAAAGTGGACGATCTTTGATATTGTTAATGTTAGGTGTGATTAATGTTTGCCATATGTACAGCAGAATTGACGTATTTATTTTAAATTTAATTCACATGACGCATCACATGTCTGGCTGATTTTTTCACAACACAGTTTTTGAAGAAGTGAGATTTTGGTCAAATGACTCTGGCACAGATGAAATTGAGACGAGAAGATGCTTTTTTTTTATCAATTTAGTTGACCTAAAGATAGAAAGTAGGTGTAAGATATCAACAAACATACCTATTTAAAGAATGCCTTTGTTGACACAATAGTTGACCAGACCAGAATAGCTCCAAACCCAAATTTGTGTTAAAAGATTTATATATTTGGTCATAATTTAATGACAGTTGGAAATTATTTGCATCTGTTGTAGTTAGTAAGTCTTCCAAACATTGACAAATGTCTTAAAAGAAATGGAAATATGTTGTCCTTATAATGACTTTTTTATTTTATTTTTTTTTCGATTTTCAATGGAAAGCAATGGGTTTTTCTAATTTGATTTTTACAAAAAAGATGAATTTTTACAAATTTATTTCAGGTTAAAACAGTAAAACCATATTTAAAACAATTACAACAGAGTATACAAACTATTACACAAATACAGTCAGAAGATGGTAAGCCTTTTATGTTGATCCTTTTATTTCATTGACTATTTATTACCAAATGACCAAAAGGTTTTTCTATTTTGTAATAATTTACAAATGCTTAAGTAGTGCAAGTATGTCAAAAATTGCTCAAGAGTCTGTTTAAACAAGTTCACCTGTCTATAGTGTCAAGCTAAGATCCAACCTTAATAGTTTCTATTTTTTAAATCTTATTCTTATTGTAAATTTCAAGTGTTATATTTCAGAGCCATTATCAAATAATCCAGTAGATTTATTTCAATGGTTACCCAAAGAACATATGTGTGTTTTAGTTTATCTTGTAAGTACAATTGTTTTTTGCAATGTATATTCAATGTCATTGTGCCTAATTTTGTAAGATGTCTTGATGATGTGTGAAATCTTGGCACTTGTTATGGAAACTAATAGGCCAGACAGTTTCAACAAGGATTTTATCTCTGTTCACAATTTTCAGATTGCCAGTTTAAGAATCAAGAACTGATAAAATGACTGATTATGATGTTCTTAAATTGAGAAGAAATAAATCTTGTGTCAATATAATTCAGTTTTGAAATAAAAGAAAAATTAGATATGAGTTAAGGTGATATTATTTGGTGTTATTGCCCTTATATTATATTGCCATCTGGTTATTATGTAATTTATTTTTCAGGTAACAGTAATGCATTCAATGCAGGCAGGTTATATGGATAAAGCACAGAAGTATACCGATAAAGCGCTAATGCAAATTGAAAAATTAAAAAGTAAGTTTTGAAAGGGTCCCCACATTATCTTTAAGTTATTAAACAGCTCATTCTTTTTGATGATACAAACTGATAAATCTATAAATTAGTAATAAGGATGATTTAGCAGTTGTATTTGAAAAATCCATTTATTTAGAACAAATAACATACCTAGCTGCTGCATCTTAGTAATTGTATGAAATGGACAGTATTGAACTTGGTTGAACATATCAGTTTGATATCATTTGCTTATTTTTTTTTTATATCAGCTACCTTAAATGTGTTTAGAGAATCAAGTAAAATATTATAAAGATAACTGTGTTTTTCTCTGGTAAAAAGCCCAAACATACAGTTAATGTGAAAGTAACTTAATTTTGCTTTTGTTTTTATTTCAGTGTTAGAAAATCATCCCCTACTCTCATCCTTCCAATTAATGTTAATAGAACATATCGTTATGTGTCGTTTAATCATGGGTAATAAATCGTCTGCCATACAAGAAATATTTCAAGCTTGTCATGTTTGTCAACAACAACCACGTCTTTTTACTACTCATGGTGCACAAATTCATACTTTACTGGTAAAGCATCTTTAAAATCTTTCCATAAATATAATACTTTATGATAGCATTTTTATATGCCCACATGAAATGTGGAGCGTATATATTGCCGTCACCCATATCCGTAAGTCCGTCCGTCCACAATTGCTCGTAAACACTCTACAAGGCACAATTCTTGACTGATTTCGACGAAACTTGGTATGGTTGTTCACCCAAGGATGAACCCTATTGAAAATCAGATGAATCGAAAAATATTTACTATGAGTTATTGCCCTTTCAATTTTAGCTTGAAAACACTCTAGAAGGCACAATTCTTGATGGATTTTGACAAAACTTGGTGTGAGTGTTTGTAATCACCCAAGGATGAACCCTATCGAAAATCAGAAAAATTGAAAAATTTTAAGTATTAGTTATTGCCCTTGTTCTTGAAAATGCGTTCAATTTTTAGTTCGTAAACACTCTAGAAGGCACAATTCTTGACGGATTTTGACGAAACTTGGCATGATTGTTGGTTATCACCCATGGATAAACCGTATTGAAAATAAGAAAAATTGAAAAATATTTAGTATGAGTTTTTGCCGTTGTTCTTTAAAACTCGTTCAATTTGTAGCTCGTAAAAACTCTATAAGGCATGATTCTTGACGAATTTTGACAAAACTTGGTTTTATTATTCCTTACCGCACTAAAGATTGAATATTTGTTAGAGTTTTTACGAGCTAAAGATTGAACACGTTTTCAAGAACTAGGGCTCATACTCATTATTATTCATTATCGCCCTCAAGAGTTCAAAAGAAGTGTATGACTGAAGGTTAAATATTTCATATTGGGGATTGTTACTCTACTGATAAATATTTATGTTCAAAATCAAAGCTGCCAGTGGGCGTATATTATCTTGCCTGGCAAGCTATCTTTAATGGCTCCCTAATCTATACAAGTAGACACCATGTCAATGATGTCAAATTTTAAGGAAAGGAAACTTTAGCACTTTGAAATAGTTTTGGTTAAGATGAATTATAATTTTGTTCTTTTACAGTGGCATCCTACTTTTGTTCCACGTCATTGTTACAAAAGGAAAATTTTTCAATTTTGAAGTGATTTTGGTGAAATTAAAAGATAATTGTTTAGCTTTCTCAGTAGGGTTTCTGTCACCCAAATGTTATATGAGATGAATTAGATATAGATAGAAATGATTATTATTTGTTTTCTCGCATAAAATTATAGAATAATACCTGTTTAATATTTTAAGGGGTTATATGCTATGTCTATGAATTGTATGGAAGCTGCTGAATCCCAGTTTAAAACTGCATACAAGGTAAGAATACTCAGGTTGCACAGGTCTTAGATAGGCTTATTTTGGCAGCCCAGTAGAACTTAGTCGGGAACAATTGTCAGACCCAAAGTTGTGACCCGTTTATTAGTAACTGGTTATATTTTCTAGTGTATTTGGTGACTTTGCCTCAATGGTCACAAAACATTGAGAATAACAAATAATTATCTATTTATTGTACAGTTATGAGGGCAGTATCATAAAGTGACTACAGTTGTATCTGCTGGAAACCACTGCAGATTCTTTTATAATGGGATTTTACTTTTGATTTGAGTTTCTGTTTTTTTTTATTTCAGTCATCTTCATCTACAGATTTACGTTTATTTGTTAATTTAAATTTAGCTATTGTGTATATAAGAGCAAATAGACATACTGACTTAGCTACTTTATTAGAATCAATCAATCCAGAAACAGTTCCTCAACAGTAAGTATCCAATTTTCTTGATTGAAAAGAGAATTAGATCAGATTTATAAAGTTATTCATCAAAGCTAGCAGAAATTAAATGAAAAAATTCTAATCTTTAAAACAAATAGGGCTTTCTTATATCACTCTTCAAATAGTACATCATAGAAATATATGTTTATATGTTTGAATTTTTGTTAATAATAAATTTTATATTTATTTTGAATGGTAGCTCACATAGTTTAAAGGCAGCAGCATATTATGTACAGGGTTTACAAGGTTTTTTCCAATCTAGATTTACAGAAGCAAAGTAAGTTAAAGGCCAAAGTCTCATCTTTTCTAGTTAATTCTCAACTTCTTATAACACAATACATAATGCCAACTAATAAAATATTATATTCAATACTGAATATTTGACGTACTGTTGTAAAAGTGTTTTTTCGAACAAAACATTGATTTATGGTAATTTGAGATGGACATGTTGTGCTGGGATGTTCTTAGAAATGACTGTAGTATAATCTTTCAGTTAAGAGACAAAATTCAGAATATATCCATGATTCAATCAAATAAGATTGTGAGTTTCAATCTTTTTCAGACGCTACCTCAGAGAAACTTTAAAAATGGCGAATGCTGAAGATTTAAATCGTTTAACGTCCTGCTCTTTAGTGCTATTAGGTCATATATTTTTATCAATGGGCAATCACAGAGTAAGTTACTAAACGATGTACCATATCTTATCGAGACTTTCTCTTTTAGTCAGTTTTGATATACATTAGCATTTGTTAGAGCCAAGACAAATTTGTGAGATGAAATATTTGGCTATGAAATGTATTTTATTTGCAATTCATATGGTTATGTTTGGATATTAAGTGGAAGCTATAATTTCAATTATATGAATTTAGTCCTATTGAAAATCTATTAAATTTTATGTTTTCAGGAAGCAATGAATATGGTGACACCAGCAATGCAATTAGCAGGAAAAATACCAGACGTACATGTGCAATTATGGGCTTCTTCTTTATTAAAAGGTATGTAGTTTGAATTTCCTTAGGCCTTATGTAATAAATCATGAAATTATTTAAGTAAACTCAGTCAATATTAAAAAGGTCATTATTTCCTTCAATAAATTCAGAAGATTATTATGTTGTACTATTATAGTTTTATAAAGTATTGTTATATTTTAATATTCTAGATTTATACAGATTATGTGGTGATAATGTAAATGCAGAAGAAGGCTATATGATGCATACAAATTTTTCCCAATCATTATTAAAAGATCATTTCCAATCATCACAGTTATCTGAGCATGGTTTGATACAGGTAGGGAAATGGTATTTTCATTGTTATATGTCTATTTTTTTTCATGGGACTTCAGCATTGCCTGTTATTTCATTTAGGATTTTGTCTAGTAATATATTGACAAACCTCAAATGCCTTGTTTTACTACGATCAGTTCAAAATTAAACTTTTAATACAGGTTTTTTTTTACAAGGACAAGAAAAACATATAATTCTATTATATTTGTTATTATATTTCAGTGGACTGATGGTGAATGTCCGTTTCATTTAAGTAGTAGTGGTATGAGTAGCAGTGCAATGATTTAACATGACAATCGTTAAGACATATGAAGCTTTATATGAGTCACTGCCATGAAATATTGCTGTCATAGCAGAGCAGATACAATAAAAGGAATGGAAAATGATCTGTGAAAACCTTGAAGCTGGTTTACTCCCAAAACAAACTACAATAAAGTGTATTTGTGAAGAAGCACATGACTTATTACACTGTTGTTAAAGGAGTGTAGAATGAAGACTTAGTAATGATTACTAATTATCAGATAGCTCAGGTGGAATATTCAAGGATCAGCCAAAGTATCAATAAGATTTATAAGTGAGTCCCTTTATTATCAGTAATTACTGATGGATGATTGTGGTGTCACAAATCACAAGATACATATATTCCTGTATAGACTAGCTTCCAGTCGTTATTCTTTTAATTTTTTCCTGCTTTTCAGTTTTTTATTCCATTATTTTAACGACTGGATAAATTCAGGGGATATTGAATATGAATAACAGGTTGATGGTGCCTAAAGGCATTCAATGAGCTAAAAATAAAAAAAAAAATCACTCAGTAGACAGATTTCTTACATGTCTTGGTTGTAGTTAGATCTGGTCAACCCAACCTGCATGCTCACAATTCTTACATTGGTATTCAAATAGTGGTATGTGTTAAAACATGAAATGATGATCAAATTTAAATGGTCTGTAAGACTGCATCTTAGATATGGAAATTGGGATTGCTTAGATATGTATACTTAGAAGAAAAACAGTTGGTTGGAAAGAAGCAGTTATCAAATATATGAAAAGAGTCTTAGCCATTTTATCTTTTTAAATAATCAGAGTTGTGTATCACTCAAACTTGATGTTGAAATCAACGCCTTGATCAATCAATATTTGCTATTTGAATTGGAACATTTATCAGAAATTGCGACCCTTAATGCTGTTATGTTCGACCAAGACTGACAATGCTTGGGATGTTACTTCAGGATTTTAAGTTAAATAACTGGTATTGTAGTACAGTTTAACATGTTAAACATAATTGTTACAAGTTACAACATAAATGAGAGAGAATATTTTATAGTTTTAATGTGCTAGATATCATACTTTTATGTTGGGAGTATAGAAGATTTTAGACTTTAAACTTGTTTGTTTAAGGAAAGGTTGTGCAAATATCATTAATCTCATTTCATTTCATCTTTTCTAGATTTTCTATACATCTGATCTTTTACATTGTTTTTTTTCAATCCTATACAGAGTATATAAAACCAAATATTTCCATATTTATAATTGAAATCTTTCGAGGAGGTTTTCTTTAATCAAATTTTTAAAACATTCTATCAGTATAATATTAGGAATAGATTCTATTTCTTGTTCTACTTGATAATGCCAATGTTCATTCTAGAATACCAAAATTCCTACCTGCATCTCTTTTAATACTGTATTTTTTTTTTTCTACAATTCTTCCCAGTTCATGGTTTTATAGATTATGTTACCTTTTAAGCACTAATTCTTTAGAGTTCATTTGAACATTTTTAAGTAAAATTGTTTTTTGGTTTTATATTTAAACTTTCATTGATAGTACTGATCCATAGTAGTTTGGTAGTTAACATAGATATATTCAGACCTCATGTTGGACTGTTTTTGGAAAAGAAACTTTAGTTATGAATTCCATATTGATTTATAATGTTTAAATTTAGTAAACCATAAATTTTTTCATCAGTTGGTATTTTCATCAATACAAAAACAATTGAACATGATAATAATTTTATCAATTGATACAAAAATGATGAAAAAAGCTATTCAAAAATTATTGACAAAATCAAATTCAAAAACAATGTGGATTGATGTGTTTCAAAATCATAATTACATTTCATGAATTGATAATTATTTCATAGGATTAAGGTTGAAGTATGATATTTTATAACAAAAATATTTACTAATAGAATTTGAGAAAAGAGTAAAACATACTCTCAAGTTAAAATTATACATTTTTCCTTGCTGAAGTAGGATACAAATGTTGTCAATATAAGGTGTGATAATTTTTGACAAGGTGGAAACATAGAATATAATTATTTGTCAGATTACTCCCATTTTTAATTGAACTGTAATGTTAAGTCATGTTTATGTGATAAAATCATCTTTGTTCATGATTACTTGATCATGTTTTAAAATCAATTCATAATAAACATTTGTAAATAAATCATTCTTACAGAGCATTGTAAATAATCATTTTTACCAAATCATAGATCTTTGTATATATTCATTATTTGTGTATAAGTTTATAGCCTGTAAAGAAATACCACCCTTTTACAGTAGATAAATGTTTTGTATAAATTCATTTCTCTTGTATTTTACTGTCTTACTGTTTATAAAAGAGAACAGATATAGTTTCTTGTTTTTTGTTCAACAAACTATTATGTGGTCATGGGAAATGGCAATCGCAATAAAAGCCTCTAATAACGTCATTCCATCTATTATTTGAAATACCAGGGATGAAAGCCTTATCAAATATTATAATATAAATGCAGTCAAAAAATGTTTTGATAGAATACCTGATCCTCGAAATTTGTCTAAAACGGAATGATTTTTATACGCCTACATTATTATGTGGTATATTGTCGTCGCCCCGTCCGTCCACAATTGGACGCAATAGAGATAACAGTTTTTATCTGATTTTAATGAAATTTGGTGTGATTATTTATAATGATGAGATCTCGGACAAGTTCGAATCTGACGATCTGTCGATGAATGATTTTTGAGCTATTGACCTTGACTTACGAAAAAACGCGTCAAAATTTGTTTGTGAACAAAATAGAGACTACAGTTTTATTCCGATTTAAATGAAATTTGGTGTGATCATTTATGATGATGAGATCTTGTTCAAGGTCAAACTTGACGATCTTTCGATGAACGATTTTTTAGTTATCTTTGAAATAAGGCAGATATAAAAGTATTTCTCAAACCCATTGATACCTAACAACTTTTACTTAAAAGCTCATTCCATCCTAAACACACATTTTACACAAGTTTTATGAAACCGAAGAATTTTCACTCAAACAGACGATTTTGAAAATGCGTGTCGATTATAATGAAACATTCCTTATGGATTTATTACCTTCTATATTTTTAAGTTTATTTGAGCGACGTTTCAACCAGCGTGTTCTTTGGTCTTAATCAAGCAATGAATAATATTATAGGTCGGTAATGATATTTTATGGTTAACAAGTATATATAGGTAAAGCCAAAAAGAATAATTACTAGAATACTGTCTTAAGTTAATTGATTCGGTGATTGATATTTAAAAGACTATTAATATCATATTCTCATAGAACTAGCAACGTTTCATTTATACTGTATTTCATTAAGAAATATTTAATATTTCAACATAATTCAAATAAGATTTTGTTGCACCTGCTGTATAGCAGGAATTTGACACATTATGTCTTTTCGCACATGATGCTGTCGGGGTGTGAATGTTGGGAGTGTTTGGCGACGACATGCTAACTAGATTCTGTTTATAACGGGTTATAGGTGCTGAATAGGGTTTATGTTCTTTTTCACGCACAAAATATCACAATTCTGCTTGAATAATTGTATAAGCGTACTTTGTGGTCGAAAATATTTGTCCGATTTGTCACACACGATAACATTGTATTACTGAGATATGACCCTTCATTTTGTCTTTCTTTGGAATAACCACTATTAATGAAAACAGTGGCGTTTCTATGAATCATTTCGGTGGGTGTGGGGCAACAACCAACTAATTTTATATTTATTTCTTTCGAATTTTGATCAACTTTTCCAAAATCATTTTTTTTCTTTTTTATATTGTGGCCTCCTAGGAGAGTTCTAATAAAGTGTTGACAGTAATTGCGAGTTGTGGTAAACTTGTTTGTTATGACAATTAATACAACGTTCAATAATTAACCGTTCCATAAATCAATTTTTTAAACTGATTAGTCAAACACACATACACATTTACACCCCTAATAATGTGTTGGCTGTGTGTTCCCTCGTCGAACTCCAGGATAGTGGATGATAATTTCAATCCCTTTCGTCCTCTGTCATTGACGTTTAATATTTACACCTTATATGACAGGTTGAAACGATCATTAGAGACGTAATTGCAATCCGAAAGACTCCTCCGTAGGCCTAGTATTGGTGTCAAAATGTTCAATTTTAAATACAGAGATACATTTTCGTAGGATACCTGGAAAAACAATTACTGAATGCATATTTCACCATTATGTTTCCAAATAATTATATTTCAATGTCATGGATCCACATTTTCGAAAAATAACATTCCGTCTCACAAGGAGGCTCAATTAATGTGGGAAATTGCTAGTGGATGTATCCGATGTAAACAATAGAAAAAAGCTTGCTGGATGGACAGTATTTTGTCAATATTTTGGTCTAAATAAATAATCACCTAAAAGAAAAATACTCATTTAATATACATGTGCATTCCATGATATAATGTATTCAATTAAATATCGACAAAATAATTCACAAACATTCAGATAAAACGTAGGAAACTTGATCGAATCACAACAAGATTTTTCTCGAAGAAACAGAACTACTTGCAGGATATATATATAAACCGCAAAATATTTTTTATTAGAAAAAGCAGCCAATTCCGGCTTAAAGCTGAAAAATATATAATTCACGAGATCTGTGTTTCAATACAATAGATTTTCGTGGTCAGAAGAGCACAGACACGAATTTCTATGGTTGATTAATTTTCTCTCTGTGAGATATATATTTAGGCTACCATTTTAAAAAAATATAATTAGCTGTTTGAATTATCTAGGCAAAAAGCTGCACAATCTGTTATTTTTTTTTGGCTTTTTTTATCCCTTAGGTCTATTGATAGCCTACCGGTTGTGTGTGACGTCAAACGAGTAACAATGTGATAATTAAGGTAACACATACAATTGCCTTCCGTTGTCAGAGTACCCACGTGTGTATAAAACGAACCATTCCACCATTTAAGTTTTACAGAGTAAAAACGACTCGTGCTTGGCACATTGCAGCTCTGTGTTACAGCTGACTATCGAAGAAATCGAAAACGTTATGCATTCTTTTAGCATTGATTACCTAACAAGAAAAGAAGCTGATGATGGGAACAGAAGTCCAGCTCGTTCACTGAACAGTTTTGGCGAAAGTAACTCTCCGAAAGACTGTGGGAATATCTCCGAACGCTCCGCAGACGGTGATCAAGAACCAACGTATGGCTCTTCAAAGCCGCCTCTCAGCTACATCGCCTTGATTTCAATGGCTATCTTGGATTCGGCAGATAAACAGACGTTGCTCGGAGATATATATCAGTTCATTATGGATAAATTCCCTTATTACAACAATAAGGGCAAAGCTTGGAGAAACAGTATCCGCCACAACTTGTCACTCAACGAATGTTTTATCAAAAGTGGACGTGCTGAAAATGGTAGGGGTAATTTCTGGTCAATTCATCCTGCCTGCATAGAAGACTTCTCTAAAGGAGACTTTAGACGCCGAAAAGCCAGAAGAAGGGCTCGTAATAGTGGATTGTTAGATATAAGCGAGATGCCCTTAAGTTACAGATGCAACCTTGGATACGTTCTTATGACACCTTCGGTAGTGCCTTTCAGTCCTGTAAAACAATCGTCGTCAGAAGTCACGACATATTCTCATCCAGAAACGCCATTTCCTTCTATCTATCAGCAGAGTCCTGAAAGTTTTAATTCGTGGTGATGATAATATTTATGGTAACTAAAAATATCAAGATTATATTTATATTTTACGTTAAAATGTATTTTCCCAACCTAAAATGGTAAATTGGTGCTGTGGCGTTTTGTAATTCTGCAAATATTTTTGGGTAGCTTGTTTAAAGTTGTCTTATGATAATTCATTTGTACTCTATCATATTTTGTAAATGAAGTGTCATAACCCTTTAGGAATTTCGAAGCTTATTTTCCGAGAGATTATTATTAAAATACAAGACACTGTTGTAAAAGGGGATCATTAAGCTTAATATACAAACCCAAACAGCATTAAAGCAATTCTTTCCTTCCTTAATATTGCTTTCTATTGTTATTGGTATTATTGTTGTTATTCTCGATTTGTGACTTTATGTGTTTTAAACATTGAGTAATATTCATAATTATGGTGTTAGATTCTTAATAGGATTGTCTATGAATATGGTGTAAGATTCATAATTATTGTGTATGATTCTTCTAATTGTCCAAGATTTATAATCACTGTGCAAGATTCATAATTATTGTGTAAAATTCATAATTATTGTGTAAAATTCATAATTATTGTGTAATATTCATAATTATTGTGTAATATTCATTATTTGTGAGTAATATTCATAATTATTTCCAAGATTCATAATTATTGTTCATTATCACATAACAGAGATAGTATAATATTCATTAAAGAGACAGATGCACCATTTTTTACCAGTCTCAGAAAAGGGAGCATTTTTTAAGTAAGCCAATCAGTAATAATGTTCACAGCTCATCGTCGAAATTTGAGCCTTCAAACCCATGTGTGTTCAGAATTATCCGCGTTTGAATGTTAAAATTGAGAGTATATATTTTAAAGACATATATTGAAATAATAAGTAAAATTCCTTATTTGAAATATTTTTAAAAGAATTTTGCGATTTTCTTACATTTCTAGTACTTCTGAAGACTATTTACATAATATTCATCACTCAAATCAACCACCCAAAATGCTGCATCTGTTCTTTCAATATTTTGATCGTTAGAGTCCTTCATAATCTTACTGGTCCAATATTTTTGTTTTCTTTCTTTTTAACTTGCTATTTATAATAAAATAGTTATGAAAATAACATTTGTTTTTACTTTTTTATTTATAAAGATATGGATTCAATCTGTCCTTCGCGTTCTTGCATAATTTGTTTTTAAAGAGATTCGTTGAGATATTGACGATAAACACATGATGAACATGGAAGTTAAAGACGAAGATTTAATAGAAAAAGGTCATACATCATTTGGGTATTATGATATAACTGTATATAATAAAACAAGGGGAATTGTTACATTAAATTCTTGTGATGAAATGGTACTTCACTATTTCCTTCTTCAGCGGTTTGACGAGATCGTGGTAAATAGGATAGAAAAAAGTAAACATCAGGAATGTCAGCCTCAAAATAGTACTTATAATTGTTAATAAAAATATAAACATGAGTACAAATTATCTCTTTAAATTGTTCACAATGGTCAATATTCAGCTCCAATTTTTTTTGTCTGTTTTTTTCAATATTAACTTACAATCAATTTTTATGAACGTCATTGTAAGACTGTCAGTACTGTTTTAAAGGATTGTCAAGAGGTTATTTAAACTGTTTATGTACCTTTCCCATATTGACGTCATCCGAACCAAAGCAACTGATTGAAAATTGGAATAGTGCAAATGGATGCTATCAGTGTCCACTATACTCATATAATCTTTTTTTCTAAACCTCTTTACAATCCCTTTAAAGCAGGTATTCAGTTAAATTTTAAAAGAAAGGTCAAATTTCGATTCACCAACTAATAATCGAAGACAGTAAATTGCTTTAATGGACACAAGTACAGATCAAAATGTAAAATTTAATATTGAATTATGAACTATAGAACAGACGCAAATGATTAACAACAAACTTCAATGAGAGGAACGTTTTAATTGTTGGGATCTTCAAATCATTTAGATCAAAATCAAGAGTTAATTGCAAATATTAACAAGCGTATTGAACACAACAATTAAGAGAAGAAAAGTGCCACAAAGTAGTGTTGAATGAAAATTGATGTTAAGAGTCAAGCACTGTATATAATTTGGTGCTAATTGGTTTATTTTATAAAAGAATTACCTAACGGCTCTCCTTTCTTTCGTCAAATGGTTTTTATCACATACTTTGCACGATTTAACAAGGAAGTTGAAGGTGATAAACAATCTTGTGTTGAATCTGAGGCAACAAACAACTTTTCCCGGACACGTTCTGTGTATGAAAATTTTGATTCGACACTCAGGTCCCATTTAATTTATCATCAAGTACCCGAAAAAGTAAAACGATTACACCTACCATGTATTTATTTATTTAGATTAAGAAATACAATTCCAGACCATATTTAATTCTATTTAATTCATGCATACGAAATGTTGTGGAATGAGAATAATATTCCAATAAAAAGCACGAACCTTATAGCTAGAACTATATATTTTTATGTGCCATTAAATTTAAAATTCGATTCATCGCAACCACCCGATAGTAATACAACTTTTTTATAAGCCCACAAAAAGAAAATAAAGCTAAGATTCCATAAACGCGTCATGCGGATGCGTCATGCGGACATAAATGGCCCATGCGGATCCGTCATGCGCCAAATATGATTTCATATGTGCGTTAAACCTATGCGTTATCTTTCTTTTAACGCACGGACTTCGAGACAGATGGATGCTTTGGTGCATAAAAAAGACAGGGAATCCCCACAAAATACGTCACATTTGGGAGATCTCCGCGCGGAAAGGCGTCCGGATGCGTAAAAAATCGCTACACCCGGCGAGTTTTTTTTTTGACGCAAGACGGAGACCATTTGACGGATACCGCTTCCGCATATATGGAATCATACCCTCTTAAACCAACCATTTCGATATTTTAACGCATGACGGATGACGGATCCGCATGACGCGTATATGGAATCTTAGCTTTATACTTTATATAGAGTGGATATGCTGAGAATTCAAACCATTCTTAATGGTTATAATTTAACAAGTAAGACCAGAATTCTTCAGATATTTGTAAATGTTTAATTTATGTTTAATTTATCTTAAAATAGAAACAGAAAGACTCTAATTGATAATTATTGTAGTTTCGAAATTTTCTTCTGTCTGTTCCACATAATTATACATATCATCTATATGCACCATGGTTTATTTAAAGGGACATAGTTGTCAGGTTCTACCGTTCCCCCCTTGTCCTCATAGCCTGATTTAGTTAGGTAAAACAAATCACGTGAACTGTAAACAGGTCTTTATAGTCTGAAATAGGTAAAACAAATCATGTGAACTGTAAACATGTCTTTATAGTCTGAGATAGGTAAAACAAATCATGTGAACTGTAAACATGTCTTTATAGTCTGAGTTAGGTAAAACAAATCATGTGAACTGTAAACATGTCTTTATAGTCTGAGATAGGTAAAACAAATCATGTGAACTGTAAACATGTCTGTATAGTCTGAGATCGGTAAAATAAATCATGTGAACTGTAAACATGTCTTAATAATCTGATTTAGGTAAGCCAAGATATTTGAACTGCTCCCTTTTGCTCCCCAGTAGCTACAGGCATGGATGCACAAAAGGTTGCACGAGAACCATAATCACTTTCAATTGATAACTAACCCTCCATTATCGGTCTATTCTTACCTGAATACATCACCGACATTTTGTCTTGAAACAACATTAATAAATAATTGATGATGTAGAATGATGTTTAAATGTCTTCTAAATTACCATGATTTAATTACAGTTAGTTAATAATTATTGTGTTAACGATAACTTTAGTGTTTATATTCCATTATAAGCCTTCCTGTTTGATCAACATTATGAGTTGAAAAGTGAAATTCCATCTTTTTCCAATGAACAATTCCATTAACTTGGATAAAGAAATTCTCTATGAAATTTTGTCAGGCGACGGGTGGAGATGTTTTCGGTAGAAACAACTATTAAATAATCAGTTTAGTTTAGAATGTTTTAGACATTGTATTTGTGTGTAAAGATAAGCATGGATAAACGCTTATTATATATGTAAGTAATAGTTATAGCAATAGAGCCTATATTTCAAAATGCAAATTTTCGATAATGTATAATCGTATAATTTTCATTAAAGTTTTCATCGTTTCTTGTCAGTTCTATATTTTCAAATGCTCATTGCAATGTCAGTTTACTGTTTATAAGCTATTTGGGTATGGTATTTTCAAGATGGCCGTCTTTGTCATCCATCTTTGATTATTAGTTGGTTTTGTTAATATAGAAACGATGCAAAAGATTGATAAATAATCACTTTATTAGGTTACGAAATTAGACCTTTCTTGCACTTCGTCCAACTTATATACATACAAACCAAATTAATCAGCGACTATTATACAAGCAATATACAATTGATAACAGAAGAAACATGCAATATTTGTCAATTTGGTAGATTTATATACAAATTTGATCAAAAACTGTAACTATTTGGTTTTTGGGATGTAAATTAAAATATATTTATGAAATGATTCGGGATTTTTCAAAACTTTTAGAGTGGAAGGTAGGCTAATCCAAAGACTGGATCCCTTAAACTTTACACTGTATTTGGCTAGAGAAAGTCGTGGCTCCGGACAGATATGTAGGGTAGGCTATTGATTATTCGATATCTATAAATATATTTCAAGGAATTCAGTTTGTGTTTTAAAAAGATATCTATAATATTGAAGTTATGCAGGGATTTTAAAATGATAGATTTATTAGGGCAGATCTACGAAAGCGTACGGAAGCGTATTAGGGCCATTCATTTTTTTTTTTTTTTGAATTTTCAAGTTAGTATTTTGAATTTTCAAGTTATTATTTTGAATTTTCAAGTTCGTATGTTGAATTTTCAAGTTAGTATGTTGAATTTTCAAGTTAGTATTTTTATACGCCCACATGAATATCCGATTCTGATGAAACTTGGTGTGATCATTGGAATTCATAAGATCTCGGACAAGTTCTAACTTGACGCATTTTCGATGAACGGTTTTTGAGTTATTGCCCATGACTTTGTTAAAACGCGTCGAAATTTGTTAAAAATAGTTTGTGAGCAGGATTGAAGCTACAGTTTTCAACCGATTCTGATGAAACTTGGTGTGAACCTTGAAATTGATAAGATCTCGGACAAGTTCTAACTTGACGCATTTTTGATGAACAGTTTTTGAGTTATTACCCTTGACTTTGTTAAAACGTGTTGAAATTTGTTAAAAATAGTTTGTGAGCAGGATTGACGATACAGTTTTCAACCGATTCTGATGAAACTTGGTGTGATCATTGGAATTGATAACATCTCGGACAAGTTCTAACTTGACGCATTTTCGATGAACAGTTTTTGAGTTATTGCCCTTGACTTTGTTAAAACGTGTTGAAATTTGTTAAAAATAGTGTGTGAGTAGGATTAACGCTACAGTTTTCAACCGATTCTGATGAAACTTGTTGTGATCATTGGAATTGATAAGATTTCGGACAAGTTCTAATTTGACGCATTTTCAATGACGGTTTTTGAGTTATTGCCCTTGACTTTGTAAAAACACGTCAAAATTTGTTAAAAATAGTTCGTGAGCAGGATTGAAGCTACAGTTTTCAACCGATTCTGATGAAACTTGGTGTGATCATTGGAATTGATAAGATCTCGGACAAGTTCTAACTTGATGCATTTTTGATGAACGGTTTTTGAGTTATTGCCCTTGACTTTGTAAAAACGCATCAAAATTTGTTTGTGAGCACAATAGAAGCACAGTTTTCAACCGATTTTAACTTGGTGTGATCATTGGAATTGATAAGATCTCGGACAAGTTCTAACAAGAGATATTTTTGATGAACATTTTTTGAGTTATTGCCCGTGACTCTGTAAGCACGCGTCAAAAGTTGTTTTTTGCCCTTGATTAGAGCTGTGTGATTTAATTGTTTGTTGTATTTGGGTTATTGATATTGATTTTAAAAAATTTTGTGGAATTATTCAGCATAAATAATTTCTTCAATATGAGAGAATTCGTACTTTAGTCACTAAAGACTGTTTTATCATTTCTGACATCTGCCAGTGGGCGTATGTTACATTGCATCGCAAGCTATCTTGAATTTTCAAGTTCGTATCTTGAATTTTCAAGTTAGTATGTTGAATTTTCATGTTAGTATGTTGAATTTTCAAGTTAGTATGTTGAATTTTCAAGTTAGTATGTTGAATTTTCATGTTAGTATGTTGAATTTTCAAGTTAGTATGTTGAATTTTCAAGTTAGTATGTTGAATTTTCAAGTTAGTATGTTGAATTTTCAAGTTAGTATGTTGAATTTTCAAGTTAGTATGTTGAATTTTCAAGTTAGTATGTTGAATTTTCATGTTAGTTTGTTGAATTTTCAAGTTAGTAACTGGAGGTTTCATAGCCTACATGACCTAAATTTAAATTGCCTCGAATTTTAAGTATTGTAACATTGCAATTAAAATGGAGCATCTGGATTTTCTGTCTCTACCCTAGTCTAAAATTGTCAGGAAAAGCTCTAGTGGCATAGGCTAGCGATGTCAGATGCCCCAAGACAGTTTGTGTAAGAGTTTTCATACGCGAGCATTGTCATCTCGGCCAAAGACAAAGAGTGTTTCCTGGCACAAATGTCTTAGAATACATTTGTCACAAAAGATAACGACCCAAATCAAGCCCTGAGATACTATATAATTTTTTGGCATTTTATGTGTAGGCTAGTCACAGTCCAGAAATTTCAAAATAATAAAACAAAAGAACACCGTTAATCAAAAAAATACTTTAACTCTTCTATTTTTTATCAAGAAACTGTTAAACTGTTAAACAGCTATTAATGTTACTAAGCAACAAGTATAAATTCTAACAACTGATAACCAGCTAAATTACTAGCCTACCCTGATAATGTTTATTATTGCAAATCAACAAATACGATTTTTGCATTTCTTTAAAATTATGTTGACTATTATAAAGCCAAACGTTGGGTTTCTTTTCTTTTTTTCTAATAATGTCCTTCATTTCTCTATGATTCTATCAAAACCCTTCAACGTTTTCAGTTAAATTTTCTTTGACACCGTTGTCATAGTCAAAAATCATTCAAAATGTTTTCTTTGATGGTTACAACTGGTTAAATATAACGCCATTTTAACAGGACTGTGGTTGAAAATTTGTTTGATTACAATGAAGTAAGAAATATTAGGATATAAAACAAATTTTAATAAGATTAGGCTACCATGGTTATTATGATTACAAAAAGTTTTTTTTTACCAAATCGTATAAAAGCATGCTTCATGATTGTTTGCAGAAAAGAAAGCTAAAGCATAATATGTTATGAAAAACGTTTCTAATAACCCTTTTCCACATGTTGTAGGCTAATTATAACGCATATCGATTTGGTACATCTAATTGTGGGTAAGTATTAAATAGTATCTACGTTTTCATAACCTTTTCCTGTTTGTGAGGTAGAAAAATACGAACATGGTTAACATGGTTTTGTCACACCTCGTCCGGTCTTGTGAAACTGCCTTGTACTTTTAAGTATAAGAGACCCTAATATGTCTTTTTTTTCTCGTTTTTATAATTATATTTGTCTCCTTTGTGGAAAATTTAAGAAATTCGTAAAATACATTACTCGATTTCCGAGAAATCAACAATTTAAAATCTGGTTATTCTCAAATGAACAATGACGTTGAAATTGAAGAGGTAAGATTGCTGTAGTCTCCAATTCAGAACACAAGCACATCCGAAGTGCTGATGTTGATTAAAAGTTTTCTGCAGCCACCCTTAAAGTTATTAACTGGGAAAATGACGCCATCATTGCAAGCAAAATAGAGTCTTATTCCTTCTAATTCAGAATCCAATACGACCACGACATTTGAAAGTGTCAGCGAAAATGTTGATCGTCTAAACAAAACCACGTCTACGCCAGTATCCACAAATTCCAAAGAACAAATACAAACAACGACCGACCACAAAGTACCATCCACAACCGATTTTAAAAGCAACAAAGACATATATGTTCAAAAGTACAATACAACTACTAGGGCAGATGCTAAAAGCATCAAAGTACCAACCACAACGGGTGAAAAAGGGGTTTTTGTACCAACCATCGAAAAGGACGATACAAACAGTAACCAGGATAGTCAGGTACTAACTACAACACTTCTTGGTGTAGCCTCAACGCCTTCATCAAAATCATCAAGATGTTTTATTCTGAGAGAATTCGGGACATGGGATTTCTTCTACAAGTACACACGGGAAGAAGTCAGACAGGTATTATGTATCTGTAGAAAAATATGTGTACCACCACCACCAGCATCTAAACCACCTGACTCCAATTCAACAGATGGATCTTCAGATGACGGCGATGTTAAGATCAAGGAAGAGGATAGGATGTCATTTATTGTTCTTACAACTATTTACTCAATACTCTTTACTCTAGGCGTTGTTGGTGAGTACATGTTTATGAATTGTTTTGTTTTTGATATTTCTTGTGTCATAATTTATGTCTAAAAAATTTTTGGTCAGAGAAATGAGAAACTCGAAAGGTAGAACAGATCCAACTTGTCATCATCGTATATGCAATGCTTCAAAAAATATGTCATTTTTCTTAAAATATAAAACACAATGTATCATATTATGTATAATTATGGTGGTAACATGCATTGACGTTTCTAAAAACAAATGTTGAGGGTGGCGAGCAAGGGTCATACAATTGCTAGAAGGCCACAGGCTATGCTTTCATGTAGACCACCACCACCCTCCCCTTCCCCCACTGGTAAAATGAGAGACAAACGCAATTATAATAGCGTACATATACTTCTATCTAATCTATTTAATATAATTTCGCTCACATGAAAGCTGTTTTGTTATTTCACCTATATCCTTGCAAAAATTATCCCATTCACAGAACATAACTAAAAAAATAAAATAAAAATACGAGCGTGTCAATAAGATTTGGAACAAAAGTCAAGAAAATGTTTCCTAAATTTTCATATATCAATGTTTAATAGCGGTCATTGTTAATCTATACTCCAAGGTTCGGGCCCATATAACATTGTATGTGATTGATTACAGGTAATATCTTGACGATTGTTGGATTGTTATTTTGGATGAAGTCAAGGTCAGCAACTTTCTTACTGATACTGAGTCTCGCTGCTTCAGATTTACTTGTTGTAATGGTGTGTCTACCTCTTAAGGTAATATTTTCAATACTTTAATAGTAAATCGGTATACAAATGCTATTTTTGAAAAAAATATGTCATTATACTACGTACGTGAAAACATGCAAACATTTTACAGTCTTTCTGTTGATCGCTCTGATTATTTGTATTTGCTTAAAATAAAATCACTATATTTACAAACAATACAGACAAATCACTGTATTTACAAACAATGCAAACGTGATACAAAGAAAAGTGCTTAACGAAGCCCTGGTATTAGATGAAGTTTGTGATAGCTTGAGAGTCGCCATTTGCAGTGCGTTCTGCCTTGTTTTCGTAATTTAAATTAAAAAAATATGATTTAGTGTCGCCTAATCTGAAGAAATTGTAATAATCGCAGCAACATTTTCTATACCTTACATCTACATTTGTGGTAATTTACAGAATGAATATAAATTGGAACATGTTTGCTAAACGGATAGTGCCACGGTGCAAAATGTGCAAAAAGTAGAAAATTTGCTCTAGAAGGTGCATTTTTGGAGCGAATTTTTACGGATTTTCAATTTTAGAATCTCGCAAGAATATCCAATAGATTAGCATTTTCGAGCACATGTTTGACCAAATTTTCGATTATCTCTGATATTGGTCCGATTGCTTTGAAATTTATGCAAAAAACTTTGAATTACTTCCAGTTTTCACGAAATCGATGTGCAAACTTCCGGTTGATCCACTTCCTGTATTATGAATGAATGTAACTGAAACGTATACTAAAAGGTAGATATCGTTACAAAATCAGGGGCATTTACTACACACGAAAATTGATATTTTGACCTTCGCTATCGGTTGATAGGCCTAATTTTATATTTGATCTCCGATTTCTACTTCCTGTTTTATAGCTTTCCAAAAACAGAACAATTTTCAATTTTGGACTGCTCTAACACGTAGATGATATTTTGTTCTGATTCTTGATGGACTTTTTGTGCTCTTTCTAACTGTATAAAACAAAAGTTTTCAATGCCAAATTTAAAATTTTTACTTTTGACACTGATTTTTTGATTTTTAAATTTTTATTTTTTTTGCAAACTAAAATCAGTTTTTAAAAGTTTGATATAATTTCCGGTTCTGGTGCAATATGCTTGTAAAGGTTAAATTTCAATATCTGGAATTTTATAATTTTTTAATCGGATTTGCATTATTTATATGTCTATATCATCAGTGAACGATTCCAACAATCGTGTGGGAGCCGATTTTTTTTAATTTCCTTTGTTTTTTAGTTATTTCCAGTTGATGTTTTTTTTTCAATATTGACCAAAACTTTCAAGGTTCATATCTGGTGACCTTGACCTTTGGTGACCTTGTGACCAGCACAAAAGTCAGACGAGATCTATCCAAAAATGTATCTACTTTTGTCAAGCAATGTTAACTTTCGGTTCCGTTTGAAAATCGCTATTTTTAACTTTGAAGATCTCTGTCACGTGTTCTAATTAACACACGACAAAATGTTTTTTAATATCCTTCATGTGCGCGTTCTCTACTTTCTGATAATATATCGCACATGGTATTTTAATCAAAATTGCGCTTTTTAAAATTTGAAAATTGTGTACCGACTTCTATAGTAACTATGCGTAACTTTTAAGTATAACAACTAACATTTCATGATCTAATTAAGGTAGACTCTTGAAAATTTAACATTGTGCACAAAAAAGCAGACATTACAAAAAATCTGGGGTGGGCGTGGTACATCCTGGTAAGATTTACATATACTTAAACTATTTGAAATTTTTAATAACTCACAAAGTATGCACTTGTCAATCTTTAAACTTTGCATCAAAATAGGACACTACTTCGGCCAGTTCATGATTAAGACACAGTTGTCTGCACTTTTTATTTCAAAAAAGGAATAGGTTTTATAGGCTTTTAACTTTTAAGGCTCGTAATTCTTTTATCTGACCTTTGTTGGCCTTTTGATCAGCACAAATGTTATTGTGCTGAACAAGATCTATCCAAAAATATCTTCATTTTTGTTTTGCGATGTATACTTGTGGTTTTACAGATATTTAAAAAATCGACTTTACACTACCGAATGTTAACACCTTTTAGTACCAAATGGTATGCAATTCATGCGTCTTTTAACTACCGAACGTTTAGTAGTTTAGCGATTTTTTTCTACTGAATGTTTACATGTTTTTCTTTTCAGTAAGAAATCCCAGTGTGACTATAAAATGCAGCGTTTAAACGATGTAGCAGATCGGACACGCACTGCATGAGAACCGTCCATGTTTCTCGTTTATTATTCTTTAAGTAATGTGGCAAATTGAATGGACACGTGCAAAGCCATTTTTATACGCCCACATGGAATGATCCGTCCGTATGATTGTTTGTAGTCACCCAAGGATGAACCCTATTGAAAATCAGGAAACTCGAAAACTAGTATGAGTTATTGCCCTTGTTCTTGAAATGCTCGTTAACACTCTAGTGGGCGCAGTTCTTGGCGGATTTAGTTGAAACTTGGTGTGAGTGTTATTAATCACACAAGGATGAACCCTATTGAAAATCAGAAAAAAAGTAAAATAATTAGTATGAGTTATTACCTTTGTTCTCAAAAACGCGTTCAATTTTAAGCTCGTTAACGCTCTAGAAAGTTCAATTATTAACAGATTTTGACGAAACTTGGTGTGAGTATTTTTTATCAAACCAGGATGAACCCTATTGAAAAGCGGAAGAATCAAGAAATAATTAGTATGAGTTATTGCCCTTGTTCTTAAAACGCGTTCATGTTTTAGCATCTTGAATTCTTGACAGATTTTGACGAAACTTGGTGTGTGTAGCTCTGAAAACTGTATTCAAAATGTCTAAAATGATAGTTTCTGTTGAAAAATAGAATCGTTCGTACATTAAGTTATTTAAAAATTTCAATTCATTATGAATGAAAGTCTGCCGATTTGACCACTGATTTGTGATATTTATCAAAGAGAACAGGTGTGTATATATAGTAGAAATATCATGAGATATAATATCTGTCACAGCTAACTACTCTTTGAACACCATGCTGTCTGCATTGGATTTTATCCAATTTTTTCCATATAATATTTTCAATGTATGTGTTATTTGTCACAGAATTAGTTCCGTTCCACAAAAACAAAATTCCCCGTCATAAATTCGGCATGAAAATTTGAAAATTTACCATATTTTTTACGGATATATATTCACAATAAAAATTGTTCATTTTTGGCATTTGTATCAACTCAAAGACAATCAATGACTCTCAATATTATTTGGAACTATAATGCGATGTGGTCGGACAGTTGTAGTAGTCATATAGGATTTTATACTAGTAAATCACTTTCAATTTCTATTATGCTGCCATAGTCACTTATTTTCATGTTTATATATTTTTCTATTAGGAAATGGAATTTTTTCGTATATCTAACGTATTAGATGGAATGGTTTGTAAAGCAGTTTATTATCTGAAAGACTTCAGCTTAGCGTGCTCCGTATTGACCCTGACTGTTATTAGTTTTGAAAGGTAACATAATTTGCCGTATCACTTTTTTGTTAGAATGTCTGATTTGCCTTAAATGAATAAAACAGAATGTTCCCATAGGGTATTGCTGGCAAGAAGATATTTGGAGATATAAATATATGATAACGATCTCACAAGCAATTGTATTTATATTTTTCAATTACAATTTTTAACAATCGATGCAGCTATACCGAACAACAACAAAATAAAAGGATACGATGATTTATCACAAATTTTAAAATATTGATTTTTGCAATAGTATTGAAAACTACAAATATGGGAAGAACAAGTACATTTGATTCACAACTATTTCGAAAGGTCAGGTTCGAATCTCCGGGTTCGGGCCTAAATCTGGTAATTAGAAATATTTTTCAGGCAATTACTGAACTTAAAGTATTCACCTGTCACATGTTTTAAAAAAAGATTTTTTTAGGCCTACGCAGTTTAAGCTCTATCTATCTATCTATCTATCTATCTATCTATCTATCTATCTATTCTATCTATTCTATCTATCTATCTATCTATCTATCTATCTATTCTATCTATTCTATCTATCTATCTAAACGCTCAGCAGTTTCAGACTAATAACTTGCAAGTTTTTAGTGAAAATCTTTCTGGAGAGCAACTCAGGGTTTGATCAGCAAAACAATCTTATTTTCTTCATTATGTTTACAGGTTCTATGCTATCTGTTACCCATTGAATGCACAGTTTCGATGTAGTGTTAAAAGAGCCATGGTTTTGATCTTAATTATATGGCTAGCATCAGCACTGTTAGCTTCTCCTACAATTTTTGCAATGGTAATCCTTTCAAATATTTTCAAATAGTTATGGCGTTTAAAAAAGATAAGGGTCACATTTTTCTTTGGAGGACTAACTTTCCAAATATTGTTAAAAAAAAACATATTAGTCAAGAAATTACAAACTTCGTCTTTTATCTTTTGAGTATATAGAGTTCGTTAATATCTTGACCTTTGTAAAGATGCAGTAGATAGGTATCATGGGTATTGGGCACCAACGGTTGTCTACAATAAATCATTGACACAAGAATCTTTGTTTTTCATTTTCTTTCTAACACATTGACTTTTCTTATTTTATATTTTAGAAAAGTTACATTAGTTCGTGGACAAATTCAAATTTGTGTCGCAGTAATTTTGATTATCCAATCCATACAAAGTTGTATTTCATCTATTATTTATTGATATTGTATTGCATTCCACTAATGGTGATGGTTTACACTTATGGCAAGAGTGCTTTGACTCTGTGGAAAAGCGCCCAGATTGTTCAGAATATGCAAGGCGACAACAAAAGGTAACTAGATACTATTTGACTTAAATGTACTGATAGACCTGCATCCCTTTCCAGATTGGTTCATCAGACCCTGTGTCTTTGTCAGGACAAAATGCGCCATTTCTGTAGGCTTTCAAATTGTTCTTTTAAAATTTGATCTGATGCATTCTGATTCAGAAAAATGTAAATGTAATGAAAAATATCGCTGTGGAAATGCCGTACAGCTGAACCATGTAAATTAATGGTAGGCCCTACATTTTATCTTGGACAGTGGTTTAGCTACCATAAGGATCAGTTGAACTAAGCCCATGGGCCTCCACCCTTAAGGGGGTCCCATCCCTAGAATATAATACTCATCTAGTTGAACCACTAAGCTTGGAAAGATCTTTATGACATAGACCAGAGGGAGAAGGGGGGTATTGTCACCCGAAAGGGGGCAAAATCTGAGTTAACTTTTGTAGAGGCATTTTTCCTCGGGAATCTGAATCAGGGGGCGTTTTTGAGTTATTCAAGGTCAAAGGTCACGAAAGTCAAAAAACACAAAAAACGTTAAAAATTTAGAATTTAACTACACAATGTGTACAAATTCATTGATATCATCTAGAAATTGGCGAAAGCCCATTAGTGTGAATCGGCACTATCTATAAGTCCCAATTCTTTGAGGTAATCCAGGTCAAAGGTCACGAAAGATCAAAATGGAAAGACGGATCTCATTGATCATGTCATAAGCAATATCAAGTAATTGTTAAAACTCCTATCGAAATAAATCATTTACTTGTACATGTACATGCATGAAAAAAATTAAACTAACAATTTGAAAATCTCTAAATCACAGTAATTCGTCTAAAACGCCGTCGGTGAACTGTTCAATCGATAATCCTTCGTCAACAGTTTCTCTTAAGTCCAGATGGATTTCCTCATCGAGTTATAATAATAATGTGTATATTTATTTAGAGTTCCACTAAAAGGTCCGATAACTCATCTGGATATGGTGTCTTCAGCCATTTAATCATTAAATCGTTCGTCCAACCATTATTTGACGCGGGGGTATAGATAATAGGCTGCATGATCAGACAGCCGCCACATTCTAGCAATATATTTAGAACGCTGTATATGCAGTACTAAGGACGTCAGACACGAGGGGGGAGGGGAGAAAACATAGGTCGACTATCTTTCTCTATCTCAGATTTCAGGGTATTCACTTTACTGAGTACAGTTTTCAGTTTCTTCTGATTTTGATCGTAATTTTTCTGAAGTTCTGCCTGGCAATTACTCAATGCTGTTTGTCGATATTCGTTGATATTCTTCAACGAATCCTCGGCTATATTCTTCACTGTTTTCAATTCTTCTAACTTACATTTCAGTCTGTCTTTCTGATCTTTGTAATTTTGGTGTAACAGTCTTCACAGAAACATTTCAGCTCCTCCTTAGGATGTTTGGAGCAGTAATCTGTATCTCCTGTTCTGTTTGTTGAACTCGTTGATGGAGCAAATAGATAAAAAATTGTTGAAAACTTCCTCACCCCGCTATCAGGAATTTTGCTGATTTTGTTACACAACGGACATTTGATGGCGTTGCGGCTACCCGCCAAATTGGAACTAGCCAGGTCTTCCAGACACTTCCAACAAAATGTATGATGACAATCCAATAATTTAGGTTCCTGGAATGGTCCAAGACATGCAGCACATTCAAACTCTTCTACATTCCCATCCATTTTGATTTTGAATTCTGAACAATTCAATAATCTTTATGGTACGTAATGATATAATCGAATCTCTTATGTCATGTTTTTATCAACCCGAAAACTGAACAACGTAATAAATATAATCTGAATACCAGTTAACAATCCACCATAGTTTCCCTTGAAAAAACATCCTGTTTGTAGTTTGTAGTTTAAAGTTTAAAGATCTCCAATCCTATGGTAATAGTAATATAAAGTGCCTCCAGCATTTCTAGATTTATACCTCCAGTTTTGGTTAAAGGGACAGGTGTGCCATTTTAGAGGGTTGTTTTTAGATTTAAAATATGTAAATAGTCTTCAGAAGTACTGAAATGTACTAATCATACCAATGATGTTAGTTTCTTAAAATTATAAAAACCACCGAGAGTTGCCTTGTATTTCTAGATTTAGTGGATTATTCTCCTGAAAATGTTTTGAAACTTTGAATTTGTTGTCATTAATTTTGATTTAAGCTGATCAAAAGATAAATAATAAGGCTGTTATTGAACCCAACTATTTTGTATTTGAACATGTAATTATTTATGTTTGTGATCAAGTAAGACTAGAATCGTATTAGCTAAATAGATGGTGTTCTAAATAAAAGCATATTGCTCTTTTAATTTGTTGTAATGTTCACAATGTCAAGCTATTACAAACTACATCTTCACAATGTCAAGCTATTACAAACTTCATCTTCACAATGTCAAACTATCACAAACTTCATCTTCACGATGTCAAGCTATTACAAACTTCATCTTCGCAATGTCAAACTATCACAAACATGACCTATTTTGACCTTTCGTGACCTTTGACCTGGATTACCTTAAAGAATTCGGACTTATAGATACCCTTCTCCCTCTGGTCTAACATGTTCATTTTATTTTGTCGATAAGCCTTTCGGACCACTACACTGTTAGTTTGCATACGCGCAATAAATTTATATATTCCTTTTTAATTTGAGATCGAAACCATCCCAGCCAGAGAGCTCCGGATATGATTTATCATGCAGTGAGTCACATACTAATGACGATTCCCATGACAAAGATAAGGATAAGGATAACGAAAATGTTGCAAATGCTATAGACAAAAGAAAACAGGTAGGTTCATACAATAATTGTCGTGTATTGCCAGATGCTCGTGTCAATCAACTTTTCCAAGTACAAGTGCAAGCTTATTGCGTTCCAACAGTAAGTGAGAAATGAAAATGAACAGAATGTATGACCTTTTTATAAAAAAAAAACTATCAATACAGTTTCCTGTTATTTTAACCGTCTTTTTTGGACAAAATAATTAACCCGACGATAATGGCATGCATAATGATTTAAATTTTATATGCCACAGGTTCTTAGGATGTTGTTGTCGCTATTGGTAGTATTTGCTGTTTGTTGGGGCCCGACTTTGATAATCCATGCATTATTAGCTTTTGGATACCCCATCTATCAGCATTATATAACCAGATTAACAGCTGATACATTGGCATTCTTCAATAGTTGTCTCAATCCCTACCTGTTTATGTCTATGTCGACGTAAGTATACTATGCATAATCTGGTTTCCTATTTCAAAAACCCTTCTGGCTAATACCGCGCCTCAATAGCCTACAGAAGCTGTGTTTGACCGAGCGTTGGTTCCTTTTCTAATTAAGGTTCGAGACTAAACTCATAGATTCTCGATGTGATATAGCTATTCTCCAACTTTCCAACTCTTTTACTCTGAGATATGCATTGAGCGTTCTCGAAATGTCAATATCATCAATCTATATATCAAGGGACATAACTATTTGTGGTATATGTGCAGAAAACTCTATTCTAATTGGTAATTTTCTTATATTTTATAGTCAGTTCCGACGCACAGTCAGAAGAAAGCTGTGCTGTGAATCTAAACTGGACAAACCAACGAAATATTGGTCCACTTTGAAGTACAGTGAAAGTTCAACCAGAGTCAGCACTGTATCAGTTAAATATTAAACTTAAACCTTGTCACAGTGATCCTAAACCATTATAGTAACATCTTAGTACGTTCTTGATTTGTCCCTTTTTTCATACACCTATTGTGATGAAACATACTACATTTACGTACTTCTGCAATTGAAGTTCCTTTATATCCATCAGTAGACTTCATGGACTTTATGTGTGAGTGTATGCCGTCTGAACATGTTTATGTTATTCAAATTCGCCCTATTAATTTTGTGCCATAAAATTTGTGTTGTAACCAAATTCAGTCTATTACAACTTTATAATATACTATATTTTATTTTCTGTATATATTTGTTTCGTCTGTTTATCTGATCTATTTGTCTCATCTAGTTTACTATATATTTTTCCCCGTTTGATTTGCTATAATATCATATTGTCTCATCTGATTTTCTGTATATTATATTTGTTTCGTCTGTTTATCTGATCTATTTGTCTCATCTAGTTAACTATAATATATCATATTTGTCCCATTTGATCTGCTATAATATGTAATATTTGTTCCATCCGATCAGCTGTTTGGCCCACTTATTTTGCTACATATTAATATATATAATATATCTATACACAAAAAAGACGAGACCACTATACAGTATAATTAAACTCTTTTTCTGTTTATAAAGGGATTATTATTTAAGCTTTTAGACTTCTTATTTTTGTTTACTGAACACTGTTAAATCGTCATTCTACTCCCGGGAACAACACTAGGCCTAATCGTATAGAAATATAAGAGAAAAATATGTTTAACTGCCCTTTGAAGTGCAATCTATATCTAAATCAGAAATATATATCAGAAATCAGTCAATTTTGTCTTACCATAGTGATGTCCTGTAAATTGGATAAATGGGTCGGTAATTTCAGTTGGCATTTTGATAACAATGATTGCCATGAACATCCCCGCTGCTTGGGTGTACTCTCTTAGGAGCTCCCAATTTGTGATAATACATAACCATCAGGCCATGTAATACATTACAATACAACTAATCCTTCTATTAATATAAATGATAATAATTTGTATTTGGAATAAATAGTAAATTGCTCTGCTGTATACGTTTCAAAGTCATTGAAAAGAAAATTGGGTGGTTTTATTATTTCGTTAATCCCTATAATCCCATAATTAGAAAAATTGTCTATGAAAATATTTTGTGAATAGCTGTCTGCTTTTAAAACTCGAAAACATTTATTCATGGGCTCTTGACATTTTTTTTCAACATCCCAATGATGGCCGTTCACCCCTAGTGTTTTTTTTCAAAACTGTACCCAATGTACAAGGTTTCTCTATAACCCACAATTCGTCTAGCATATTATTCCCCGTATATACGTTCTACAGGCGTTAACGCTAATGAAAATAAAATGGCGAAATTTTTACAATTACGATGTCACAATCATATTGTATAACGTTGGGCGTAAAACTGTCGCAAATATTAACCCATGTTTAATAGGCGATGCATGTACATTATTAGTTGGAGGAGAAGAATCTTTGTTCTGTAGAAAGAAATTATATTAGCAGTTATAAGATTTAAAACTCTTTATTAACATGATTGTGATCCATAAATAACAATACTTTATCTCATATTCCCTCTCCTTCTTCTCATTTAACTTCAACAAAATCAACTCCTACGTCTTCATGATCTTTCTCTAAGCAGCTAAATTTTTCTCTCGCTACAGAGAATTCGCCTTCCTCGATACCTTCTCCAACATACCAATGGACAATATCTCTCTTAGCGTACATCAGATCAATATCAGCATTAACATCCTTGGGGAAGACATCACCTCGGTACAACATAAAACAAGCCATGTATTTACCATGACAAGAATCACATTTGACCATTTGGTTAGCTGGTTAAAAGCAGGCGTTGGTGATTCGGCTACAGAGAGTTGTTCACAGGAGGCCTTCTCGGCAGAATGTTCCAAAGTGGTATGGATTGTTAGGATTGGGTTGTTGAGTTCTAGACATATGTGGGGCAGGGTAAACAGCAAACTCCATCTTGGATTACTTACCCTAGTCGACACTCAATCTTTCCATCAACAAAGATGTGAAACCAGATCCAGTTCCTCCGCCAAAGCTGTAGAAGCCGAGGAATCCTTGAAGACCAGTACATTGATCTGCCAGTTTCCGAGTTCTGCCAAATTTATCAGTTCTTTTCCAACAATCTAGTGACCACGAGCATAGTTATTAGCACCATCTATTTTGCCTGTAATAAGCTGTTCAGGATGGTAAAGTTGGAGGTAAGTACCAGTTCTAACTTCAGTAGGTTCCAGATCAACAAACACGGCTCTTGGAACATGTTTACCAGCTCCAGTCTCACTGACGAAAGTGTTGAAAGTATCATCTCCACCTCCAATAGTTTTATCAGAAGGTATCTGACTATCTATTGATACCATGTTCTAAACAATATAGCTCCTAACAGGCATTGTCCATTTGGACATCAGCTTGATCAACATGGATTGAGATATACTCAGGCCGTTATTAAAAGTAACTATTTGTAGATACGAGTTATTGTAAATTGTTATTTTGAAGCAGTAACCAAGTGTGTAAGTATGCAAAAAAACTCTTCATGAAATATTTGAACTGTAACATTTGATAGGAGCGTATTGCTCTTGATATATCAATGTGTCCTTAAGAGGCCCTCAATTGCATGTCTAAAAATCGACCTATTTTTGAAAACAAACTTACCATATCACTAATATGAATAGTATTCAGAAATAGATCAACAGAAGCCCATCACTCAGCAAAAAGAGACTGGTGCTAATCCCGCAAGCGGGTTGGCTAATGACGCAAGAGATGCAGATAAATAAAGCAAAAGCTTTGAATGACATGTTAGGATTTATATGGGAATATGCTGCACCCTTATTAGCTCATGACATTAAAAAAAAAAGGCGTCCACATGATTCGAAAGCATTTGCCAACGGATTCGTAAATATAATGGTTTTAAAAAAGAGCGAGAACCAGTTTATGAAATATGTCGAAATCACTTCGGAACCTGCCGAACGGCCTGAAAATTTGTATCAACGTGTGGTAGCCCATTTGCAAGACAATTTATTGCGACAATGTTCAAAACCTCTTCATGACGGACAAACTCCTGCTACGAATGAAATCATGATACCGACTGTTGAACGTTTAGCTGTTTTGAAATGGATGGAATACATCCCGGTTTCCCGCACTTGTCAAAAGAACGTTCGCATTCGATTTACGCATGACACTAAAAGATATGCAGCAAACACTTAAGGAAGTTTTCAAGTTCTAGCAATCCTGGTAAATTGTATAATATATATGCAAAGCAGCCAATAGTCGCCAGTATGTTCTACAGCCGAAAAACGAGATATTGCTAAATCATTTCGAATTGACACAATCTATAATCTTGAAGATTATGTGGATCCTGTTGACGTACAGGACAGTGAGTCAGCATGACAAGACGATGAGGCTATTAAATCGCCAGAGTGGCGACGCCCACATTTGACGTCTTTTATGGGCATTACCATGTTAGTTTAACATGTGACTCGGGTGCCAGGTCTTCCTTTATAAAGCACATCGTGGCAAAGCAAATCAAAGCACCTATACTTCCAACTAACACTCTTCAAGTCAGGCTGATGGAAAATCTCCCTTAAAGATTGTTGGCAAAATTCATATTGGATTAAGGCGTGGTGACATTCAGAACTCGCTGTAGAAGATTTAGATGCCGACATTCTGGCCCGCATGCCATTCATGAAACAAAATAATATAATTTTGGAGAAACCTAATGATGCAATACGCATAGGCAATCAAGTTACTATTTTCCTAAAACTGCCGTCCGTTCAGCGACTGTTCGGCGTACTGATTTTTTTCTGTTCCGTGCCTGCATCGCCATGTTCTACATCCTGGTGAATTTCTTGAGCTTTCAGTACCACCTGACCTCACTGAGTCTATCGAATCGACCAACTAAACTTAGAACTCCTGGCAAAGGCAAGAAAACGCCTGTCAGAGGAAGAAAATTAAGAAAATATTCGATCCGATTCAACGTGGCCGTCATATTTCCAAGGTAATTGTTGGTAAAGTCTGCATACCTAATAACAGTATGACAGTATCATATCAATTAAAAAGAATCAAAATATTGCACAGGTTTGCCTGAAGATGCTAATGTGACCGTTGAATATATCTCTTATTTTTTCACAGTGGCGTTACATTATTTAGACTGATATGACTAAACAATTTTTTTAACTCCATTCGCCAGAGAATTATTTAGGTGTCGTCACCCCATTTAAAGGAATACAACGTATTCAGACGCGATATGCAATGGGAGTGCCCAGTTCCACTGAAATTTTAGATGAGTTGATATTTGGCCAATTCATTCATAAAGGCTTTGTTTTGAAGATAGCGGACGATCTATATATCATGTCAGCGGTTCCAACGTGTCGGATCTTATACAGAATTGGGAAATGGTGTAAAACTGTATGCATTAAGTCTACCACTGCGATGTTCAATATGTTGGCGAAAATCAAAAAGCGTTGCGTACTCGTCTAAGCCGTCATCGCTTTGACATACTTCATAAAAAAGACAGACCAATCGCGAATCATTTCAATTCAACCAGTCATTCCATTGAAGATCTTCTTGTTATGCAAATAGAAAAGGTTTCTGTATCTACAACGATCAAACCAAAAACCAAGCCATTGCAAAGGGAGAGTTTCTGGATAGACCAATTAAAAACAGTTGTACCTAACGGCCTAAATATATAGCATGACAATCAGATTATACCTTGCGTTGCCACCTACTAAAATTTTAACAGATTCCAGACCTTGTATTTAAGCTCAAAAGATAGCTTGCCAGGCAAGGTAATATACGCCCACTGGCAGCTTTGATTGTAAATAAAAATATTTGGCAGTACAGTTACAATTACCAGTATGAAATATTCATACGCTTCTTTTGAACTTTTACTAAATTATATTACCAAGGTTCATTAAAATCTGTCAAGAATTGGGCCTTCTAGAGTGTTTACAGGCTAAAACTTGAACGCGTTTTTAATAACAGGTGCAATATTTTTCGATTTTTCTTATTTTCGTTAGGGTTCATCTTTGGGTATTACATGCACTCACACCAAGTTATTAATGACATTCTCATCATGCCTATAGAAACAGTTTTTACATCACTTAGCATCAAAACTAAGCTTAGACGTCTACAACGCGTAAGTTACTGGATCGATCAACTACAGACTGTGAGGCCAAATGGACTCAACATTCAACACGATAACCAAATAATACATTTTATAACGACATTTGATTCTACAGCAACCAAAGCCTCCATAATAGTCAAACGCCATTACTCGGAACTTCAGAACAAATTTCCCTATGTATACACAAAACGTTTGGTTGTAGCTTACAAAAGAAATTAAAATCTTAGCAATTTCCTCTTTCACGGTAGGTAGACTTGAACCATTGAACAATGCCCTTTCATCCTAGGAGCAGATTTTCTTCATATAAATGTATCATGTTATATCAATAGATTAATCGATTTCTACGTTAGATTTCAGGGAATACTTATTTCAGGACTGGTGCCATGGCTATATACAGTATATTATATAACATGCAGTGTATTTTTGTGTGTGTGTCTTTTCAACTAAAATCATACTAATGACTAACTAATTTTGACATAATTAATAGACTTATCTGTTGCTCTGTGACTTAGGCCAGTGCTTTCATTGAGACTCACCTCAATACACCCTAACACCAAGTTTCGTCCAAATCCATCAAAAATTGTGCCTTCTAGAGTGTTTACGAGCTACTAATTGAACGCATTTCCAAGAACAAGGGCAATAACACATACCAATTATTTCTGATTTACAATAGGGTTCATCCTTCGGTGATAACAAACACTCATAACAGGTTTCTTCAAAATCTGTTAATAATGGAACCTTTTAGAGCGTTTACGAGCCAAAAATTGAACGCGTTTTCAAGAACAAGGGCAATAACTCATATTAATTATTTTTCGATTTTTCGGATTTTCAACAGGTTTCATCCTTGGGTGATTACTAACACTCATACCAAGTTTCATCTAAATCTGCTACAAATTGAACGCATTTTCAAGAACAAGGGCAATAACTCATACTAATTATTTTTCTATCTTAATGATTATAAATAGGGTTCATCCTTGTGTGATAACAAACACTCACACCAAGTTTCATCAAAATCCGTCAAGAATTGCGCCTTCTAGAGTGTTTTCACCATAAGGCTTCATCCTTGGGTGATTTCAAACAACCATACCAAGTTTCGTCTAAACCAATCATGAATTGTGCCTTATAGAGTGTTTACGTGCGGAGAGGGTGACGACAATCTATCAAGCTTTTCTTCGTGGAAGAAGTCACAAAAAGATTGTCAAATCTTCGTAGAGTATATCCCCATCTCTCTCAGGGAACTCGTCCGTCTAAAAAAGTGACAAGGCTTATACGTAACTACCATGTTATTACTTTTTGTTTGCTTCAATAAGTCGTGATGATGTCCTCGTCGTACCCCAAAAGGTAGTTTTAAGTGCCAGTCGTTCCTCGTCATATACTTTGCTTTGGATTCTGACAAAGAAATCACGTCCACAACAACAAGCTTCATCCAATGCACCTCATTACCAGAGGTGCCTACTAACCTTCTTGATTTTACAACTGTTACAAACTACTCAAGGCACTGACTTAACTTTTCGTTTGTCATATTTTGTCGAACGTCAAAAATATTTGTTTTTAGACTCATTTTCGTCCTTTATCAAAGGTTTGATTCTTTCGAATGAGAAGACAGACACACTTTTAAAAGCACTGCTTAAAACTGATCTTAAAACCAAAAACTGATCTTAAAACCAGACATGCTATTATGCGTTTTGATGGTGCATCTGGCTTTCAAGCGCTCTTTAAAAGTCCGCTACTCTCCCAGAATAACCTTCGTTTAGAAGTTGGCAGTTTGAAAAGTGTTAACAAGAATTCAGATGCGGAAAATGCCATTCAAGAACTAGAAACTGATTTGAGAAAAGTTTTTTTCCGACGGTTGTTCTATAACCTCCTGTCAATTAGCCACTGTTGTCGCCACGTTAGATGGTCGTATTCGCAACCTTGGATTTTCTCCTCCCGGAATACTTTTCCTGCGTGATTTGATAACAGGAGACGATGCGTTGTCAGATGCTCAATCCTATATCGCAAGCAGAATCACGTGCCTAGTGCTGAATCTAAATGTTCCAAGAAGCGTATTCAAGCTACCATAAGCGTGACACCCGGAGATCTTGTGTTCCTCAAATCTGACGGGAGTAGACATACAGCGCGAGATATATATAGTAGTGTGACTTAGATGATAAAGAATTTATTACTGTCCATAAATTCTGCTTTGCTCCCAGCTCCGTACAAAACTCTATGATGTGAAACTCACCGAGATCTTACCCT